GTAATCATCTATTTTCAAACGAATAACAACAAAATAATAATAATAGTAATAATACTAATCACACCAATACGACCTTGCACAAATAGACTTACGTAGTCGTCAGTTTGTAACACAAACTATACACAATGTGCACATGTCTCTTTGACCTTATTAACTTGACATGAATTCACAGGGAAATAAATCTGTACATTGGATGTCATAATTTGAAAGATCAAACAAAAAATGGCGGTATACAAAAGGGTCGGTTTTTTAAATTGTATTTGTTGTTGTGCATGTGCGTGTGTGTGTGTGTGTAAAAGTAGAAACCCCATTGATTTTAAAATCAAGTCGTAAAATGTTATTACGTGTATGCCAATGTCTAGTTATACATATCTATATGTGTGTGTGTGCGCGTGCGCGCGCGTAGTTACAAGCACAAGTGTATCATGTTAAATTTTGTAAGAGAATTATAATTGTGGTAACAGCAGTAGTCAATCTAAAGCAATATATATATTTTGAAGGATGCATGGTAATAAGTTGAATAATGAAAAATTTTGATTTATGCAAATATGGCAAGGTGTGTGTGTGTGTGTGCGAGCGCTGTGAATTCAACTTCTGTGAATGTTATGAAATTCATCAGTACATTTTGATATGGCTATACTGGTAGGCGCATATGGTAATCAGATTTCATGTAATTGAATTAAATATTGCTGATGACCACCAAACTATGAAGATAATATCTAGTTTGAAGGAAAACACAAACTTACCGCCTATGAACTTCAAAAGTCTAAAAGCCAAACCTAATGAACATTGTAGTCATGGTTAATATCACAATAGGATAGGAATGAAATATTAAATCTTTTTAAAAGCATCATTAAGATTTTAAACTGATTTTATATCATCAAAGCAACTGAAAATTCTACAACTTTTTCTTTGTGAACAGAATCTATAAGTTAGACATTTTAAAGTGTTAACTCAAGGGTTGACATCGTGATTGGATATTTTCTTGACGAACTCATCAATCAAGACTTTGTTCAATACGTCGTTTCATTTTAATCTTAAAGTTTGAGTAAAGTAATATAATAATAATAATAATAATAACAGCTTCATTACTGTATGCTTAATATTAATGAATAATTTTTATCCTATAATATATAAAATTGTTACAAAATTCCCACTTTAAATAAACCTTATCAAAAAAATGGTAAGGCGTTCGCCTACAATGTCAAAGGTCCCGGGTTCGAATCCTGCGAGGAGCAGGAGTCGTGGATGCGCACTACCACTGAAGAGTCCCATACCAGGACGAAACGGCCGTCCAGTGCTTCCAGGTTTCTAATGGTGGTCTAACAATGATTGATTGATGATTTCAAATGTGTAAAAACGCAAACCTCCAAAACTGTGCCGCCCCAAAAAAGGTAGCTAAAAATGTCTGAAGAGACCACTTAGTCCTGCTCAGAATCTTCTAATGGTCTTTATATCAGTAATTGTGGACCACTGAGAAGAAAGAGACTGTAGAAACTTTTTTCACATCTCATGTTTGCTGTGTTTCGTTTGGACCATTCGCCAAACAAAAACGAAGAACATTCAGAACAAGCATTTCATCGGTAATTAAAAACGTCACACTGTCATTCGAACACGTAACTGCTGTTCTACATGTTAGACATAATGTATGCCACCGTCAAAATGTCAATGATCTTCACTAATTATAAATTACGTGTTTTGATCATTGTTCAGTGACAGCATTTTTTCGTGCAGTTCACGTGGATTGGACAATGAACAGCTTAGAGAAGAATAGTTATGAAATAGAGAATAGATGCATTGATTATTGATTTGATTTTATGCTTCATTTTGAAATCTTCATTTCTCGACGCTTACTATTCACAATCAATTAATTTCTGTCCATTTTAATAATTTTAAACTGTATATAATCTTGTAAGTCAACAAAATGTTTACAATAGAAAAATCTTTTAATGTGGTAAATGATTTTTATGTATAAGTGTTTGTGCATAATGTGTGTATGTTTTTACATCTTTGCACAAGAATATACAAAAAGGATTATTTAAATTTGACCTTTGAAAATGAAATTTTTAATATGTGCGCGCCCGCGCAAGATGGACTAAAACAAATTTTCCTTTGGTCAATTCTTTTTTTTTAAAGAAAATCTAAACATTAAATGAATTGAGTAATTAATTGAAATTGTTAATAATCATTGTAAAAAATGCATAAAAATTGTTGGAAATTGTTCATTAAACAAATTTTATTTCATTTTTCATTTTTTTTCTTCATAGACTTCGGCATCATCATCAGCAGCATAATGAAAGAAATTTAATTTATATTGTATATTTAGGACTACATAAAAAAAGAGTGGAAACTATTTGACCTTATTTTCATATATATATATATATATATATATATATATATATATATATATATATATATATATATATATATATATAATTTTAGAAAAAAGATTCGGCCGACAAGCATATGTGATCAGTGATTTTCTTTTTATCAATGTGAATACAAGCAAAGTTCATATCTCTTAATCACTAGTATAATTTATTGAGAGACAAAATAGTTTATTTTTAAATAAATAAGTTTGTTTTATTTCTTGTAACCTGCATTATATATCAATGCACTTTTATGAAATGTTCATAGAGGTTTTTGTAGAAGTGGACACAATTTTTAAGTATTCAAGGTTATCAGAACTATGTAGTACAGCAGTAAATAATACATGTTGAATAATTTGATTACATAATTAACTTGTCATGAATACTTATGAATGTACAACAAAGTAACCATGAAAAGGTCAATTACTTAAATGTTGCTTTTTTAACAAGTGGTCAAATTGTTCGTTAATGTATTAGATCACATAGTTCAGATTCTACTTGTCTTCTTATTACATTATTCAAATTTATCATAGGAAAACATTGTTCTATTTTCAATAGGACGGCAGAAATAGTTGAATTCAAATTCTCACTCAGTTGATACTTCGAGCTAGATAGTGTAAAATGTCAGTCACTTCTCTTGTTGATTTTTTTGGGACAACATCATTAGCTCGCACTTTTTGTCAATATGAGCTTTCTGATTATACTTTTATGCATTCAATCAAGCTTTAGGTAACAGTAATAATAATTTCAAATCAACCAGTCGATTAATCCTTGAGTTGGTTGTCAGTAATAGAAATTATATATTTCTAATAACACAATGACTTGTATCAACTCTCAGGGCTACCATTGTAGTGAAGAAGAACACAGGTGAGGGCAACCGAACTGTATTTATCTCAAATTACAGAGTTAATTGGTAAAATAGGAAAACCATATCGTAAATCGTTAATTTGCAAAATATCAATCCGTCATATCGAAATGGACTGTTCCTGTTGCAAAACATCAATCCATTGTCTGACATTTCACTATTCATGCGTTTCATACAAATCCCATTGTGTCCCCGCTCTTCCTTTCTTGATCTTCCCCCATCTTCTGCTGCCAGACATTACGTTTTTACTCGCGTCATATACTACTTATAAGTAGCGCGCACACACCCTGTCCAATTTTAAACATGTCTCATGCTTTAATCGTACATATAAATTCAAATGTATCTTTTCACATTATAAAATATCACGTTTCTCTCTCTCTTTCTCACACACATACAGGTACACAAATATTTCTCCTCAAATCACCTTGATTGGGGTGACATGACATTGACTTGATTAAATCTGTTTTTGATTGATTGTTCAAAACACCAATTTTATTTGTTCCTTTTTTAATGTTCTAAAGAAGTAATCGATATGAAATGACAAACTATCAGAAAAAATATCGATTCTTTTTTAGTGCACATTGAGATATAACGAATAAATATTGATGATGCTATTTAGAAATGGTTATTCTGTTTAAAAATCTGTCAGAGATGCACATACTTTGCAGCTGCATGACATAAGATATAAGAAATATCTTTATACATGAAAGTCAATCTTAATTTCATGATATATTTTATACAACATGTTTAAATAATATAGTAAATCTAAATACACATATTTCATAGCTAAAAGTAAACTAGAATTTTAAGTCAACGTCTTGATAAGCTGTATGTCAATTTTTTGAGTCTTAATTCAAACATATTCATTGAAAAACCTGGAATAACGATATTTCTTTTCTTATATTTTCAAATGAGAAAATTTGTTCATGGTGAAATATACTACTAAGTAATTTGAAAGTAGTGCAGACTTATATACGGAAATAGTTAGTGGATATGATAATCGTGACCTAATGGCTGAGACAAGGTAATCTAAATGTGTCTTATCCAAAACGAGAGTCCTTAGCCGTGTGCACGCAAGAAAATACTACTGAGATTCAACAAATGACAATCGGCTTTTGCGGATAGCACTTAGTTTTTTGACTACTGATGTTTTAATGAATTTGGTTAGTTTGTAATCAATGTTTTTTAACCACATGAAATCAACTATGGTTTTTATTGGCTTCTACTAGCTAACCAGTTAGTCAGAAGTTTTCTAAGTTTTACAGGTTTCCGGTTTCAACATTACTAATTCACTGCTAATGTCACTGTCATGATAGTAAAATTGTGCACATTTGCTTCAAAATTCATAGGGGATACCAATTCTTTTGAGAAATTAAGCGTTAACCAGGGTGAAACTTTAGTACAGAGCTTTCAGACGCTTTATCTCAACAATAAATATACAGAATAAATAAATAAATATACAGAAATTACATCATGATGTCATGTAACTTAGTTTAACCATAGTGATGAGTTGATCATGAATCAGAAACCATTTTGATATTATCGTTTTTATAAATGGACATTTAAGAATGATTTTTCTGTATTTTAATATAACTCAAAAACGTAGATTATTTATTATGTTTAAATAAACCCAAAGTTGTTTAAACATAAACATGCATCAATATTGTATTCGGTTTTATTTTTACGCTCAATGAATGCATGATATTTTTTTAAGTCTCCGTTAATATATAAAACATTTTTTTCTCTGTTTTTACCCTACAGATCATATGCCAATGTCAAATGAACACAGTTTACCACCTGAACCCTGTTCAAATCCACAAATAATTCATGTTCAAAATTCAATATCAACAGAAATACATTTTACAATAAAACGTATTATTTCATGGCGTCAATGTACAACTCTATGTTGTTTAATTATTATTATAACATGGTTAAATAATGTTAAAGCTAAACCATATTATAAATCATTTCTACATGCAACTGAAAATTTCTCATCGATTGGGCCAAATCACAATTGGAATACAAAAGGCTTGAATATTGAACCATGGGAACCACTGAAGAAACCGACAGAAAATAAACAAGAAAAATTGAACATTGATATTAAACAAAATGAATGGAATCATGATAAAATATTATTGAATAATTTAAGATTACAACATCAATCGCATAAATTGTATTTGTTAAATAATGATGGAGCAAAGTGTAATGATGGTTCATCAGCAGGGTATGTTTCTATAAGATTATAAGGTTATTGCAATATTTTCAATGTTCCACAAGTATGTTTTATTTTATGTCTATTCAGTTCATTAATGATGCTTTTTCAGTGTAATTTTCAGCATTTTAAACCCTGACTTCCATTGTTTGAGTTTTTTCAACTGTTATGTTGGATTGAGTTGTACCGATGTTTTCATAGCAGACAGTTTTTGAGAACTCTAGCGGCTCCAGCCGAAATATGTAGTGTTAATTACAGATTGATATCTGGTAATTACTGATTTATTATTCAGATCTTAACTGTAAGGATGAAAATTAACATTTTTGATCGAAATGGAGCCAAGAGGCCAGTAAGACAAAATTAGAGGACGATTATCATTGGGAATCAGTGAGTCCAAACGTATATGACATTGATGCTTTTTATATCTCCTGGTCACTACGACACCTTTACATCATAGAAACAGAATGTAAAAGGAAATTAAATTTTCTCTCTTACTTAATCTATTACTGATTATTATTTTCAAATGTTTTTCAGTGAAAACTAACAACATTATCACGAAGAATCATCACAAATCCATTGTTTTAAAAATTAGTCTAAATCAGTAGTGAAGTTTTAGTTGAATTCAATGAGAAGAATAGTGTTATCAGTGGAAGACAAAATTAAATCCTCATTATTCAAAAGAATTAATATTGCCAAAAGGATTAGTGTTACGCTTAGAGATCACCTCAATAATAGTATACATTATTTTTGTTGGTACATTATCGATTACAAGGCCACTGCACAATACAAGTCATAGTGGGCAAAATAACTTGAACATTTTCAACAGAAAAGCAAGTTTAGTGGTTGCGTTGAATTCGAAGTAGTGGCCAGAGATTTGACTCTCTAGTTTGTACAAATGATCAAGTATGCAGTGAAATAAATCTTCCCTTCAGTTTTCGTACATCCATACTTAGACTAACCTCGTCTGAATGAACTTATTTCATACATTCTTTGAAGCAAACAGACGAACATGAAAATCGGACAAGCAGACTGTGGCGAATTGGAGAAGGCCAGTAGGCCAACTCAGTATGATAAAACAAGACTATGTAGTTATAGTCGGTCAAAAATAGGCTAGATGTGTTGGAAGCGAAGTAAGCAATACACATACGCACTCGAACAAAAGCAACCAAGTTTATATGCGAATAATTGACAAGGTCGAATAGCTTATGAATAATAGCTCGATAAACGTGGGGAATAAAAAGTCGTGTTCATTGATTGCAAAACATATAACTGAGACAGGGCATAAAAATGACATCAAGACAACGTTCAAAAAAGCCCTGAAAGGTTGAAGGATGAATTTCGAAGTTCATGAAGGTCTTGGATATTCGTTAAATTAAAACCTCCCTAATGTGTACAGAAGCAGTTTTTTAAAACCCTAAATTCATCCTGGCAACCTTTAAGCTATTTTATGGCTCAGTATAATGTGACAACGTCAAACCCTTTCTTATTCTTTCTGTATTACGTGAAATTTTTCTCTCCTTTACTTACCGTTATGGTCATGTGGTTATTTGAACTTTTAACTGGTTAGGCGTTCGCGCACAAGACCAAAGTCCCTCGTTCGAATCCTGCGAGATGCAGGAGTCGTGGATACGCACTGCTGATGAGTCCCGTACCAGGACGAAACGGCCTTCCAGTGCTTCCAGGTTTCTAATGATGGTCTAACAATGATTGATTGATGATTTTAAATGTGTAAAAAAACACTAATCTCCATAAATCTAATTTAAAATGGTTATATGGGACCCGATAGCTAAGTGCATTACACCATGATGTTTGTAGAGAACAGTATTGAATGTGAGTCCTGGAGTGAAAACAGTCAGCTGATGACTGCCGAATAGGGACGAAATGTACATCCTCAATTTCAATACTAGCCACCATCCATCTATGCTTCACAGTAATGTCGAGACAATCTACACAGAAGGCATATATCCTACAAGTGACTGATTGATTGCAGTTTTAAACATCATTGGACGATTTTTGCTAATCAGTACAAATCAATTGACTTATTTATTCAATACTATATTCAGACTTTTTATCTGTATCTGTTATTCTTTCCATTTCAGTTATTATTATCGTCCAGCAAAGCATGCTTCAGTGAGTAGTTGGATAATATTTCTTGAAGGTAAATAGATTAAAAATAAATAATTTATCACTTTATATATAGGTGGTTGGTATTGTTTCGATGAAGAAACGTGTATTTTACGCGAATCCAATGCATTTTCGTTATTCTCATCGAAATTTTGGCCAAAAACACGATCGCGTAAGTTGTGCATTTTTTTCAATCATTAAATGTGTCAATATGAAATTTTAGCATTTTATCAAGCAAATAACCAATAATTAAATTAACTGAAAACATGACTATTCGTTTAGTCCAAATGTTTATTCTGTGGATGGGTTTTATTGGGCATATGTACATTATTGTCTATCCTTTAAGTATCTCTACTTCAAATGTGAAAAAACACTAATCTCCATAACTCGCACTAAAAATATTGTAAAATGTGCTCACTAGTGACTAGCTTCGAGAGGAAATTCTCGGAGTTCTAGTGAGAAGACGTGACCAGTGGAGTTCAACCCTGTCGGGTGTAGGCAGTAACTACCAAAGACAAATAAGTGAGGTTGCGCAAAATCCGTAGATCAATCAGAGTGAGACATTAACACCGAAGGATGTCGGCTCAGTGGTCCAAAGGTTAGGCGTTCGCGCACAATACCGAAGGTCCTGGGTTCGAATCCTGCGAGATGTAGGGGTCGTGGATGCGCACTGATGATGAGTCCCACACCAGGACGACACAGCCGTCCAGTACTTCCAGGTTTCTGATGGTGGTCTAACAATGATTGATTGATGATTTCAAATGTGTAAAAAACACTTTTTTCAATAACTCTAATTGAAAATATCTTTACTTTGGCATTTACAGTTAAGCTATTAAACACTTGTATATATTTTTATCAAGTTTTTGAAAAACGAATTAACGCGAAAAAGAAGTATCAATTTTATTTTAGCCTGTTTAAAATATTTATGCTGCATATTTTCTTAATATCAATCTATTTCATCAAGCTACCCCGTTTTTGTCTGCTTGTTTGTTTGTAACGCTTAAATTATGCCTATTGATAGAATAATCCTATCAGAAACCTATAGCTTCACAAAGTGCGAAAAAGTACAATTGGAAACATTTCAGTGGTTGGCAACCCTCCAAGAAAAGAATGAACGTTAACAATGATGTTGATTCTTGTAGTGCTCATTTCCAACTACCAATCACAAATTACTTTGTTAAAGAATTCCCTACCGAGAATTCCATATTTACTCAATACAAAACACTGAATCCTAGTAGTAACATTTATAATTAACTGTTGTTATTAATTAATATTACCAAGATTATACTTTCTAATATATTACATGATGTAAGTAACGTTTTGTTAATGCAGTCGCAATAGCAATCAATTTATATCACGTAACAATACAAACTTAACGGCTGAACTCCAGAATGAGGAGCACTGAGTAGCGTTATCATCGACATCATGTTTTGCACTTCAACAGGGCATATTCGCAGCTTTATGAAGAGGGAGATAAAACTTATGACATTTAATTGGCTCATCTTTATACTCTAAGACAATTATCATGTTTACAATAGGAAATTTTAAAATTTTTCATATTAACAGATGTTATAGTCTATACAAATCCATTAAAACAAATTAAATTTTTTTTTGGGTAATTTATATTTCAGTTGGTGGAATACTCTCATCCGATTCAAATGCAAATCCAAATTATCACGAATTTCATAGTGTGTAAGTTGAAATTGACTGATGATTATTTACTTTTCTTGTATTCTGCATTATGGAGTTGTGGAGATTGTTGAGTTACTTTTTTGAAGTTATGAATTGATCAATGTTAGACCACCATTAAAAACCTGGAAGCACTAGACACAGCCATTTCATCCTGGTACGGGACTCATCAGCAGCGCAACTCACAGATTTCAAACCCAGGATCTTCGGTCGTGCGCGAGAAAGCCTAATGTCTGGATCATTGAACCGGTATCTAACGGTGTTGATGTCTAACTTTTATTAATCCACGGTTTTGCGCAGCCTTATCTAGTGTCTTTGCTGAGCACAGCTTTACATCTGAATAGGGTTGAATTTTACTGGTCATGACTTCTCACTAGAACTCGGAGAGACTTCTTCAAGTAGCTAGTCACTAGTGAGCACATGAGATTTGCATTATGAGGTTGTGGAGGTTGTTGAGCTATTTTTTTGAAATCATAAATCGATCAATGTTAGACCACAATTAGATCGAAGTTAGATATTAACCTCGTCAGATACTGGCTCAGTGGTCCCAAGATTAGACGTTCGCGCGCATGCCCGAAAATCCGGATTTCGAACACTGCTAGTTTTCTTGTATTGTTTTGAATTTTGAATTTTCGAAAACACAAATAATATTGTTACTTTTTTTTTCATCTAATTTAGTTTTATTCCCTATTGTTCAAGCGATTTATGGACTGGGAAAATGGCTAATCGTAGTGGAGGTAAGAGGTTAAAATTTAATGCTTTATATTCGCACTCTGTTATTAAATATCCAAAAAAGACTTTTCTTTGTCGACAAGAATCTAAGCATGCAACTCACTTGATATATGTGATGAAAATATTTAGATGGCGAAGATTACGTACCTCAATCGCTAATAGTACATTGTTGAAGAGCCTAGTGCTAAGGAGTAACTGACATTTAGTTGAAACTTCGGTTTTATTCAGTGATATCTTAATTATTGTCAATCTATGACAAAAACGATTTTTGTAACTAAACTGAATTTTATGAAATCTACAAACAAAGCTACGGAATCAGATGTTGCATACTATTTGGTATTTTTAATCACAGATGTTTAAAATATCCACTTCATCTCCTTACCATAAAGTTTAAGGCTTATGGAATTTCCTTAATGTTTGTTTTGACTCAAAGACTAAATAATTGAAAACAAAATGTAGTTATCGTTTAGCATTGTCTGTTAATCGTCCATTTAGTTCATTCAAACTAAATTGGTTTTTGAGATTCCTCAAATTTCCGACCCATACAGTAGAACTGTCGTGACGTTAATATTGAAAATTCTGACTTGACAGTGGACAGTTGTTCTGAGTTCCAGATGTTCGTCGAATGTAGGAATTATGCCCTTGGTTTGCCAATTCGCACCTTCACATTACATCAAATCCACCTTATTTATCAATGATGCTTCCTAAGGGATGTATAGGTTTGCACATCCTCAGCAGTGCGCATCCACGACTCCTGCGCCCCGCAGGGTTCGAACGAGGGACCCTCAGTATTGTGCGCGAACGCCTAACCACTGGACCACTGAGCCGGTATCCAACGGTGTTAATGTCTAACTTGATCAATTCATGGAGTTGCGCAAACTCGTACACAGTCTTCGGTAGTTACTGTCTACACCCGAACAGGTTGAACTTCAGTTGCCACGACTTCCCACTAGAACTCGGAGAGGATTCCTCACGAAGCTGGTCACTAGTGAGCACAGATAAATTGTATTACGGCGTTGTGAAGATTGTTAAGTTATACATTTTTGAAACCATGAATCGATCAATGTTAGACCACCATTAGAAACCTGGAAGCGCTAAACTGCCGTTTCATTCTGGTATGGGACTCTTCAGCAGTGCGCCAGTGCTTCCAGGTTTCTAATGGTGGTCTAACATTGATCGATTCATGGTTTCAAAAATAGATTATTTGTTGGTAGCCTAATTTATGACTACTTCAATTTGTTAGTATTTTTTGACAAGCTTATCATTTTCTTCAAATACTTTTCTATTGAATAGATTTCTATTTTCATGGATCACGTATAGTGGCAGCGGTTATTGATGACTTACCTTGGCGAAATGCAGCCTACACAGAAAAGGTCATATTTGCTGGATCTAGGTAAAATATCGAATGATTTTTTTAAATTAATAATTATTAATTTCAGACTAAATTTTACCATATTTTCAAATAGGGTTATGGAGAATAGTGTTTTTTTACACATTTGAAATCACCAATCAATCATTGACAGACCACCAGTAGAAACATGGAAGCACTCGACTGCCGTTTCGTCCTGGTACGGGATTCATCAGCAGTGCGCATCCACGACCCCTACATCTCGCAGGATGAGAACCAGGGACCTTCGGTCTTGTGTGCAAACGCCCAACCTCTGGACCAATGGGCAGGCATCCAACGGTGTCTAACTCTGATTGATCTAGGGCTGCCCGGTGCTTCCAGGTTTCTAATGGTGGTCTAACAATGGTTGATTAATGATTTCAAATGTGTAAATTTTATGTATTATAAATTATTAGCAGAAATATGTTTTCATACATTAACTGTGAACTATCAATATGCCGAAACTTTCAAAAAACACATTAAAACTTATTTTTGATAAGAAAACAGTTTGAAAGTAAAATGTTCATTCTCTATAACACAAATATCTCATTGAAATTATAACCTGAACCATGTTAGATCGTCATTAGAAAACTGGAAGAAGTGGATATTCATTGCTTCCTAGTGTGCAGCTCATCAGCAGTGCTCAACCACGACCCATCATATGACACAATAACACCACTCGATGCTATCTCAGTCATCTTGAGGGGTTTGATAGAAAGACGAAATTGTTGTCTAAATGCTTCTTAATTTTTCAGCGGTACCATTAAGGAAATCGATTTTCAGTAAAATAACCTACGATTCCAATAATTAGATAGTTTCTTTGAAGCCATTTTTTATTTCAGAGAATAAATACACAAAAAATTTATATCGTATCTTTAAAGTCAACGGCGCCTAATCAAATTGGTCTTACATTAGATCATCCAGACCAAAATGACATGGTCAAATCTTGTTTACATTTTGATTGTTCTCAAAGCATGCCTCACTTGTTTAATTTGTGCTCATTTAGCTTGTTTACAATAAATCAATAAAACCTTACGAATTCAATGTCCAATTAATTCAAGTGTTACAAAAATATTTTATCTCTGTTCTGAGTTTAGTGTATATATATATATATATACACATATATAATCGAATTTTGTTTTCAGTGCTGGAGGAATTGGTGTCCTAATGAATATCGATCGATTAGGTAGAAAATTATTTACCCGTATTGGATATCCTGTCTTAGTGAGTGGAATAATCGATTCATCATGGTTTATTCACATTCCTGCTTATCAAGAAACTAAATGTATTAATGCATTTGAATGTCCACCAGAAGAAGGTATTCATCGAGGAATGAAGTAAGTAATTAAATGATGTTTATTTGACGATATATCATATTCAATAACCTATTGAAATTAAAAACTACATATTCTGGAGTTACATGAACTGAACTGATTTTTTTTCCCAACTTATTTATACTTGTATCCTGTGATCTGTAATTGTATTCAAGGAATCTGAAATCGTCAGCTGGTGCCAGTAATGTAGAGAGGAGAAAAACATAAACTTTACTTAAACAGTGTAGAAAGTTGAGTTATAGGAAATTCAATAAATGACAAATCAAACAAGTCTTTTTTATTTTTGCTACAGATATAGATAATTATGCGAGAAATTCTTATTAATATACTTTAAATTAGATTCTATTCAATTTCATCATTGTTTTAATGTAACAAATTATTATCGTTGTGTGTAAATGTAAAGTGACTGGTTTTGAAATTGTTTTTTTGGAGAAATTATATATCCACAAGAACTTATAAATGGTCATCCTTACTTATTGACTTACACCTGTTACCCCCATTAGAGCATAGGCTGCCGACCGTTTTTCTCCAACCAACTCTGTCCTGGGCTTCCCTTTCGAGTTCTGTCCAATTTCTGTTCATTCCTCTCATATCTTTCTCTATTTCTCGGCGTAATGTATTCCTTGGCCTTCCTCTTTTCCTTTTGCCTTGAGGGTTCCATGTGAGGGCTTGTCTCGTGACGCAGTTAGGTGCTTTCCACAATGTGTGTCCTATCCACTTCCAACGCTTCTTCCTGATTTCCTCCTCCACTGGAATCTGGTTTGTTCTCTCCCACAGTAGGTTGTTACTGACAGTGTCTGGCCAACGAATCCGAAGTATTTTGTGTAGACAACTGTTCATAAATACTTGTATCTTCTGAATGATGGCTTTCGTAGTTTTCCAAGTTTCCTTCGCATACAGTAGAAGTGTCTTGACATTTATATCAAAAATCCTGATTTTGGTCATCCTACCGAAGTAAAAATTTTAATTTAGTTAATTAATTAAAATTAAATCATGTCATTATGTTGTCTGCATAAAATTTATCTCATCTAAGCATTAACCACATTATGTTTCGCACGTATTTCTATAAACATATATGCCATATTTGTGCATTTTTTCGCTTGATAATAAGATTATGGAAGCCTAGAATACCGAAACCATGTCGTAAAGCTCATCCGAAAGAAGAAAAATGGAAATGTTATTTGGCCCCTTTTATGTATCCACATTTACGAAGTAAGTTCGGTTTAGAAAAATGCTTTGCTAAAGAAGAATTTGTTTTTTCAATTGTGTAGTGAAAATATTGAATTGAAAATTCTTTAAAGTAACAATAGATACACGAATTTAATAAGTCAAATCAAAATCATATTTTTATGACCTTTTTTAAAATAATTTCCCTATATTTACTTTGAAAATAAACTGACCTGAATTCTCATGTCCATTGTTTAAAGAGGAACACACATGATTGAAAGTTTTTGAGAAATCGTTGATTCTAAGCAAATTTTTGTTGCTGTCAATTCTTGACAACTTTTGATCAGTTGTCAACTGTACAATTAACTTAATAAGCCATTGAAATATATTCAGGACAAGCAAACAGTTAGTGTAATCATCAGTAAACAACTCATTAACACCCAATAATCATTCATGTATTTATCAAACATGTGATTTACTACTTGTTAAGTAGTACATGAAATGTTTCATTTTTTTGTTTGTTTGAAACAAATGTACTAATTATGATGATGAAATTTTAAAATGAATAACTCGTGTATTTTCAAATTTCCTTGTTCCACGTTGCTTCCTTCATATAAGACTTTTCGCTTTAGTGTTTATATCCTCTGCTTATTGTTATTTTCGCTTAGATAATCGACAGTATGATCAATGTCCTGTTGACTTGTGAATATAAAATTATGTATTTTTTAATTTGTTTTAAGCATCGATTTCTCAACGTATATAATTTTTAAATCTTATATCCTTGAAACTGTTCAAATTGTGAATACTTTCATCAATATATTCAATCAATAATTATGTCAATCAAACAAGATAATGGAAATCCATATGTAGTCAACATAGCCACCTTATTGATTCATAATTTATTTCTCCTTATAATTTATCTGAAATGATGAGCCCAAGTTTCAGTGCTGTCGTTCAAGGACATTACTCTTAACAGTCTATGTTATAAGGGATTCATATAAATTTGGCAATAGTCTTTTTTTTCTCTCAGTACAACAGTATAATTCCCTAGTATTATTCCTGATCGATTTATTAATAACCAATTAAAAAATAGCTGTTATTGAATATATGTTTTATTTTAGGACTTCTCATATCTTACTTTTTCTATTTAAAACAATAATGTTATCAGGAACCTCTAAAGTTAATTACTAGTCAATAAAGTTATGGAAACATTAAAAACTCAATGAATCGTGGAGTCAAGGTTGACTAAACGGCAATTTATTGACAAGTTATGACTTTTAAAACCGAGTATTTTGAAATAATAGTGATTTTAATTAAATCGACAATTGATTTCATCGTCAGCTTTATCTCTTATGAGCACAACGACTAATCGCGCTGACCACGTTTTTACTTCAATTGCATCTCATGCCCTGAATATTCAGGATGTAATAAGCTACAAAGCATGATAAAACAGCTCAAAACTATATTGACATTAGTCAAACTAGTTTATTTGTGGAATGATAGGAAACATTTGCGGCTCCGGTGAATGATTGTGATGGAGGACTCATTTTCTGAGTTGGTTTATTTGAGTAGTAATTTTTTAAAATCTATCTTAATCAAGTCATTACACACTTTTTTTGTCAAATCAACTGGTAGACAGCTTTCATGTAACTTAACATTTTTTTCTCAATTGATTTTATTTCATGTCAAGCTCCAGTGTATATTGTTCAGAGTTTATTCGATGAAGCACAAATGCAAATGTCCAAAGTCCCATTACTTACCGGTGGAACATATTCAAAATGGACGTATATACAAAATTTAGGCAAAGAAGTAGCACTCAGTCTTCAGTCAGCTGGGTTAGTGAAACATATGTATATATATATATATCCTCTTTCAGATATGAAATATATGATATTTGAGAAATCAAAGTTTATTTCAGTGACCTGATTGTCCAAAATGTTTTGGAACTGTATTTGTTGTGTGAAATAAGTAATGTGGTGACCATTTTATAGTTCAGTATGTAGAAGAAATTCTTAAAGAATGGTTAACTGCAGTTGATATGATAAATTATCCAATGAACTGAACCGTACTGACAGTAAAACAACTGTAATTGCTATTAATAAATGATAGTTGAAAAATATTACAAAATAATTCAAATCATGAATCGATCATTGTTAGAACACCATTAGAAACCTGAAAGCACCGGACAGGCCGCTTCGTCAGAAGACAAAGAGTGAAGTTGCGCAATACCTTAGAGTGATCAAAGTTAGACAATAACATCACTGAATGCTGGCTCAGTGGTGTAGAGGTCAAGCATTCGCGCTCGAAACTGCAGGTCCTAGGTTCGACTCCTGCTAGTGAGGGCAGTGGATAAGCGCTGCCTTAGAGTCCCATTCTAGGGATGAAACGACCTTGCAGAGCTTCCAGGTTCTTGACGGCGTTCTAACAATGGTGGGTTCGTAATTTCAAATGAAAAACAACAATCTCCATATCTTTATAGTGAAAAGTGGTTGAAGTTTAAAATGTAAATCACTAGAAGACATTTCACACGTTTGAAGAAAATGCATTAACTACAAGTTCTAAGCGTCTTGGTTACCCTACTGTTCAGATTCATACTTGTACATTGTTCAGTTAGCAAATATACCATGGTGAAACAGCTTTACACTGTACAGCTGTGTTTTTCAAAGGGTGTTTGGTTAAAGTTAATCTGTCTCAATAAGCCTATCAGATGAACAATTAAGAACAAGGAAAATCAGGAACTAAAGATCAAGGATAAGCTCCAGTTTATGGCATTACATAATAGCTTTCCATTAAGTATAGGAGTAATGATGATTACAGACAAGAATAGAGTTGATCCAGTAAGTTACAGTGTAAAAGTATTATTCAAACCGATCAATTTGTAATTAGTAAACCCTGGACCTAGTTGTTGTGCTAGCTAGCTCTCATCCTTAAGGTGCACCTGCTTGTGGGATTTGAACCCGAGTTATCTAGGTCCATAGTCAAAATTTTGAGGTTTGGTATAGTTTGACTGCTGCCATCTGTGTGTATTTAACTACAGTCTTTTAGATTCTTTTCGAATGCAAACAAGGTGAAAACAATGTTTTCGAAAAAAAGAAAACACCAATATAACTGTAAATAACAGTTGATTACGAAAGTTTTGACGAACTTATCAATTTTGTATTAAATTTCGAGATTATGAAAGACCAATAAATAACATAATAACTTTTCAAAGTGAATGTATGTCAGGTGGTTGATTTTAACTCGATGTGGAAACATGTTTTTCCGCCTTAGAATAAACGTACCACTGAATAGGTCAAATTGAGTTTCAGTTTCAGGTACACGTATTCAATTTTGATTGAACCTTTTAGGCTGCTCACTTAAAAATACTTCTCTCTTTTATTGTACAGAGGTGTATTCGCTCCATCGTGTTTAGATCATGAAATTTTAACTAAAAAGTAAGTCTTTTTTATTTATTAAATGTCATTTATTTATAAGTCAATACTTGAAATAAACCTATCAATCAAATGACATAATGTGATTTACATACTTTTATCATGTATTTTTTAGAATAGTATGAATTGAGATAAGTGATGACAGAAAGATAGTTTAAAGGGAAGATGGATGAGGAAATTTTTAATCTTATGACAAATAAATGAAGAGAAAACAGGATATGGGGAATATGTGAGCAGTAACTGAAGTTAAAGTCTTTCTAAAATAAAAGATGAATTTACCTTTGACCAGTGTAACCGAATCTGATAGAGCTCATTGAGAAAATCATGAAACTTGACTAATTGAACGAATCGTCAAATTTATGAAACAAGTCTTGCATAAATAAAAACTAGCTGATTAAGTTTAAATAGGTGTGTATAAATTTGAAAATGGTATCGTTTTTTGAATACTTTGATTGGATTTACACCTTTTATTTTGATGATATTACCACATTCCGTTGAACAGATGGATACCATTAGCTAACTCATTGAATACTAATGCTTTGAACACGATAAACGACCACAGATACTGGGTTTTTCACAAAATAATTATCACATCACATTTTCCTTTGGAATACATGAATTCCTACTTATTTATTGACGATTTGATTGATTAGAAAGAAATTCTTGAAGTAAAATGCATATAAATGAATAGTTCCATGACAGACCTGTGGTTAGATTACTTATTTATCAATCTTGAATCAAAACAACAACAACAACAAATATTCCCTACTCATAATCTTTCTGTTGAATTGAAAGTGAACTATGAAAGTTTACAGTCCCCCGTAAAAATCTTAAAATATTCATTAGACAGTAATTTCATCTCTTGTAACATGTAATAACTGAAAAGCTAATCACTTCTACCTTTTTTCTGTATATCACACTGCATGAACTTCTGTTTACTACAATATTACTATCTAAATTGAGCATAAATTGATTTTTCATAGAATTATCAGTCGATCATGGTTAGACCACCGTTAGATAATTGGATACACTAGACGACCGTTTCGTCCTAGTGTGTGGAACTCATCAGTGGCAGGTAGCATCCATAACCCTTGCTCGCATGCTGAAAGTGAACCTAGGACCTTCAGTCTCGCGCGTGAACGCTTGACCACTAGACTACTACTGAGCCGGCATCAGACGGTGTTAATATCTAACTTTAATCAATCTTAGGAGCTGCACAATCTCACCCACTGTTTTTATTAGGTACTTGCCTTAACCTGACAGGATTGAACTCCACTGGTCACGACTTATGAATATAATAAATAAACTTATATCATACTAACTAAACAAACAGCTTGCAGATTATTTGGTAGTTTTATCATTCTGCATAAGATAAGATCACTGATTAACCTTTACGTTTTTACCTATGGTTCACTTATTTACTTGTCAAAACATTTGTTTAGTATCGGTGTATTGAACGTAGATATCAAAACTAGATGGAATAGTAATTAAAATTAGTCGGAGACAATTTACTAGTAAAATATATTCACCTAATCTTCAGACTTCCATTCGCAAAACAAGTAGATTATTGACTGTTTTCTTTCACGCATCTTCTAGTCTTCAAAATATTTTTCTTGTGCTACAGATTCCAATCTCTAGACACTTCTCTTTCCCTCACTCTCTCTAGTAGCCACTCCTATGCGGTGCTTTACATTTATATTACTTAAATGTTATCTTGTGAGTATCGCCCACCCCAATAGGTTTACTTATCCTCAAGCAATAAATATGATGAATACGATAGTTAACAAAGGTATGGTACTATACGAATAGCTCAGTCTTATTTATTCTGTGACATTATGTTAATTAATACATAAACGTTTTGCGTAGACTACATATACATTATCATCGTCAACCCTTATAACATTTCACTATTATACATCTCTTTCTCCTTTCAATTTATTACAAATCACCCAAAAAAATAAAAATTATCCAGCAATTGGGTGCACAAAATGATTGGAACAATAAGTTTAGTGAATGCAATCAAATCATGGGATAAGGAATTAGAAAAGTAAGTTTTTTATTCATGTTTAGTTTTGTTTATTATTGAAATTGAAACACAACTCAAATATACATCATCATATTAATAATAATAATGATAAGAGTTTGAGTTGAGTCAGAGTATAAAATATGAAATGGTTACTGTTACGCTCGTCTCTAGGTATACTTAAACTATTACGAGTTCACCTTAGTCGGATAACGAGAACAAAACAATGAACCAGCGTCCACGTAGGCTACTGTGATCCCTTGACCAAATTGAATCAGCAAGAAGTCTTGATATAGCGTAGAAAGTGTATTCTACAAACACCCAGCCAGCACACAATGAATCCAAGCACTCAAATTGCGTTTATTTATACTCTATAGAGACGTCCTTGGGACAGTCACAAAAATAGCACACTAAAATGACACAGTAACCAATCACAGCCAAGAAGTTTCCTGGTGGGAAAAGTGATCTCAAGGTCAACTGATCGGTCCATGAAAGCAATCCAAAGTTAAGGTATTTATCAAGCGAGTTCTGGGGATACAAATCCCCAACAGTTACTCACTGAAAGTCAAGGAATGTTGCGCTCTTTTGGAAAAATGAAAGTGTTGCATTTGATTTTCGGTTAAGTACTGTTTGTGTCTGTGTGTCGTTGGGAGTGGGGTTCCTTAATAGCACGAAACATCTATCCAATGCTTCTTAGTTTTCTGCTGTTCAATAGTTATTTCCAGTCCGGGCTTTGCTTACTGGCATATCATAAATCATAACCCGAAGTTAGAGATTCGAACTCACATTTATCCTTGAGTAATTACTTAACACCTGGAAATCAGGTTCAAACTATTTTATCATCAATGTGTTTGAATTTTTAATACAAATAACCCTTTTATTTTTAATGAGTAAGAATTGACGATTGATTTGGTGGTGTTGTCGTTTGTCAGGCATCAGTCAAAGTTTCTTTTAGACTACTTCTACGATTATATATCCGGTTATATACGAGATAGTGAAATTTTCGACGATCAGAACTAATTAAGTAACTTTAGATCATACATTATCAAATATTTATTATCATAACAGTTATTTGGTATTTCAGTGTATTGTTTTAATGAATTTTGTCTAGAGAATTCATTAAAATCATTCATTTAAAAAAGTGAGTTGAGTGCTTCTGAATCGTTCCATTCATTTAAACATAGCATTAATGAAATGTCAACTCATTCAGTTTAATGACTAAATTAAGACTTTACTTGATAACTTCTTCAAACTCATTCTCTTGTCATAAATATTGTTGATCTATTTTGTGAAACGTAGATTTTTTTTCAAAACTATTTACAAGAATTCATTACTGTTAAATTGTTTTAATTGTTATATGACTGAAAATTGTATCACATTATAAGGGAATTATCAATGTTAATTTTATTTTTCTTATTTTATCAAAAAGGCAATGGATAAAACAAAAATTATTATATTTTTCAATTCATTATCCGAATACTTTACTTAAAGTTCAACAACATAGTACCAATAATCTACAAGAACCTATTAATACTGTCAGTTCAAAGACAGCCACAACAACAAATTCCACTCTCATGTTTTTATCTCGTCTAGTCAATTTGCTTAATCAACATCCTCAAAGGATTAAACGTAGTCCGATGAACAGTTACACAGACGATATCAAAGCATTGAACTTTCATGATTTTACTATTCCAAAATCTTATACATATGCATTGACAATGACTAGACCAAGTCAGTCGGAATTATCTAGAACAATGAAACGACACAAAAAGCCACGAAAACACATAAATTCAATATTTAGAAAACACGCAAGTTCATCCATGTACCATGTAATTGATTCGTGTGGGTTATTTTCAGTAGATGGAAAACAAGGTGCTTATTTGTGTAGAAATATTCCAAGTGACACCTCAAGTAATAATAATAATAATAATAACAATAATAATAATCAAAAAAATAGTACACAAAATAATTATTTCACAAGCAGTCCATTAAAATACACTCCAGCTATTGATCATCTAATCCCACAGTGCAATCCAACATGCGGTTACTTATCTAATCCACAACGTATGAAATTAGTTGACGTCTTGGCGTTGTATGAGGTCAATACAGATTTATTAGCTAGTCTTTTAGGTTTATCTACATCGAAACTGAGAAGTTACGATTCAGAACAACAAATGCGTGCTCTTTTTTGTGGTAATAATCGAGTTCGACGTGGACTTAGTCGACTTATCCTACCCCAACTCTCTGTATAATATAAGTAGTGAATAAAGTTATTTTAAAAAAAATTTTGAATATAATTTTAAATTTAAGCATTTATATATACAAGTTACACAACCACTTTCATTGCATTTCGAAATTATGTACAAATCATATCATCATATTCAATGGTTTAATACTTATGTAAATGATCAATATATAATTTTTATTTAAATTTAATTTTAAATATATAAAAAAATTTACCAGAATTATTAAAAACTAATTCGTTGAATATTTGAATTCATTCTTCTACCTCCTTATAATTTAATAGAAATTTATACATATACATATACATATACATTGATAAATTCATATTAAAACATTCAGATGTATACATTGCAAAGTTTTAATCATTCATTAATTGAAACATTGAATAAATGTTTATTTTATTAAATCTTTAATCTAACATAATATTCAACTTTCTACCTCTTATATATATATATATATATATATATATATATATATGCACCATGGGTTACATTTTCGTATTATTAACTTAAAATATTTGACATTATTTTTTATTTTTAAAACACTCAGTAATTCTTAAACTGTAATGTTTTTGTTTTAGAACTTTCCTTTTGTTTTTTTCTTCTCTCTGTCTTTAATACTTGTACTTTGATCATATTTGTTTATATCAATCGAAAATAAGAAAAATCATCCATATTACTGATCTCTTCTTTTAATTAACACCAGTGTAACACGTGTAGTCAGCGGTCACTGAAGGGAGGATAAGATCTAAAATCATAACACACAAGGTTAGCTTAACACTTCATACCAAGAGATAACATGAAGTGGTAGCCGCAGCACTCTTTTTTTCAAATTATATAACGCGGGTTTTTTTTTCTGAAAAGGGAATGCTTGTTTACAAAAGTCTTCTGAGTCAGAGCACGCAGAGCTTGTTCTTCAGCTTCCAAAGTGTTTATGTTTGATTGCCCTGCAATAGAAAGAAAACAGAACGTGTTAGTAACATCATACACAGTGATTTTAACTTCGTTACACCAGCACATGCATGTTAATTGCTATCATGTCTTTTAATATTGAGTTAAACAATCAGTTTAACCGGTTCAGTAATGATAGATGAGTTTTGTAGCCTTACGAGATGAATAAAAATCTATATTTTCAGTTAATTTTAAATATATAGAAGCGATAAGTAAATCGCATAACGTTCAAAACCAAATCCAGAAATTACATAGCAAACATTATTATTGCGAACTTTTTTTCGCGGACTTAAAACATTTCACAAAATATGAGGTATAAATCTAATACTTTCAGATCTAACAGAAATAATATTAAACCTCACAATTTTATGTCATCAATTTTTTCAAATAAATGGCTTGATCGATCTGTTTTGATGTGTAAACTCAGCGAGTGTTAGGATATAAGCTAATCTACATGTATCAGAAATGAAATAAAACGTAAACCATGTATAATCACTGTTATCCTGTGAGGTAAATGAACTTGTAAAAGATTGGAGTAGTTCACTACTAATGATTACCACCGGTAATGAAACATCAAGCTGAATTTCTAAGTGGATGGTAGATGTTATATTTCAGCAATGTAAATCATTTGGTCAGATCATGAGCCAAGAAAAGTGAATGGATGCTTGATTTTAGTCATTAAGCATTTTATGAACTGAAGTATTAATGAGTAGTTTTATTATGTGGATTGATATGACTATGGTGAACAGATAGAAACGCAAACATTTTCATATATTTATGAATATGTCAAAGTAATTTATGGCATTAATTAAAAGCCCAATTACTCGTTAATAGTGGGTTATTTACAAAAAAATACAGTTTAATTCCATAGACACGAGCTACTTGCAACTGCTGCAAACGTTCGAGCTGGTCATTTTGTTTAATAACAATGACAAATATTCGAACACAATGAATTGAAAAGTAACTAGATTAAACACAGACAGTCGTTGTTGCTTAGCTTGTCATTTGTCCGGTATGATAAAAAAAACCCTATGGTTTTGAGCTATAGGCAGTAGTTTACGAATCATTTTCTGTTTCTGGAAGCTCCAAGCACTAATTCCAGTCAGTTGTCAATTCTTTATGAACTTTTATGTCCTGTGATTTGAGTGCTTTCTAGGGTTTCTGGGTACTAGAAGGAAATAATTTCAATTGTTGGAATATGCCTTGGTAAGGTTTATCCAGGAACCCTATCACTTATTCAGTTACTCGTCGGTGCATCGGATCAGGGATATTTGTGTTTTTTTTAAGAAGAGGGGGTGCGACGACGTTGTGAAGTTCAAGGTGTGGAGGGGCGTATGATTTAAATAAGGTTTAGAATAATAGTAGGGTGATTGCATCAATTTGTATCCGACTAAAATGAACAGTCGCATTTACCTTAGCTACACCTATATGTAGTGTCAGTTGGTTTCCAGGCTCTAAGTAGTTACCTGACCGAGATTGTGCTCTGCGGAGATAATTAGGGGTGGACTTCCATTGAGAACGTAAGTTATTTGTGACTCGGAGAGCAGGATGTTCATTACATGGCATTTCAACTGGTTAGGTATAACCTGCTGTCTACTGGCCATTCATCTATTTTTGTAAGGTCATGTTGAAGCTCAGACGAGTCCTGTTATCTCCTTATGGACGGGGACGGAAATGTGTCCTAACTTTGCCACACAAGGACAGACGACACGACTGTAAGAGTGCATCTTCTACACTCCTCATGGTCAAGAGAATGATGGAGGCTAACAGTATATAATCAAAAGCAAACAGTTAGAGACATCATTCAGAATACCGTCCTACATATTCTGCCTCAGACAAATTCACAAACCTATAAAGAGAATAATATGGGTTAAGGGAGGTACCGAACTGTTACTATAGACAAAATGAAGAGTCTAGCACAAGTACAAAGTGTCTGTGAAGGATTCCGAATGTAGTTCTTTCTTGCTATTCAGTAAGTGATGCAATGCTAAAGTATGAAGCGACAGGGAAAACTTCCTGATGAAGCCAGCAGCTAAAAAACACACAAACCCAAAATATCTCTTTAGTATCATGACTACGGAAAAACCCAATAACCAGGGTGTTTGTGCTCTCAAAAGTCCAAGTGGCGAAGATCTTACCTATATTAAGTTGGCTGAGATCTTTAACACTGAAGAGTTAAACGAGGATTAACTGGTAAACACAAATTCAGAGCACTACTCAAACCTAATGCTTGTTGAATATCTGATTTACTCCTGATCTAGTAACAAGAAAGATCAAATCCATGTGCCCAATAAAGTCACCAGGATGTGACAATATTCGCCTTAGAATACTAAAACAATGTGTAGTCCCTCTGTCCACCATTTTGTCACCACATCAGGTAAACACTGTATTACACCAACTTTCAGCAGAATGGAAACAAGCTACTTTCTCTTCAATCTCCAAAGCAGGAGATAGGTAATATTTCAACATCTACGGACCAGTCGCATTACTGTCAACACTGCCGAATGTGGTGGAAGGCTTAGTAAGTCTCAATATCAGTAGCTTTACAAGAAACTAGCTTAAGTACATTCCACTTCCTGATATTCACTAATAACCCGTAATATACAACTTGCTTAGAGGTACAAGTCTATTTAGATGAGCAAACTACTGTTCAGTACACTCGTCCTTTGGTTAGCTGAGGGATAACTCGCCTACGCCATAAGTGATGCAAGTTGGCGAAAGCAGATCAAGCCTTCTGTATCCGTGCTGGGATTTCATCAGTCACCAGGACATCAGCACTGATGAGACTCCCAAGATAAGTGAAGCGGTCAACACGATTCACTACTTCACTCCCTATCACTAGTTCAGGTTCCGATGCAACACAATCTTGATGCAACATTTTGCATTTCGACGGGAAGAACCGTATCCCGGATATGCTTGCATCGCTGCTTAGGTTAGTCGGAAGACTCTTCATTTTGTCAGCGTCTTCACCGAAAAGAACTATTTCATCGGCATATTTTACGTCAACAAGCGAGCCACCTAGTAGAAGGTCTACTCCTGAAAATTCAGACGAGGATAAGGTTATTTCTAGGAGCATGTCTATGATAAAATCAAACAAGAATGGAGAGAGTGTACATCCTTGACGGGCACCACTTAAAGTGAAGAATTCCGATGACAGTTCGCCATAAGCTCTCACTGGACCAGTGGTGTTCGAGAAGAGAGCTTGTTTAAGGTTAATATACTTCTTTCGTACACCTTTCTGTGACAGACACTGCCACAGAACCTCATGATCCACAGAGTCGAATACCTCCTTCAAGTCCAGGAAAACAACTATTGTCGGACGCCTAAATGTGAGTTCCAGGACCTGTCGTAGTGTGAATACTTGGTCTATACATTTACGTCCAGGTCGAAAACCAGCCTGGTTTACTCTAATCTGCTCTTCACGAGCTCTAGTTAGGCGGATCACGATAACTGAGGCTTACAACTTGGACACTTTATTAGTTTGACTTATCTCTTTGTGATTGTGACAAGAAGACTTTTTTCATTTCTTATAAATTGGGACAATCAAGGATTGAGACCAGTCAGATGGTTATTATTCTTAGTTCCCAGATTCTGTCTAAGATTTCAGTCAATCTAACTGCTAAGACTGAACCACCATTCTTGAAAATCGCAGAGTTTATTCTATCAGGACTTGCTGTTTTATATCATTTTAGGTTTCCTATGGCTTTCTCAACTTTATACAGATTTGGAGGACTTATATCGATTCGCAATTCAGGTTGGCTGGAGATCGTAGGTAACCGGAGTGTCACTGAAGGCCAGCTGAAGTGCTCTCTTAAGTGTTCTGCCTATCGATCCAATCTCCTGGGTTGATAACGAATAGTAAGACCATCCCAATTCAAAATAGTCTCACTTACATTCAGATTCTTAATACCGGTTTCCTTGATAATTAAGAAAAGTTGTTTACAGTTGCCATCGTTGCTGCCTTTTCCATCTCTCTAGCTTTCTCGACCCACCACTGTTCCCGATCATTGCGTGGCCTTTTTTAACTTGTGCCTAAGCTGACTCCAATATTCGTCATGTACAGAGCCTGACGAGATGAGTTTCCGAGCATCTTTCAGTTTGGCATATGCTACTGAAATCTGCGGCTTTTCCTCAATCTTCTGGTTTTCCCTACCAGCAGATATTGTCGTCGTCTCCACCATCTCATTAGCAGATATCACTGCTAATACCACAGCTTTTTGGACATAATTCCAAGGAACAGAATGTTTTGTGATTACAGCTGTAACAGATAGTCGCAATTATCTGTTCAATCGGCCGCGACACCATAAAACACTCAGATGCCTTTCCGTTTCACTTAGTTTACTTGCTTGAGCAGTGAACTTTCCAGCCATTATTATTATATCAGGGAAAATGGTTAGGTGGCTTTCCGAAAAACTATTTTATCTCATCTGGGCTGCTGTCAGTGGGAGCGTAGGCAGATAAGAAGAAGCGGTGAGGTCGCGTGTCCCTATCTTCCCGAGTCTTTACTGTCCCGCTTAGTCTGACAGCGTACTAGCAACTATCTATCGGGATCTAGTCTAGGAGAGCTAGTTCTTCCATAGGACTCAGTTCTACATCTAAACCAGAGAGGCCATAGCAAGCAGCGTCAGAGCTTATAAATACACGGAGTGTTGGTTCTTTTGTTAGTCAGGGTTAAGTCAAATTAATGATTTTGCTCGGATCCTGTGCGCGCGTTTCAGAGACGCAGCATACATCGATGGCACAAGATTCTTATTTCCTAACTAAGAAAGCTCGTTGTACCATTTGATAATGTCAGTAAAGTAAAAGCTCTAACATGTATTTTAAAGCGGGGTTTCAGGAGACCGGGAATAACGTTTCGATTTCTCAAATCGTTCGCACTAGCGGTGCGGGGTGATAAAGCAATGTGAGAATGGTTAGTCTTGGGGATGAGAGGAATGTTAGGAGGTGTCGGAAGGACTAGGTTGTGACCAATGTGGTCTCATGTGCTGTTACGAGTATAAGAGTGGAGAGGGAGCCTACACTGTTGAAGGTTGTTTCGTGAGAAACCTGAAACAAAGTTGGACTAGTGATAGTCTTCGCAACCTGAGGGCGTGACTGCGGAGCCCAAGTGACAACTGCTTCAGGCCAGCCACTCAGAACCTTTCTATGAGGAGTTTTTATAGTGTTAGCTTCGCTCCTCCCTGTCCTCATCGCCGGAGACGCGAGTCTATGGGGTGAGGTAAGTTGTGACACCTTTAGAACCGATCTTTCCTAACCCCTACCTTCCGTTGTGGCAAGCCAGCATCGCTGCAGATGCCGGTAAACTAAGGAAAACACCTTAATGCTGTCACATCCTTCTACAGTTAGCAGCACGACTTCGCCCTTAGACATTGAGTTGCTGCTTTTAGTCTCATCGTTCCCCAGTCGACTTGCCTAGCATGGTAGCAGCTACTTTCGGGAGATCAACTGTTCAGTGTCATTTGTGTGCGTGCCTATACGTTTGTTGCATGACAGATATTTCCAACATACTCATTTGTCGCTCGCAACCTATTAAGTAAGTTGCTGATATGACGACACACGCATGCACGCGACCCGTCAGTTTAAGCAGTGGAGCGATCCTTTTGCACGCTGATAGTGGTATGTTTCCAACTACCTCACCGTTGGCAACAGTTGGCAACGCTATCATAGATATAACTCAGTGGTAGCAACTTATGCTCTCAATATGCAACTGATGTTCATTCGTCACATTTGTACTCAGCCATGATTGTTTTCTATTTTTTCGTCGATAATCTCGTCCAAACCTCATTTACATATCTGAAGCCACTTTGTCGATCGTAGAGCTAGCAAGTTACGTTAAGTTCGGCATCGTGCCCAGCACTCTAGTTGTTCGCTATCTGATTCCTTTTTAGAAGAACCGTCGAATATACTATGAATTAAAATTTCTTTGTATTTCCGTATATCATGCTTAGGCGAACCTTGTGGGTATGAAAAGTGGAGTAGAGAAGACGTGCGAGCCAGATCAATGCGATGAAGCGTGACTAAATAATTAAGGTCAGAAAAATGAGCTATACATAATTAAGTGATTTAAGAGGCACACTCATACTGGAATGAAATTAATCAAGCATATGAGCGAATTAAAGAAAAGGTCGGCAGATGTGTGAAAAATTACTTGAGAGCAGTAGGTGATTTGTCCAAAGGACCAGATAAGCCTTATATGGTCTGCACAAAAGTACACACTACTTATGTTTCATTGACAACCATCATTTGCTCACCGATGACCAGCTGAGTAGATGAACTCTCGGTGTTCTATTGAGAAGTGTTAACGGATGGCAGTCACACAAAGTGTATGGAAATCACCCAATGAAATTATTGGTGGGGATAGTACAGTGTAATGGACTGACTCAAGGTAGACGTTAACAGTGTTGGATACCGGCCTTGTGGGCAATATGTGAGGCATTCGTGCGCGATGCCATAGGTCCTGTGTTTTATTTGCACTCTCACGGTGGCTAATGCGCAAAATTGATGAGTCTCCTGTCGGCCGTCCAGGGATCCTACGTTTCTAATGGTGGTGTAGCATAGATTATTTCGAGTTTCCACTGAGACCATATGATGTGCACACACCATACTAACGGGATGTGTAACCTGACTATTTAGGGATGAATGACGAATTGGTGTTTGACCATTAAGTTTCAACCAATCAAGTTTTCGAAACTCGGGTTTCGAAACTAGGGTTTGATAGCACATCCAGCGTGAGGTGACTTGGACCTTCCTCTTCAGTCGACAGCTCATTAACAACTTATAACCATCATTCAGGTTGAGTTTTGGGAACTTGCTATAGATCAAGGGGTGCTCGAAATTATGCAGCAGTAAAAGTAGGAACGCCGGTTATGATCCGAAAAAAGTTTTCTGGTCAATGAGGACGAAAAAATCTACTAAGAACCTGCATACCTGTCATACACAAGCTAAAACCAAGAGGACAGTACTTTGATGATCAGTTTTATAAACATTCGTTTGAATTGTCATCACTTAAAAACTATTGGGGAAAGACTACTAGCTTGGAAAAGTTTCAAATATAAAATGATTATCTATGTAAGTTTTTATAAAGAATGTACATGGCCCTTTAATCACCATTGGACAAAGGACTTCTTGTTTTACCACTGCATATTGCAAAGAGTTATAGAGATTAAGCTGGTAAATTTACAAACACAACCAATCATCGAAAACAGATGGTTACGAGGGATGTGAATGTTAAACTGAACATAGAAGAGAGAATAAGAGAAAGATTATGCTTTAAGAAGCCTACTAAAGCTCAAGCAAAAAGACTTGCTATTCCAGCTCACCCTTTTATTGAACCCTTAGTAAATTGAATTGCTTATTATGCGATCATTTATAAATTTTTCAGTCACAGTTACGAGAATTTCAAGAGTTTAATAAACCGGAATCAATACAAAAGAGGGCACATGAATTAATTTCAGGGATTGACCCTTATAGTGCCAGTAAGGATGAAAAGAGCCGTAGAATCATGCCTTTCGATAGAGAACAACCATTAGAATATAGTGTGCCTCAACGAAAAGAAAAGAAATTTCTGCCGAAGGTAGGTGATTCCGATTTATGGATTTCTCTTAGATAAAATCGCCGGGAACTGAACCTGTCAAAGGGGATGAATTTCCCAAACCCAGTACCCTACTTAGATCTCATCCATATAAAACACTACCTGGTAAACTTTTAATCAATATGTAATGAATTCAATTTAATCCTTTTATGATTTTTTTAAACAGGTACTTGTGTCGTTTCACAGCTGCTGGATGGTAAGTCTTTAAGATGTCTTCATGAATGGTCTATGAATGTCTGATGTTTCATGCTGACTATTCACATTTTACTTCCATTCTAAAATCCATGCATTTTTTGAATTGGAAGGGAACCTGTGAGTCGCCATGGAATGCCAGTACAGGATTGTTAGCACATTATTCAGTATATACTGTTCAAGGCTAAATAATTTCTGCTCACTGATCATAATAAGCATTATAAGAATCTGTGTAATTTTCACATATTTTTTGCTGTATTTAATTGCAACCTCACATTTCGCACCTAACTGAATAGATTAAATTCTTTCTGACGGATTTTTATTCGACTTTCGTTTGACGAACATTCTTGTACAAGTTTCTGATTACCTGGACATTAAAGCAGTATCTACATATTCTGCACCAAAATATGCTTCAAATATTAATCATTTCCAGCATATTGAACAACCCTGATCATTTTACCAAGTATTTACTCAAGTCACTTTCATTAGAAATCTTGGGAGGGTTATTTTGAAGTTCGACGTATAACGTAGTGAACTGAATTGTAGATACACCTCAACGAATCTTCAAGACCTACATTTTCCTACTAGCTGACGTGGATTCTTTAAGAAAGAGGTCAACACATTCTTAGAAACTAAGAAACTTATTAAGCATTTACTTTTGTCTTTCTCACGTACATAGATCTACACTTAGAGGCGTTGTAGGTCCATAACTAGTAGACGTAGCAGCCCGTTAAAAGAGAGCTTCAGCTGTTCTGTTCACAACCATTTTAGCAATCTAGAAACTTAAAACGCTTAAACATTATGATTAGGATTAGTAATGAGAAAAGTAACACTCAAACTAGCGACTCCCAAGTTTATCCAAAAGGTACTCTAAACGATCTAAGTGGGTAAGAACTTCTGAGGATTCAAAGATAGTGTGAATACGTGAATGCATTTGAATTAAGAGTGGGTACATAGTAAAGAAAATGAGTTATCGTTTATTACAAATGATATTTTAGTAGTTCATGTTATTTATCACTTACTAAGATGACACAGGTTTGAACTTTATTCACTACTACTAATTAATCGAAATAGAACCTCAAGTGTATTGAAACAAAAATGAGAAGCTCTAAATAATATACATAAAATCCCATTCTTATTACAGACTAATATATCATGCTTACTTTGATAATGGGCCAACTAAAGTTGACCAAAAATGCATAACTAGTTATATAGACATTTAATTTTGGTTTATTTTGTAGAAGTTGCAAGTTATGAAGGAGAAACTGATATATTGAAAATAATCAATATACTTCGGGAAAATAAGAGAATAAAGTTTTTCTATTTAACTAACTCCTTACCAAAGAGATCAACTAAATATCATTTTTATAACCTTAAGTAAGTATATAATTATTATTGTTTCAAATAACTAAGTTTTATTGCCCTCATTGTTGTATTTGACTTAGAGATTGTATAATCATGTGGACACTGCGGCTATTTATATCTTGTCACGGATTGTGAACCCAATTATTGAAAAGGTGGTTTTTTAGTAGAAATCCGGCTATATCTTTCAGGAGTATTCCTCCTTTTCTCAGTCCAAAAGTTTGCAGTTTTCAAATTGATTGCGGACAGTCATTGGACTTCCAACTTGAGTGCAAAATAAATTCCACACTGAATGGTATCAAGTTCTATGTGGTTTTCTTGTAATCAGAAATTCAACATGATGACGCTTTCTAATGAGAAATCTATCTTTTGAGATCGACCAATTTTCCCTACAATAATTTCAGTACTATTCTCTTCAGGCATACCATCATTTTAAGAAATGTATAGGTTCGCAAGGTCTACACTAAATCGGCAACCTGACAGACAAACTTTTACAGATTATTATTAGTATACCAAATTTATTAGTCTGCTTCACATTAGTTATTCTTGGTTTACCGTAGCCTGTTTCAGTTTCAGGACGAGTGTACTGCTCAGCAGTTCGCTACTACGGATGCGAAACATGGCCGTTAAGAGTAGAGGACAGTCGTACGTTACTAGTCTTCGATCATATGTGTATCCAAAGCATTGCTCGTGTATCCTGGGACGACCGAGTAAGCAATGCTATCGTTAGGAAACGAGTACTATGTAAGGATGGCAAATCAATAGATGAAGTATTGAAACTTCATCATTTGAGGTGGTTGGGACATGTGTTGCATATGCCTAACCACCGACTGCCCCGACGAGCTACGTTCTGTGGTGTAGGAGTAGGTTGGAAGAAAGCTAGGGGCGGCCAGACCAAAAAATGGCACAAATCAATGAAGTCGCTGACAAGTGGACTGAGTCATGTTGGTAGATGTAGGCTACCTGGTTGGGGTCCGCGAGACCTTGGACGACATGGCTCAAAATCGTTTGCAATGGCGCAGGTGCATCAACTCTTTGTGTTCTATGAAATTCTAAGCTTCTGCACTCCTCATCATCTCTACCTTTCTCCTTCTAAATTTATCTTACTGAATTATACTTCTCGAATCATATCTTCGCTCCGTAATCTTCTCCATTGCTGATAATACTTCTATTATTGCTATCACTCTTGGATTTGAACTGACAGTTGCGTCTCTGTGCTGATGGGGCATGGCAACCTGAACTCATGTACTTACATACGAAGTTCTGCGTTGTATCTGTCTGTCTGTTTTAGTAAAAAACCTACTCATTATATAATGATCATATCCAATGCAGGGCTTCAAGCGTATATATTAACAGTCGTGGGTCTATGAATGAGTCTGTAAATCTGCACCGTATTAGGTGAACGTAATACTGGGTAACTAGACAGAGTTATCTTATCATTTTGTAGATGGATTGCCCACAGAAGTTTCAGGTGATGCGGAAATTCAGGTCAGAAACTGCAACACAGTCTCAATCTATAGCTAGTAAGGTTTAGTTTCATGGTTGAGCTGTATTCATCATTTATCTTCTTATAAATCTTGAACTTAAAGTCATTACATACTTTTCGTTCTTTGAAGCTTTTCCTCCTTATTGGACTGTGTTTCATGTTCACCTTTTTGATGTAACCATATAATCTGTCTTTTAGTTTTTCAATCTCACATCTCACTATGTTGAACCAAAATGTAGGAGACTGGATAGATAACTATCTCTGAGTATTGAAGGATAAAATAGCACTATGACCTAGTTTGTTACAGAACCTAAACCGTATAAATGTTCAAAAAGAACTGAAACTACTGAAACATAACAAGTAGTAAAGTTATATAGCAAAAGATTTGACGGCGAAATTACGACGACTGGTAGTGGCCAATAAATATTACAATCATATGCTTTCATTATATGCAATTCCTTATAAAAATAACTGACTAATGATATTCATGTCATTAATTAACATGTAAATTCTCATCATTTGTTTTTTGCGTCTCATTATTTTCGACATTATTAAAATAACAGAGTTGTCAGCTTTCAAAATATCAATCGTGATGATTATTACACTTTATCCATTAATGGTTGTACTCATTTAATCGCAAACGATGATATAGAGCATATTACACTGGATCGTTTTGAAACAGAATATAAAATATTCAAGGAAATACGTGAGGTAAGTTGCCAACTAATTTCATTTTCGCTCGTTAAAAAAATTTAAAAGTGAACTTGTTTCTGCACCCGCTTAAACAATACGATCCGAACTAAATACGGGCGAATCCCTGTAACATTTGTAGTAGTTAGGACATTTACTCGTTTCCTTCACTTTAGCTGCTAGGTTATTCTTTCTGAAATGAAATAAATCGAAATACCTGTAATTCGCTCTCCAATAAGCGTACCTTAAGGCTTAATAGTAAAACGTTCAGTCAAGTATCTAAGCTTTGTGTAATTAAATAGTTTATCGTGCCTTATTTTACGCTGGTAGACTTCAGGCAACTAATTAATCGTAATTTAACCGGGTAATTATCGACAATATTAAACCTTGTACTGATATCTATTCATCCAGTTCGTTACAGTTACACCAACACTTGCCCTTAATGAAAATTAAGAGCAAATGTGCACTCATTTTATAAATGCGATTAGATCGCAACTTAAAAGTCTCTATCCCGATAGATATCGGAAATTGGATTTCACCGTAGTTGTGAATTTATGTTATGTTTTGTTTTACGTTTATGATATTCATTCTATTAGATATGGAGAGTGGTATCTTTCCTTTTAACTCATGAATCGATCATTGTTAGACCACCATTAGCTACGGCCATTTTGTCCTTGTATTGTACTCATTAGCGACGTGTATCCATGAATCAATGTCGCGCAATACCTGTCTGATCAGTGTTAGACATTGGCGACGATATAGCATTCATAATACAAATTGAACTTTACCTGCTATCATGAGGAATAACTATTAAGTATTTAATATACAAATTGATTAAGGTAGCTCGTAGTTTTATTACACAAGGTGCATGATATAATAGACCAGTATAATGTTTAAAAGGAAACATTTCGATTGAGAGAATTCAATACCTTTGAAAACATCTTTTTTATCAAGCATGATGGTGTTCTGAGAATCGAGCCTTGTGTTGTTGTCCGTCATGGTTGAAATTTCCTCTTAGCTGATCGGCTAAAGTTTGGTTGGTGGCTGTTATGTTAGTCACTAAGTATGAGTTCACCTTGGTTGATAAACGCGAACGAGACAATTACGAGCGTCCAGGTAGGCTACCTTGAATCCCAAACTGCAAAACAAGACATGATAAGCGTTGAAAGCGTGTTCTACAACACTCAGCAATCACAATACAACCAAGCACAAAAATCTCGTTTATCTATACATCATAGAAACGTCCTTGGGACAGTTACGAAAATAGCACACTAAAATACACAGCAGCCAATCATAGCCAAGGATTTTCCTAGTGGGAAATGAAAAGCGAGTTCTGGGGATCTAACATCGCTAACAGTGGCCTTATGTGCCTGAAATGCTTCAAAGAAGAATCAGTATAAACATTTACTGTTAAATTAAAAGTTTACCACTCTATCCAGTTATGTTAGGATAATACGATATATATATTAGTTGTTCACAGTCAGCTTGTATGTCACCACAGTCTTCTTAGACTCTGCTGATATTTCCAATTTTAAGTTTCAACAAATATTTTAAATCAGAAAAACAAATAAATGTTCAGACTGAAAATTGATTCTTCTTACCACTATTTTTATGAAAATTACAGAAAACAGAAAATATATAGATGTATAAGTGTATATATTTGTTTTTTTTTGACTTGTCAGATTCCAACATTTGCTAGATTTCGTCTATGGAATGGATTTATACGATGGCATAAAGCGATACGTTTTACAAAATTAACACAATCTAAACAAAATTTACGCGATAATGTATTCATTGTGAATCCATCATTTCGACCGGCCTTATTAAATATCAGTGAAATGTGTTATCGTCTCAAAGATATGAATTTGTGTAAATTAGAAAATGATAAAACTAATACATTGTTGGAATTTTTAACAAATCAAGTGAATCAATTAAATGAAGTATGCAAAAAATTATGTGAATTTCGTGATATTGTAAAAGAAATTGTTCGTGGTGCATGTCGTACTGCATTATTAGAATATGGTTTTATACCAGATGATTATTATATCACCGATGCTGAAGGTGGTACACGTGATCCAGCTACAGGTAATGAATGATGTGTGAATAAGAAATTTGTTTCTTCTTTTTCATTTGATTAGTATTTTTGTTTTATTATTTTTTGTCAATGAAAGAACTTATTAAATCCACGCCGTAAGTGACGCAGGTTGGCAAAAACCAATCGAGCCTTCTATATCCAAGCTGAGATTTTGTCAGTCATCAGGCTATCGGCACTGATGAGACTCTCCACCATTCTTACCAAGCACTCGTTTCCTAATAACAGCGTTGCTCACTCGGGTGTCCCAGGATATACGAGCATTGCTTCGGATACATCTAGGATCGAAAACCAGTACCCAACGAATATCTTGTACTCTCAGTGGCCAGATAGATAGACTGGTGATAATTGGTGATGGAGGATGCTTGTTCTCTGCTTTCCTATTTAGGACATATTAGCTTCATATATATTTGGATAGTTGAACTTGAACCCAGTATACGTTAAGCTTCGTATGCCAACATATGATCCACTGGGGGATTGAGTTCACAGAGACCGTTATTTTTTTCGACGGATACAACATTTGTAGCATGTTCTTTTAGTAACAGTTCAACACCTCTAAAGTTCAGCCATTGGCAGTTGGTATTAGGTCAAACGTGGATAAATCGACTTAAACTAATCATTTGAAATCATCAATCAATCATTATTAGACCACCATTAGAAACCCGGAAGCACGGAAATGCCGTTTCGTTCTGGTATGGGACTCGTCAGCGGTGCGCAACCACGACTACTAAATCTCGCAGGATTCGAACCCAGGACCTTCGGCATTGTGCGCGAACGCCTAACCATCGGACCACTGGATCGGCATCCAACGGTGTTAATGTCTAACTCTGATTGATCTAGGGATTTTGCGCGACCTAACTCATTTGTCTTTGGTAGTTACTGCCTACACCCGACAGGGTTGAACTCCATTGGTCACGTCTTCTCAATTAGAACTCCGAGAATTTCCTCTCGAAGCTCGTCGCTAGTGTTGTGGTTACGATATTTGGGGCAGAGTTTTGGAGGTTTGTGTTTTTACACATTTGAAATCATCAATCAATCATTGTTAGATCACCGTTAGAAACCTGGAAGCACTGGACGGCCGTTTTGAGTTAGACGTTAGCACCGTTGGATGCCGGCCCAGTAGTCCGATGGTTGAGCGTTCGCGCTTAATAACGAAGGTCCCGGGTTCAAATCCTGCGAGGAGCACCGCTGATGAGTCCCATACGAGGACGAAACGACCGTCCAGTTCTCCCAGGTTTCTAATGATGGTCTAACAATGATTGATTGATGATTTCAAATGTGTGAAAGCACAAACCTCCAATACTCTGCCCGAAAATTAAACCAATCATCACAAAACATTAAAAGCACCAGTTGGTAAGAAGTGTGTAAACAATCAGTTAGTGAAGAATATAAACGCAAAAAGGCGGAAAGTTACCGAAAAATCAAATTGTGCACTTTGAAATCTAATTTTCAACTTTCTCTTCCTTAAGGAAACTTAATTTCTATGGTGCTGAGAAATTAGTTGACGATTTTAAAATCTATTTGCATACCAAACTTGAAATGTCTTCATGTAATCAGAATAGTTCAATAATTAGAAAATATTTGAAATCTGTGAATTCTAGGCCAAAAACATTCGGTATACACTAAGACATTATATTAGAAAGCTTATACTTTGTAATTCTTATCGATGTTTTCATAATAGTAACGTTTAATTGTTCTTATTTTCCATATATCATAAGTTAGTTTTTCTCTGATATGCACAAGAGACTCCTCATTCACTGTTAAATTACTAGCTTTCGTTTTTTCCGGAAAGATTCATTCGCTTATGCAGACGAAGATGAAATCCTCGTTATTAACTTAATCCTTATTTCAAAACATTTCATTGTAGGAACAAGCTATGTTTCTTCAGGCTGTGATATGGAGGTAGTCTCAGATGCACCAGAAAGGATGACTTTTACAGAAATGGCCGCGAAACGTCAATACTGTCGACGTCTTACTTGGTATGTACATTCATTGGTGAATTGTGTCGTAGACAATGTCATGTTCATCTAGACTCTTTTAGTGTTAATCAAATTATATCAATCAAATTGCAATGTGGTCACTGTTGACTGCCTTATTTTAAGTATTGAGTAGTTTGAGGTAGTTTGACATCTAACCACAATTAATTTTCTAATTTAGCAATTCATCGTAGTGGACATAGATGCTAGTAGAATGCTACTACACTATCAATCTGTACAGTGATTTACAAAAGTCAATTCTTAACTAATTGAAACCTGAGTACAGATATATTGATATCAGTTACAGACAAAGATCTTTTGTGAAAACTTCACTCCAAGAAAAAGTTGTGATCTCTTAGAAGTGATTAAGTGCATTGAAATGCATTCGTTCATAAGTGTCCATGAATTTTTATACTGGGTTTTGTTTCAATCCTAGTTTTTTTCAGTTGTTTCATAAATTCATGAGTACATTTAATCTTACTACTCATAAGTAATAAATTTTATGATATATTCAATTAGAATTGCAATTTTTTTTATTTATATTGATTATTCTTAGTTTTCTTCTCATGTCATTAGTTGAATTCCCATCGCCATAGAATTTTGTTGATTCTGTGAATTTCATTGATTTCAACCTGCATAATGTTTTCATATTTAAAATCAAGAACTGATCTAAGCCAGACCACTGTTAGAAACCTGGCAGCATTGGACGGTCATTTCATGCCAGTAAAGGAATCCTCAGCAGTGTACGTCTACGACCCACACCAAGTGGGAATCGAACCTAGGACCGTTGGTTTCGAGCGTGAACGCTTCACCTCCTGACCACCGATTAGGTTAATATGTGTAACATTCATCAATCCATTATGTCGCACGACCTTCATGCATTGACTGAGGTGGATAACTGTTTTCTGCCCGACATGGATTGGACTCCACTGGAGTCGCAGTTTACATAACTAGAAATTAATAGAATTTATCTTCCGTCAAAACACCAGTGAGTAGACGATTGTTATTGACAAAGAGGGTTTAATTATTCTACTTCAAATGGATACTTATTCATTTTATTCAAATAATATCATTTCTATTAAAAATCGAATTAATTTCCTGAATAAACTTGTTAATTTCTTTTTGTTGTTGTCATAATCTTATAGTTTTATACGTCTTGCAGATTATTTAATTGTCAATACACTGCATGTATTAACAAAGCGTTCAGTTTATACCATATTAGATCGTTTCAATTTACATTTACGTAATACACCCACATTAAATGAAATTGAAGGATATCAGATTAAAGTGGATGAACTCTATGAAGCTCCACCAGAGGATTTGAATATAGGAATGAGTAGTACAGATCAACGTAGAGAATCTATTAAAAAACCTGTAAGTAATAAGTAATATTTTATAAAAATGCTATGATCAACTCATCTAATCATTATTTTGATGAGTGATATAAATTTTAAAATATTTTTTAAGCCTTATTTTGAACGCAATACGGATAGACTCTGTTATCTTCGTCACTTGATATGCTTGAAACTATGACGAGTTCACCTTAGTCGATAAACGAGAACCACTGAAAAGAAAAGTCTTGATACGTCGTAGAAAGTGTATTCTACAAACACCCAGTAACCTTTATGAATGAAACACACAAATCGCGCTTATTCATAGATCATAGAAACGTCCTTGGGACAGTCACAAAAATAGCACACTAAAATAACACATCAACCAATCACAGCCAAGGACTTTCCTGGTGAGAAATGTGATCTCAAAGTCAACTAATCAGCTCATGAATAAAATCCAAAGTGAAGACATTTATCAACCGAGTTCTGGGGATTTAATTTCCCTAACAGACTGGAAGAGAAGGCTAGGAGAATATTTCTTCTTAATATTTAAACTTATTTATTTATGGTTAAACATTCATTTTGTGCTGTTTCAATTTTAAACGATAGTTTCAAACTGATATAGTGGATAATGATGAAAATGAAGATGAATTACAAGTCTCACCACTTTTTACAGTAGAAATCACATTGGAACCATCACGTTTGTATTTAGTTCCTGAAGAATCGTTATTTCAAGATGGAGTTATGGAAATAATTAATAAATTTCAAGTAAATCGCCATTTATTTTTTGTTATATTTTAAGTTTTGATAATACCACTAATTTTGAATTAATTTAACCAGATTGAAATAAAAACCCAGTTTACCATTACATTGAATAAATAATGTAATGTTAATGTTCTCTCCAGAACTCGAACCCCGGCGCCGTGTGCTTGAGTCGCTATTGCGTTATCCACTTAACTACTTGAGTCCAGACCAAGCTTCAATCAACATACCAATCTAGTTAATAGGTTTTCTACACCATTCAAGTATATTAGTTTTATTCTATCTCGGTTGATGATTGAATTCAGTAAATAGAAAAGATTTAAGGATTTGTGTTTGTAGTCTCTCATTAGTGACTAGCTTCGTGAGGAAGACATGACCAGTGAAGTTCAACCTGTTCGGGTGTAGATAGTAACTACCGAAGACTGTTTATGAGGTTGCGCAACTCCGTGAATTGATCAAGTTAGACATTAACACCGTTGAATGCCAGCCCAGTGGTCCGATGTTTAGGCGTTCGCACACAATACCGAAGGTCCTGGGTTCGAATACTGTGAGTTACAGGAGTCGCGGATGCGTACTGCTGAGAAGCCCCATACCACGACGAAACGGCCATCCAGTGCTTCCAGGTTTCTAATGGTTGTCTAACATTGATCGATTCATGGTTCCAAAAATGTGAAAGATAATTTCATAAAACGGATACTATATATGTATATATATTTTACCAGTCTTAAAATTTCCGCAATTCATTATGGTTTTTTTTCTAATTTCTATTAAAACTTACCTTTATCAATGTTCAATTGTTCATTAAGGAACAAGTAGTCAACATTAAAAATTTAACACCAGACCCGTATTTCGATGCATTCACACGACCTTTAATGAATAATAAATTTGAAGAGAAAACATGCGGTAATGGACCACAATTACAGGATATGTTTGCAGAAGATATAGAATTACAGAAAATTATTGATGATGTTAAAACTTCACTGAATTGTTCTTTTGAAGCTGTCAATGCCTATATGAAAACATTTGATGAAATACAGAGCTTCTTTCGTGAGAATGAGGAAATAACAGTTGAAAGTGTCCAACATGATTATTCAGGTACATATATTTCGCTTAAATTACTTCTGATTATTAACTATTTGTAATAGTGATCAACCGATTAAAATAAATTTTGTAAATGGTGTATTTCTATTTTTAATTTCTCAATTTCAAACAACCGAAAATGCAAACTAACTCATAGAGATAATAACTAGATACATTTTCGGAAAAATTATGAATCGTTCAGGGTTAAACCACCATAAGAAACTTGATAGCACACTTGATGACTGTTTTGTTCTGATATCGGATTCATTCATAGTAGACATCTGAGATTCTAACATGCCTAAATCAAACGCGCGACTTTCGATTTTCCATGTGAGTTCTTGAACTGTTGATCACTGAGTCAGCATCCAACAGAGTTGGTATCAGTCAATCTACAATACTGAGTGACCTCATCTATTGTGTTCTGTACGTAATCGCCTCACACCCGATCACGGCTTCTCACAAGAACTCCGTGAATTTCCTCACGAAACTTGTCACTAGTGACCATATAATAAAGCTCATAATGGGCTTATGCAGATCTTTGAATTTCAATGAAATCATGAATCGACCAATGTTACAGCATCATCAGGAACCTAAATACCGAAGAGCCCTGGTTGGATTCCGGTGGACGCGCACTGCTGATGAGTCCCATATTGGGATGAAATGACCGAGGAGTGCTTCTAGGAGGCAAATGATTGTCTGAACTTAATCGGTTCATGATTTCAATGAAACTTTATGTTACGCCTGCACGTAAACACGTCAACTTGATATGCTTGAACTATTACGAGCTTACCTAGTCGGAAAACGAGAGCGAGGATCGAGGATCCGGTGACACCACATGCTACTCTAGTCCGATTATCCCAATCCCCATATTGAGTAAAAATAAGAAGACTTGATATGAAGTAGAACCTGTATTCTACAAGCATCCAGAAAGTACGAGGTCCGAATCCAGAAGAGAGTCAGGATCCCGAAATAGGGATCCGAGACCGGGACCTGATCCTGGAGGGAAAACTTTACTCATAATGCGTATTTATGCATTTTGATCGAATGGAAAACAGCATCGAAGTCTGTGACATTGACAATTAAGACGACCAATAAGAAGCAACATTTGAAGTGACATTGATATCTAAGACGACCATAAAATTTACCAGTAAGAATTAACCAATAGGAATTGAGCAATAATACTCTTAGGATATCGGATGAATATCCTAACACTTTATAATCTTCTCAACCCTATAGTGAGAATAAGCACATTGTCCTCTGATTTTTAAGAGTGTGACTGTTTACATGACATTTATTTGCTAACTAATATGTTGTTACAAACAAAGAGCAAAGATGAAAGCCATTTGATATTTCCAGTGCTGAATAAATAGTTATCGTCTACAGTTATCATTATGGCCATCCTTTGATGATTCTAATGAAATAACTTTTCCGTTTTATGCTCTATCAAGATTAAATAAATGTTGAATGAACTAGATTGAATGCATCTAAATTCATCGGTTAAATCGCATTAAACTAAATAAAGATAATTTAAACAAGAACTCAAAATTCATTTGGCATTTTTTTTTTCAAAATTCAATTTTTTTATTATTTTGTAAATTTAGCTAGAACAAGTGAAATGAATCATGTGGAACGTCTTAGCGAAAGTGAGTTTTCGATAATTTTTGCAAAGTAAGATTCAATTATTTGGTTTTGAAGTGAATGCGTATTACAAAACAATTCACTTCGGAATTCAAAGTTGCTGAATTAGGATTAGTTATTGATATTACACTATAAGTATAAATCTATATGGTTGAAGCATCAATTTTACTAGTGTTCATCAAGTCATTATGCCTATTTTCAATAATTTCTGGGTCACATTAATCCAAATCGGTCATATTGTCTAGTCTTTAATGACCAATAATATCTAATCAGATTAATGAATGCATACTAATTGTGAATATCTATTGAAAAACATGAAAATTCAACATATTTCTGCCTTTTTTTTTCTTATTTCTTTGATTGAAAGCTTTACAATTTTTCAAAAAACACTTGCTAAAACATCATCGTCAAATAAAAATTGCTGAACTTGTACCAGAAGTGAAATCCATAGGAATGTTTTTAGTTGATACAAAATCATTACGTGCATGTTTATTACCTTCACCAAATAAATGTTTAGATGTATATCATAGTCTCCTACCAGTGTATGTACGCAGTGAAGTTGACAGATTAATACAAGAAACACAAGAAGCTGAATACACATTATCAATTACACCAAGTTCCACGGTGGAGTATGTGAATTATTTTGCATTTTTAAATCAAACGCAAAGTAGGGTAAGAATTTATTTATTCAATGTTCAATGCGTCGTATTCTTTCGATTTAACTGGTTGATTGACCGATTCAAATAATAATTCATGAAATTTAAAGTTAATCTTACAGCTGCATGAGAATATAATATATACAAATTTTTCACTTTCATAATTTACAGTAATATCAGTTCGTCAGCTATAACGTAAAACTTCGTACGTACGTACATCAGTTCCAGTTCTCACAGAGATCGAATGGCCGTTCAAGGTCTCTGAACATCGGTGACTTTCGTCTCGCGGGCCCCAACCACGTAGCCTACATCTACCAAAATGAATCAGTCCACTTGTCAGTGACTTCATGGGTTTATATCATATTTTGGTTTGGCCGCCCCTAGCTTTATTGCGACCCACTTCTACACCACAAAACATTACTCGCCGAGGTAGTCGGTGGTTGGGCATTCGTATCACATATCTCAACTACCTCAACTGATGAAGTTTCAACACTTCATCTGTTGATCTGCCATACTTACCTAGTGCCCGTTTCCTAACAATAACATTGCTTACCTTGTGATCCCAAGATACATGAGCAATGCTTTGGAGACACCTGTGATCGAATACTGGTAACGTACAAATATTCTCTACTCTTATTGGTCATATCACACCCACAGGGTAGGAGAGAGCGAACTGCTGCGCAGTAGACTCATTCTTTGACTACCAGATGGATTTCTCACGCCATAAATGATGCAAGTTGGCAAAGCCATTCCATCATTCTGTATCCATGCCAATATTTTGTTACATATCAAGCCATCCGCACTAATGAGACTATCGAGATAGGTGAATCGGTCAACACCCTCAATTACTACACTTCCTATCACTGATTCAAGTGCCAACGCAAGCCAATCCTGAAGAAACATATTGAATTTCGAATAAGAGAATCATATTCCGACCATGCTTGCATTGTTGCTTGAGGGGGTCGGAATACGGCATTTTGTCATCAACATATTCTAAGTCAGTAAATAGATTTCCTGCTAAATGTCCAACTGCTTACAGATGATGAAAGTGTCGTATGCAAAAGCACGTCATTGTTGAAGTTAAACAATAACGGAAAAAGTGATCAGCCCACTTGAAGTAATGAATTTGGATAACCGTTAGCCATAAGTTCTGACTCGACCAGTTGTGTTCTAGTGGAGAACCTTTATAAGGTTAATGTATTTTTTTGGCACACCTTTCAATGAAGAACGTACTTCCATAGAACCCCACGATCTTTGTGATGTGGTGTTTTCCACTAAGCTCTTATTCAAAAGCTTTCGATTTTCACCTATTGCTAGGTTCATGTACATATAAACATTAGAAGTAACTTGGAAGAATGTATGTTTGAATTAAAGATGTAGTATTGTCAGTGTATATGTTTCATATTTAAAGAATCCAATAAGATTATTGGGAATAATTTAAATTTTAGTGTCTATTCACCTATACAATTAATATTTTCTTCACAATTCTACTTTTCAAAACTCTGTTATTTATTTTTTTAGATTCAACCAATTGAAAAAGAAGCTGACATTATCAAAGATTTATATGAAATGATTGATGTATTCACGGTACCAGTACCACCGGAAGATTTTGCCGTTTATCAGGTATGTATGTTCATTGTATTATTTGAAAAAAAAATTGTTTTAATATTCAAATCTATTAGGTAAATTTCTTCAATTGAAACATGTTTCAACTGTTTATCCAAATAGGATCGTATAAACGATCGCATATTGCATAGAGAAAAAAACCTCCATATTTAAGATCTTCAGTTACCAATTTGAACTGTAGCAGTGTTAAAAGTGGTCGGTCATTTGAATATCAAGTTCGTTTGGAGTGTACTTGCAAGTACGATTATGTGATTGCGAAATCGGTAACATACGATCTGTATAATGCCGCCAAAAAAATACTGTTGCAGTTTAGGGTAGTTGTTTTTTGATTAATAATAATATTATTGTAGCTTCTCTCCTCTAATTACACCTATGCTTTAGCATTTAGCAAGCTCTGAATTGGATTGCAATAATCTCTTTGAATTAATCTTCAATTTTGGGGCAGAGTTTTGGAGGTTTGTGTTTTTTACACATTTGAAATCATCAATCAATCATCGTTAGACAAACACAAACCTCCAAAACTCTGCCTGAAAATATCGTAACAGTGCTTACTAGTGACTAGCTTCGTGAGAGAATTCTCGGAGTTGAGAAGACGTGACCAATGGAGTTCAACCCTGTCGGGTGTAGGCAGTAACTACCAAAGACAAATAGGTGAGGTCGCGCAAAATCCATAGATCAATCAGAGTTAGACATTAACACCGTTGGATGCCGGCCCAGTGGTCCGATGGTTAGGCGTTCGCGCACAATACCGAAGATCCCCGGTTCGAATCCTGCGAGATTTAGTAGTCGTGGATGCGCACTACTGATGAGTCCCATAGCAGGACGAAACGGCCATCCAGTGCTTCCATGTTTCTAATGGTGGTCTAACAGTGATTGATTGATGATTTCAAATGTGTAATCTTCAATTGTTGTCATTGTCTCTTGTTTCCCTCTTCACTAATGCACTAACCTTCCTTGCTTCATCGTGACTTGAAATAGTCACTTGCCCCTAGAAGTGTTTCAGACTGAGACAAATTTCCACTGAAACTTTATCAAACGTTCACAAACTATATAAGGAAGTAATTTTTTTGAACTGATTCCACATGTTTCAGTGTAACATTTTATTAAAATCACATAAATTAATTGTTGATTAAGTGTCTTTTTTCAAAATTCAATATTTAAGAGTCTGATACCATCGATTGATCGAGCTAAAGATGCAATGGATAAAGCTTTGGGTGATCATGATCAATATATTGATAGATTTTTTGGTTCTTTGGAAAAAGACATCAATGAACTTTTGCATGATATTAAAGAGACAAAACAAGCCGTGAATGTAAGTGATATTTACAATACGATTTATTTTCTAAACATATAAGCATCCATATACTATTAGAAATCATTTTTTCTTCGTTCAACACCCATACGTTTTTGTCATTAACCAAAGAGACATTTTTAAGAAAAAATGATTCACAGTTCAATGTTGTTGTTTTAATGCAAAATAGGAATGAATTGACACGAAACGCTACTCAAATCTGATTATCCCAATCCCCATATTGAGTAAAAATAAGAAGACTTGGTATGAAGAAGAACCTGTATTCTACAAGCATCCAGAAAGTACGAGGTCCGAATCCAGAAGAGAGTCAGGATCCCGGAATAGGGATCCGGGACCGGGACCTGATCCTGCAGAGAAAACGTTACAGATAATGCGCACATTGACAGTTAAGACGACCAATAGGAAGCAACATTTGAAGTGACATTGATAGTCAGGACAACCAATAAAAAACAACATTGGAGCACGTGACATTGATATCTAGGACGACCATAAATTGGCCAGTAGGAATTAACCAACAAGAATTGACCAATAATTATCTTAGGGTATTGGATGAATATCCTAACAACTTTATAGTGTTGATTGCTATTTACTGAATTGTGAAGATAAAATGACGATCAATTTGATTATGTATGATCTTTTGAGATAATCAGCTCACACAATCCTTACTCTTGCTTATGTGAACATGAGAATATTGACTAGGTGCAAAGTTGATTTTGACCTGAAAACTAGGTACAAGCAGATCAAGGCATAATGTCATGGTATGCTCGGACATCTGTGATATTATATATTACTAGCCTAAAACCTGTTGCGTTAGATGGAGATTTCTTGGTCAAGAATTCTACAAAAAATCGTAATCAGACTTCAGAGATTATGGTTGACATAGTTTTAAAATATCAGTCAAAGTAGCATTGATTCTCCTTTCTACTTTAAATTTTGACTCTAATGTCAATCATAACTACCTTGGTCTGATTTACTTCGGTTGGTAGGGTGTTTCGAGAGAAACCTGAGAAACAGTTGCATTAGCGTTGGCCTTAGCAACCTGGGAGTGCGACTGCAGGGCCTAAGGGACAGCTTCTTGAGGCCGGTTTTGCACGCCCTTTTTCTGTGAAGTTTTTGAAATGTTAGCTCCTCTTCTCGAAAGTCCTCATCGCCGGAGACGGGAATGAGTAAGGCAAGGTCAGGTGTGACATTTTTATGGTCGACCTTTTCTCACCCGTTCCTTTCGTTGTGAGAAAGGCAGCATCTCTGCAGATGCTGGTTGTTGGAGGGAAACACCTTAATGCTGTCACATCCTTCTGCAGTCAACATTACGAATTCACTCTCAGATCTTGACTTACTACTTCCAGTCTTAACGTCCTCCAGTCAACCTGTTCGCCATGTTAGGACCTAAAGGAACACATGTCCCGGCCAATAAAGATAGATTAGGTCATCATGATAGGTTAGCCTGATCATTACATCAAGGTTGTAGCTGCTCTCGGGCGTTTCTGAGGTCACTCAATCATAACTAGCAGCTTGAACTCCATTAAGAATTATTTCATTACCGTCTTACAAGATTACATGTTCTTGATAGATTTTGAAAGTTTTAATTAAAGCCCCAAAGCGGACGACTGAAGTCAGTCTGTTCAATCAAAGTTCCACGAGTTTCATCGAATTATTCCATGAATATGCGTGATTATTTTAAATGTATTAATGACCTATTATGATTAAAGCTGGATTACATTTCTTTTATATTTGCATTTATTATATATATATGTATATATCTGTTTACAGAATCCACGGCTTTTAGATGTAACAGCAGAACGTGAAGCGGTTCGCGCTGAAATGTCTAGATTACAAACCATAATCGATGAATTAAGGAATAGAGCTACAATCTACAAAACTTATCATCGAGAATTTAAAGTAAGTCAACTAATTCGTTCAGTTAATCAATATTATGAAATATACGTGTGGATTCACAGTCCTTGTTTTACAATGCACCTTCGATCTCGAATGCAAACTCTTAACCTCTAGACTACTGAGCCAGTGAATAACAGAGTTGCCTTTCTAGGGCGGAATGCTAATCTTATGTCTTCAGGTGTTCAGTGGTGATTTTGCCAAGATCATTTAACCAATCAAATTTTCCTCAAAACCACATCATAAATAAACTGACTTTTATGAATGATAATTAAATGAAAATGTACAGATAAACAAATTAAGGTTATTCAATTCAGTCAATGGTTACCAACTTTTTTTAAAATTCAAATTATGTTTATTTACTGATCTGTTTGTTTTGTTTGTAGGATCTTGCACAAGCTTTGACAGGTACACCAATCGAAGTAAGTTCATGAACATTTGATAATGTACAGCATTTTTTATGATTGGTGCTTTATGCTATGATCAAGGGTCAATTAGACAAACTAACTCTGGTCACGTTAGTTTGAGTATTCTAAGCCATATCTTGTAACGTCTCAAGCCACTGAATTATATTCTTTCTCTAACTCTAACCTGGGAATAATGAAGAGAATACAGATGCTAATTCTGTACAGCTTCCTTTGATATCCTGTCACCGTATCATAAACCAACCGGCTATTCTCTTTTTCTAACCTGTACGAATGCGAATCTCTGGAACGATATTCTTAGAAAATTTCCGAATCAGCGAAGGCATCATTTCAAAATGGTGAAACTGACTGAATTGTCGTGACTGGGCTTAGATTAGATTACTAAAGGATGTTTCGTTAACGGTGGGTTAGCCTAGCCTTATTAGATCGATTAGCTTCGCTTGAACTATTGACACAAATTACCATCAATAGCACCAGTTAGTACGTACAACTCCTGCCATCCCCAAGTGGCCAATCAAAACACGAATATAGTAATCAAATCTTTCTTCTGTTATCAGATTTTAAATATGATGCTATGAAGATTGGTCAAAGTGGTTGATATTATCGGTTGATATGATTTAAATAACCGTTTTAAACCTGGAAGCAGTGGGCTACCGTTTCATTCTAGTCTGATACTACTAAGGAGTATACATTTATGACCCTATATTTGAGAATGGGAACTAGGATTTTCGGTCTCGAACATGAACCCTTAACCTCTAGACGACTGAACTGGCATCCGACGTGTTGACACTCTTCCACTGTCTTAGGTAGTTACCTACCTCACAACTGTTACGATTTACCTCCACCGGTCACAGCTTATCACTAAAACTTAGGAAATTTCCTCTTCAAGCTAGTTACTTGAACTGGTTCGAGAAATACGGTTAAGACAATTAGATAATGAATCAGTGGTCTAGCGGTGAAGAGTTCGCTCGCGAGACCGAAAATTCTGGGTTGTGAGTGCATACTTCTTATTAGTCCCATATATTAGAATGAAAAAAACTATCAATTGCTTACAGGTTTTCAATGGTTGTCCGAATCATATTGATTCATGATTTCATTCAACTTCAACAACAGTGTTGTACACTTTAATTTATTTAATTTTATGACTTCTAGTCAATAAACAATATTCAATATGATACGATAATCAACAATAAAAATCCCACTTAAATATTGTCATAATTCAAACAACTTCTAAAGATTAACCAGTTTTAAGAAACTTTATCAACCGTATAAGAATATACATAACAATGATCACACGTTGGATCGCATGTGATGAAGTTATTAATTTCCACTATGCTCACATAAATATGGCAAAACCAAACATTATCAGTCAGAATAGATTGATTTGATTGAGATCATGAATCGATCAATATTAGACAACCATTAGAAATTTGAAAGCACTTGATAGCCGTTTCACCCTAATATATGGGATTCATCACTGTTGCATTCATGCCCAAGACTCACGAAAACCAACATCGAAATAAGGGCTTTCGATCTCACTTGTGGTTTTAAAGTTTGCAGAGTCAATAAAAAACTAGGATTCAAAATCATTTGTTCTACGATTTGAAAAAATGAAACACAGAAGAAAAAATTTTCTTTCGTAAATTTCCCTTGATCGTGGTAGTAGTAGTAGTAGTAGTAGTAGTAGTAGTAGTAACAGTAGTAGCATCAATCTAAAAGCACAGTCTAACACATCTTGAATTCCCATATAATTTAGTGTTCGTATTTTTTTTCCGCATATTTTTAGGATCAAATACTTTCACGTACTGGTGTTAAAGCTCCACCACTTGTGGTAAGTAAAGTTGATTTTGTTTATAACAGTGTGCTTAAAAATACGCCAATGTTTTTTTTCCACTATTCGCTTTTGAAATACAATTTAACCTAAACAATATTTTGTAAATCTATTTTAGAATAATTAACTTGAATAGTTTTTTCAATTACATAGAAGTTAGTCATTTGGTTAGTTGATATTTTGTCCAAGTTCTATTTTGATCATGAAAGGTATTGACAATATTGATTTGTGTTTAAACGAAAAAAACTGGTACGTTGCCATCATATAACTCAAATTTTTTTTCTTCAATTGGAGGACATTACAAATTAAGAAAAAAATTGACTATGATTCTTGATTATTTGTACAAATCAGTGAACTATTGATTCAAACGGTATTTGAAAGATGTAAAAACTTCTTTCTTGATGGCATTTATGTGATCATTTTGAAAAAAAAGGTAACTCTGGTTTACCTTAGATGACTGATATTAACTGAAACCAATTGAAGTTGACCAAAACTATGTATAATCATTCTTTAACTTCCACTAATTCTCAATTTTTTAATATTTTATTTCACACCTCGTGATTTTATTTGTTATTTTTGAGCTCTACCAACTGTAATCGAATTTCATTTTGATTTAAACAAATATTCTTTCGGTTTTATGCCTTTGTGTTGGATCGATAAATAATTTGATACTTTGGATTGTGTACAATGATGATTAATAATCGTTTTATATACAATACCATGTATCTGATTACAATTAAAAAGTCTCAACCGAGCTCCAAGATTTGATTGTTGGAGCCCAGTGTAACACAATGTTTGGTATGATCATTTTCCAATGAATTTAGCATATATTATTTTTCAGACTGAAATTCTTAACGTTGGTAGTAAGATGTGGAGTTTTATAGTCCCTTCTTTTTGTCGTGTAGAAGAGATAGAATCTTTACAGACACTGGCTTTCTAATAGAAACAGCTTACTGTTATCACAATACTGTTCAGCCGGTAGTATAAATTCACCCTCGGACCTTAAGTTTGCAGCTTTCTAATCAACCTGCTTAACATGGTAAAAATACCCAAGGAATTAATGCTCCACCCATTAAAAGTTCGATAGCACCAAAGTGATGTGCAAACTTGACCGATAACTCAGGGTAATAGCTGTCAATTCACGATTCTGCAATGCATAAACACTTTCTTAACCAACATAACAATTCTCAGTTTTACCTATTCTTCTCCTTTTTTCTACTTCTTATTTGAAGGTTGAACCACTACGTTTTGAAGAGTTAGAAGCAATAGTCAATGAAATGAAATTAAGATATTTATTATGGGATTCACTTGATGAATGGGATGAAACTATGAAAGAATGGATGAAGCTAGAATTTTCCGATTTAGATCCAGAAGATTTAACCAATACCACCATGAAATATATGAAATCAGTGGCTTTAATGGAGAAAGGTTTGCCTCCAAACACTGTAGTACCGTTATTAAAAGAAAAAGTAGAGGATATGAAATTAAAAGTAGGTTATCTAGACATATATGTTTGTGTGTATGGTGAATGTCTGATTATCTAATTCTTAGTAGTAACTCATCTGTAACAATTGACAAACAAACCTAATTGACTAAACCTTAAGGCATATTTGCATGTGACTGGTAAACTCTAATCTACAGTATAGAATCATATAACTTAATACTCGAATTGGCGCTTGATCAGCTGTCAGGGTTAGAAATATAATATACCGAATAAAATACTCAGTGAGATCGATCGGCCTAAGGTAAGATACTTAGTGTGATGCAGATGGCTTATATTGATAATATGGTAAATTGTTGTGGCACTTGATGGTGTGAATTTGTAATTGGCAAAGAATATCAGTGTCTTTAAGACAGATATCCAATACCTCTTGCTAACGGGTTATGAATTTTCTCAAATTTTTGTACAAGATGTTGCAATTTTTTGCTTTAAACTTAAAGTTACGCAATGATGATGGTGATGTGATGAAGCTAAACACAAAAATATTTACATAATCTATCGGAACTCCGACCTACAACCTATCAAGACAAATTTCAAGGATATTCAAACATCTAGTGGATGAATCCAACTACTCCATTAAGTCTCCCACACAATTCTTGGGTATACTCAAGGGGATTCAAATCGACAACGACGAAACGATGATATCCTCCGACGTAACAGCCTTATTCACCTTAATAGAGCTAAGCTTAGCTAAAGAAACTCGTTCCCTGCTCCTCACCAGCGACACAAATCTGCACAAATATACGAAATTTCAGAGTCAAAGTCTACTTGAACTCATTGATCTATGCTTAACAACGTATTTTCAATTCAACAACAGAGTCTACGAACAAACTAAAGGAACAACAATGGGATCACCAATATCAGGACTCGTCGCGGAAGCTGTAATGCAAAGACTAGAAGCATCAACTTTACTAGTGATCGAGCCCAAAAATGTGGATTCGCTATGCTGACGACACACTCGTCATTATCAAAAGGAACGAGGTCGAGAACATCTACAACCGGATCTACAACGTCTTCGATGACATTAAATTCACTATGGAAAAGGAATCAAACAGCAGTTTGTCATTTCTGGATGTATTAATCACCAGAACTAACATAGGAAAACTGGAAACTCAAGTATTTCGGAAGCCCACACAGACGTAATTCTCAACTACAGCAGCAAAAACCCAAGAATCCACAAAATCAACTGCATACAAACTTTGTTCAAGAGAGCGAAGACACACTGCAGCACATACGAAGCAGTAAAAAACGAGGAAGAACACATTGTGACTATCTTAAAAAAGAACGGCTATCCACGCAACTTCATCAAAAAACATAAACCGAAACCATCATCAGAAGCGAAATCAAGCACAGGAACCAATAAACGGATCATCCTATCATACATAAAAGACATATCGGAGCATACAGCACGGCTACTGATACCATTTGGAATAGGTGTGGCACACAAACCAACAGAATCACTTCGATCAAACCAAAGAAAAAATGACAAAGGAAGAAAAACCAAATATCACCTACAAAATAAATTGCTCACGCTGTGAAAAACGCTACACAGGACAAAGTGGATGGCCTCTTCAGCTTCGTTTACGCAAACACCAATTAGCAGTTAAACGCCACAGCAATCCTTCGCTTATGTCAATACAAACGTACAATTATGGACACACATTCGATTGGGACAATGTGGAAATACTGGATAGGGGGGGGGGAGGAAAAATACTCGGGAAATTTTAAAAGCTTGGCACTCAGGTCAATCAGCAAGTCAACAAATACATCGACAGTGACCCAATTTATCAACCAATCAGAAAAATCATAAGTGACATAGGATCAAGAAACAGATCAAAAGGGGGGTACAATCAAAACAAAGGTGCAAACAACGACGGGTTTAAGGTCAACAGCAACCAACGAAGATCGAGGTTAGCAGAACAAGCTACAGGTCAAACGTGGAGAAATTCGAATGCTTCACTTCTATCTGAAGTTTGTGCTGATGATGTTTGTTGTTCAGAAGAACACTGAAAGCTCCACAACTAAAAAATCCAGCTCAGAGAACGAAACATCACCAAAATAATCTATCGTTCATACAGAAAAATCACTGTACATTTGTATCATGTGTAATCTGAATGCTAAATAATTTTCATTCTGGTGTATTCATGATCTAGGATTTGACTGTAGACTTTTCAAAGTATTTCTTTACCTTAAAATTTTCAAGAAAAATACTTGTTCTCCTTATGGACAGAACACGATGATTATTCCATAAATAGTTATATTTATCAAGTTTATTTTTGTACTACAAAGGAACAAATTGTGTATTATTCACTATTTCCATGTGTGATGAAAATTGAAAATGTCTATTCTATGCATCCCTGGTTCGCGTGAATCGAACTCAGGACCTTTGACCATGTGCTCGAATGCTTAATCTGTTAACCAAATGATCCAGCATACATCAGTGTTAATGTCTAACTTCAATCAATCCACAATAGACTGACTCATTACTTTGATGAAATCTAACAACAGCTATGTTCAAAACCACAACCTTGTATCATCATCTTTACTCTTGAAAATGTCCATATATATGATCGCGTAATATTGTAAATTCTTTTTTTCTAAATGAACTCGATTTCATGTACTACAAAATGTACTACAAACTATTCATATCTTTTTTGTTTAAAATTTTATTTTGCACAATCAAAATTTCTCTCTTTTTTTATTAAAAAAAGTTACCAACTATCACGGATCTACGTAATCCAGCATTAAAACCACGTCATTGGAAAATATTAGAAGAATTAATTGGTTTTCGAATGTCCGATCTGGAAACACCTATGAATCTAGGTTATTTAGATCAATTGAAAGCATTCGATAAAGCGGAACAAATTCAAGAAATCTCAGGTCAAGCTACTTCTGAATCAGGTTTAGAAATGTTACTTAAAAAAGTGAGTAAATCACATTGGAATTTCAACTTTTCCTTTCTTTCTCCTTATAGAGTCCTTGAGATTATTTCTTCAAATTATATTTTGACATATCAGGAAAAGACTGAAAATTATCATGTAATTAAATCTTACAAACAAGAGACTTACTTATTCGAAACGATTGATTGATGTTTTCATTAACCTAACCGCACTTTTGCTTCTTTGAACTGCGAATTGTAAGATGTTTTTCCAAAGCCTTTCATGTGGTAATGTCTAATATAGTTAATTCTTTAATTGAAGGTGTTAGGATATTCATTCAAGAGAATTATTTGTGAGTCTAGTTCTGTTAGTCAATTCCTATTGGTCGTCCTAAATATCAGTGTCACTTTAAATGGTGTTTCCTATTGGTCGTTGTGACTATCAATGTCACATACTTTAATGTTCTTTCCTATTCGGCCTAACTGTTATCCCTAGTCCTGGATCCTGGTTCTCTTCAGCACTTGGACCTCGTACTTTCTGGATGTTTGTGGAATACATGTTCTACTTCATATCAAGTCTTCTTCTTTTACTCAGTGAGGGTTTTGGACAATCGAATTTGAGTAGCCTGTCGTGTCGCCGGATCCTCCATCCTCGGTCTCGTTTTCCGACTGAGGTAAACTCGTAATAATTCAAGCATATCAAGTGACGTGGTCACGCGCATGCGTAATTGAAGGAACCTTCAAAATAACTGCTCCTCTATTTGCTGCCCTATGCTTTCTGAAGACTACAAGACAGTTAGGAAGTTTGTATCTTAGTTTGTTCAACTACAAGATATATCATTTTTATTGTGGTGTTATAAATCCATTATCTCTCATTGTTACTGATGCTTACTATTGTATTCTCGTCAATTGATATGCTTGAACTATAACGAGTTCATCTTGGTCGGTAAACGAGAGAGAAGACAAATGATCCAATGACATGATAGGCTACTCCTAGCGTCCCACGGCCCCATTAAGTATAGGAAGAAGTCTTGTTAAGGCATAGAAAGTGTATTCTAATAGCACCCAGAAAATATGACGTCCATAAACACACAAATCCAGTTTATTTTTACTTCATAGAAACGTCCTTGGGAGAGCCACAAAAAATAGCGTACTAAAATAATACATCAACCAATAACAGCCAAGGATTTTCCCGGGTGGGAAATGTAATCTGAAAGTCAACTAATCGGCCCATGCGCTAAAACATAAAATCCAAAATTAGGACCTTTATCAAGTGATTTCTGGGGATCTAACGTCCCCAAAAAGTAGAGAGAATAAGATATCTTAAGTCATCGAACACAGACAAACAGACAGCCTACTGATTACTAAATACATGGTTCCCTCTCTAGTTAATTTCTACTATGGACTCACTGAAAGTCGCTGCTTGTAATTGTGTGGAATAAAATAGTCTATAGTTTACTTTGGCTCTATATCTCGGCCGTGAATCGTTTATCTGATGTAACACAATCCAGTCTTTGTATAGTCAGTTTCCAATGCCACTGTTAAAACAGTTATCGATCATTGTGATTCTTATATTTTCACTTTGTCTATGATTTGTGTTAGAAATTACGTCGAGCGAGTTTGATTTTGGGTTTCCAGTGATGTTCTTTGTGCAACCTTTTCACCATCGTTAATATTACTACGAATTTACCTACTCTCTAATTCTCATGATTATAATATGATTAACACTTCTGCCACATTCTTATAACCAATCGTATGATATTTGTTTAACTAATTCATTCAAGTATTCATTCATTCAATTTATTCAAGGTTGAAGAATCATGGAAATCAGCTGAATTCATTGTTCTGCCATATAAAGATAGTAAAGATGTTTTCATTGTTGGTGGAACTGATGAAATACAACAATTATGGGATGATTCCAATATTAATATCTCTACAATTGCTTCATCACGTCATGTTGGACCAATCAAAAGTCGCGTTGATGAATGGCAAACTTTGTTAGAATTATTTGGAAGAACTTTGGTAAATAAAGTCTAAATTGTTTATTTATAAGGGCATAAATAAGTAGAACGGAAGAGCCAGATTGATAAGTTGTTTAGCGTGAAGTTTTAAATGATTCAAATATCATTTTCACTTTGTTAGATGCATTAAAACTAATTATTTTAAGAACGGAAAAGACGTAATTTGACAGAACATTCATGGAGTTTACATTGAGAAGTTGTAGTCACGAGAATTCGAACATGTGAGGAGTGAAAAAAAATACCAGCAATGGTTCTAAAGTATTGTGAACTGACTAAAGTTAGAAGCGTGAACTATTAAACCCCAACTCAGCGGCCGTAAAGATAAACGATTGCCACGAGACCTGAAAGTTTGGATTTTAACTTCTGGTAGGTTTGTGAACGTCCACTGATAGAAAGTTTTAAACTCGAATAAAACAAATATCAAGTACTTCTTAGTTCGGAATGATTAAATATTTCAATTCATTGAAACGATGAATAAATCACTGTCAGACCACCACTGGAAACCTAGTATCATTGGATGGCCTTCTGATAATAGTATCGGGCTCGTCAGCGGCGCACATCCGTGGCCTAACCCAGAGGAATCGAACCCAAGACCTTTGGTCTTACGTGTGAACGCTTAACCACTGAGCCGACATCGAGTGGTGCTAGTATCCAATTTTAATCAATCTATCATGTTGCGCAAACATTATCCATTATCTTCAGTAATTACTTCCTACACCCGACTCAGCTGGACTCCATTGGTCACGGTTTCTCACTAGAACTCCGAGAATTTCCTCACGAGGTCAGTCACTAATGAGCACACTGTATGAAATTCATTATGAAGTTATCGAAATTGTTGTTTTTCATTGAAATCATGTTATAATCGTCACTAGGTATGCTTGAAACTATTACGGGTTCATCTTAGTCGACAAATGAGATCAAAAGAATGAACCAGCGTCCTGGTAGGCTACTCAGATCCTTTGACTAACGAAAAGCCTTGATATAGCGTAGAAAGTATATTCTACAAACACCCAGCAAGCATAATTAATACAAGCACACAAATCGCGTTTATTTATACATCATAGAAACGTCCTTGAAACAGTCACAAAAATAGCACACTAAAATACGTAGCAACCAATCACAGCCACAGATTTTCTTGGTGTCAATGTCAATGTCAACTGATCAGCCCATGCTCGGGAACATAAAATCCAAAATAAAGGCTTTTATCAAGAGAGTTCTGGAGATCTAACGTCCCCAACAAATCATCAATGATCTCCATAGCTTTGATGAATATTATTCAGCCAGTACTGTAAAATGAAAGGACCCAAGAATACATTTTGAATACCTTAAATGCTAGAATTTCAGTCGGTTACTTTATAAATCTACGGATGTGTTGTAGAAAATGAGTATTACACTGAAACTGTTTAAAAATTTTAATTGGAATATTGTTTACCAATATCAACTTATCATAAAATAATTGTGTCCGGTCATTTACTCTCCATGGAAGTACACACTGTTCAGTTCATCATCTGATTATATCAGTAACATAATAAATACTTTCATTCTGTCACATTTGCTCTGCCAGAATAAAGACAAGACGTGAACAGCAAGAATATCCTATGTCCTGAGATAGATTATATCAGCATTCTTACGAATCTTACATCAAAACTAAAAACTGCTGTTTCCGACCTGAATTAACCGGTCAGTTCACATGGTGGCTCCTTGACTTCACAACAACCAAGGACTTTCAGGCGCGCTACGTTTGAGTCCGATGGTATACAATTCTCGCCTCAATAAATTTATGATATTGCACGACCTGGCTCATCGGTGTAAAGGTTAGGTGTGTGTGTGTGTGAAATCCAAGATCCTTGGTTCGATTCCCAGTGTTAGCGTTATGAACACCTTCGGCTGTGTAGTTCTATTATTTCGTTGAAACGCTTGTTTAACGCTTCCACAGTTTTAATGATTATCTAACTTAGATCGATTCATAATCCCAATAAAACGCAGAAGTATCCATAATGATAATTATTAATTATTTTAAAATTCCTTTTTTTTCTGTTCTTTTTTTATTTAAAAGGATGAATGGATGCAATGTCAAAGAAGTTGGCTTTACTTAGAAAGTATATTTTCTGCACCAGATATACAACGTCAATTACCTAGTGAAGCGAAAAGTTTCATGGCTGTAGATAAATCATACAAAGATGTAATGCGTAAAGTGCAAAAAGTCCCATTAGCTATGCGTGCCGCTACACAACCTGGTTTATTTGATATATTTCGTAATAATAATCAATTATTGGATCAAATACAAAAATGTCTTGAAGCTTATTTAGAATCGAAACGTTCAGTGTTTCCACGTTTCTATTTCTTATCGAATGATGAATTATTAGAGATTTTAGCACAAACACGTAATCCATTAGCTGTACAACCACATTTGAAAAAATGTTTTGATGCAATTGACAAATTGGAATTCGGTTTAGCACCGAATTCAATTAATAAAGGTAAAGATAGCAGTTATGATAATTTTTATTTTTATTTTTTACGGTTTCTTTTCTCGTTTGATTGATTGAATAATAGTAACACTGTACATTCAATGAACAAGTTAAACTTGTATCTACATAGATTGCATCAGTCTTAGCTTCATTTTTGAGGTGATATTAAAAATTTTGCACAATTCCTCATTGACTTTGTTAGATAGAGGATGAAAGTGTTGAGGATGTTAGATCCCCAGAACTCGCTTGATAATTATCTTTATTTTGGATTCATTTCATTGACTGGTCAGTTGACCTTGAAATCACATGTCCCAGCAGGAAAATTCTCGGTTGTGATTGGTTACTGTGTCATTTTAGTGTGCTATTTTTGTGACTGTTCCAAGGATGTCTCTATAGAGTATGAATGAACGCCATTTAAGTGCTTGGATTGATTGTGTGCTGGCTGGGTGTTTGTAGAATACACTTTCTACACTATATCAAGACTTCTCGCTGATTCAGTCTGGTCAAGGGATCACAATAGCCTACCTGGACGTTGGTTCATTGTTTTGTCCTCGTTATTCGACTAAGGTGAACTCGTAAAAGTTTTAAGTATACCTAGAGACGAGAGTAACAGAAAGGAAAACAAGAGATCTTGTTATAACACAGCATGATTTCTTTTTAATTACTACTTTTCTTGGTATACAACTACCGTTCAGTATAACATTCGTTTTGTTATCGATGTGATGTATTTTTCTGCATAACGGTGATTTGATTTCATGATCACGTTTATTTAAGATTTTTTTCCCTTCATTGAAATATCATTTTCTTCTGGTTTCATGTATTCAGCGTTCACCAACAATATTTATCTTACATTGATACCATGAGTCTATAAATATCTAATCACCGTTAGAAAGCTCGAAGCATGGGACGGTCATTTCATCTTAATATGAGACTCATCAGCAGTGTGCGTCCACGATGTTCGCACTAGGGAATCGAACCCCAAACTTTTGGTTTCCAACGTGAACGCTTAACCTGTTGACCGCTGAGCAGGTATCCAACAGTGGTAATGTCTAGCTTCAATCAATCCACGATATCCGACATGACTGAACTGCTGCAGTCACTGCTTCCCACTAGATCTCTATATATTCCCTCACGAAACTGGTCACTAGTGAGCACATGATAACTGTCACTATGGAGATTGTTGAGTTTCCCTTTATACGTAAACACGAAGAACGATTAGTTATGTGACCTGTTCATTAAATACATAAACCCTCTATGACTATTCTATAATTTCTTATTGTAAACAAAACTTATTCATTCTATTCAATATAATCATTAAAGTCAGTGAAACGATGTTATTTGTGAACTGTATGGTAGTGTTTACTATGGAAAAAAATAACTAGCCGTACATTTAAGTATAGAAACGTAAATTTTTAATTCATCAATTCAAACAAAGGCAGAAACCTAGTTACTAAAATTTGACCGAGATGCTCATCATTCTTCTAAAGATAGCTCAATGAGCATTTACAGTTTTAAACAACCGACTATAAGAGATGGATGATGGCTAGCAAGGGAATGCAGGACGAGTGTTTCATCCTACTACTTAGAACTCGTCGACGTGTATCCCAGAGTTGAAGTTCACTCCAGGACTGAAATCTAGTATCATTCACATCAAATACCATTACGTTATGCATCTCTGTCAATGACTCTTGTAACCTAATGATATGATTGAGGTAATCTGCATGGGGTATTACATATACCAAATGAGTCTGATCTGTTGCAGTCTTAAATACCAATGGGAAGAACCGAAAGGTTCGAATACAAATGAATTAACCCATTATTATTGTTATGCTCGTATTTTTCAATTATATAATTCGATTTTCAATCCTTTCATTCTTTTTAGATGCACCTGTGTATACAAATGATATACTGGCAATGATTTCACCTGAAGGCGAACGTGTATTACTTGGCAAGGTGATGTATAATCTGAATCAATACATTGCATTTACACATGTAGTCAATTCAGTTCGTAAATTTTTTTTATAGCAAAAACATTTATGGACTTATCTAATTCAAATTCATCAGATATTCAACACTGAATTTTCATAACTTTATACCAGTAGATTGGTTGGATAGATACTTCAATAAACTAGAATTAAATAACCAGTTAACTGGCATTTAGAAGTTAACTGTAATTTCTTAAATATCTGTACAATGTAATTATTATGGCAAAGCTTATATTCGATAATTTCGACTTTACTATTCTTTTACTGTTCGGTGTTCGTGCAAACCTTCATCTCTTAAGGTGACTACGTCTACTGGCTAGTACAGTGAGAGTTTGAGAAAAGTCTAGGTGAGATAAAATCAGGAAAAATAGACTACGAAGTTATCATTGTATGAAATATGGCACATCAAAGTAATGTTATTTTTCTGATTGTATTACGCGATATTGTAATGTATATTACTCACAATCTGACTTAAAAGTAGTATGCAGTGGATATACAACAGACTGTCTCCCAGAATCTGCGATGCAATCAGAGTGTTTTAAATACCTAGAAGACATGTGGAAGAAGATAGCCAATCATCTGTCTATTTTGTAAATGGATATTTGAAGTTAGGGTGTACATGTTTTTGGCAGTAAACTGTATCTGCTTGAAACAAATCGCTAATCCCATACCTTCCTCCTTCTAATAAAAAAATTAAAGGGATATTCAGGTTTCACTATATGCTATTTAACGTAAATAAATAGTTACATGTTCAGTCGGTGTATATTTTCGTAAGAAAAACCCTGATTTCATTACTGATACATTGTTTTTCAATGACAGTTAATCATGAAGTTACTTTCTCTTATAGAAATTTTATTATTTCATACAATTTAAATAAATATCAGCCTTTTTAATTTCTCCATTTCATCACAGGGTTTGAAGGCTAGAGGTAATGTTGAAGAATGGTTAGGTAAAGTAGAAGAAGCAATGTTTACAAATCTTCGTAAATTAATGAAAATTGCCATCAATGATTTTGAACGATTACATCGTGAAGAATGGCTGAAAGCGCATGCAAATCAAATTATCCTAACAGTGGAACAATTAATGTGGTCACGTGATATTACATTGATTTTGGAAGATCCTTTTCCAGAAGATCGTTTTAACGGTTTAAAAGAATATGAAGAGAAATGTTTTACTGTATGTAGGCCATTTTCGAAAACAAAATAATAATAGTTAGTTTGTTATATTGGGAATTTTTTTTGGCTTGCGAAAACCTGTAACTATAATGCGAAATTGAAAACCACACAGGGTAAAGCATCACGTTCTGATGTCCCTGAGCGACTGATCAGCTAATCGAGAAATGGTGCCTAATTATACAACAGTTTACAATAAAAAGCAATGAAATAATAATAACATATTATTCACTGCACTTTAAATTCTGTGCGAAATCCTGAAGGCCATCAGTTTGTTGTAGTTTTACTCGGACACTTGAACTTGATGTCATCGAAGATGTCGTTGATCTGATTGTAGACGTTCTCCAACTCGTTCCTTTTGATAATGACGAATGTGTCGTCTACATAGCGAACCCACAATTTCGGCTTGATCACTGGTAAAATCGATGCTTCTAGTGTCTGCATTACAGCTTCCACGATGAGTCCTGATATTGGTGATCCCACTGGTGTTCCTTATTTTGTTCGTAGACTCTGTTGTTGAATTGGAAATACGTTGTTAAGCATAGATCAATGAGTTCAAGTAGACTTTGACTCTGAAGCTTTGTATATTTGTGCAGATTTGTGTCGTTGGTGAGGAGCAGGGAAAGAGTTTCTTTATTTAAGCTTAGCTCTATTAAGGTGAATAAGGCTTTTACGTCGAAGGATATCATCATCTCGTCGTTGTCGGTTTGAATCCCCTTGAGTTTATCCTAGAATTGTGTGGGAGACTTAATGGAGTAGTTGGATTCATCCACTATATGTTTTAATATCCTTGAAATTTCTCTTGATGAGTTGTTGTTCGGAGTTTCGGGGAGGAATACAATAGGGCGTAGTGGAAAGTTGGGTTTGTGGAGTTTCTGCCTACCGTAGAATCGTGGAATTGCTGGTCGATTGGATTTCATTCTCCATTGATCTTGTTTTGATATTTGTCCTGCTTTGACAAGCCTGTTCAGAGAGAGTCCTTGAGATTTGGTTGTCCAACTATTTTATTGGGTTTGTGTCGACTGGTTTATATACGCTTCTGTCCTCAAATAGTTCCTCGGCTTTTTTAATATATTCTTCCTTGTCGATAATTACTGTGGTGCGTCCTTTGTCCGCTGACTATATCTTCCCTGGTTCTGAGTTTCTATTTGAGTTTTTCATTGTTGTGCTGTTGTATCTCTTCCGTCCAGTTAGTGGTACTATGGTTTGCCTTATTTCTTGCTGAGTTTCTTCACTTATTCCTGCCGTTTTGAGTGGTGACTCTAGTGCAGCGATGAAACGTCCTTCGTGTTATAGTTTAATCCTTTTTGGAGCAGTTGTTCTTCCGTTGTCGTTAGGTGTTGTTTCCAAAGTTTGATCACACAATTGGTGGTGTTTTCTTCTGTGGGTGGCTTTATAATATTGATCAATTTATCTTTGAGGATGCTTCTTCCTTGTTCTCCGTGTCGTCTTCTTGAAATTTCGATCGCCGTTGTCAATGTTGTTAAGTGTTCTGATGTGAGTATTCTATCTAGTTTTCTTTTTTGTTCCTCCATTTTGTGCTGGTATTTGCGGATCCTATAGTGTGCATCCGTGATCATTAGTTGTATCATATGTCTCTCACGTTGTTCCGCTATTCGCCATCCCATTGGCAGTTGATTGGTGGCCTGTATCTGATACTTGTTGGCGGAACATACTGACGAATACATTCGTGGAGAAAGTAGAGCTGTTCTCGAGCGGAAGCCTGCCTTTTGGCGAAACTCCTTTTTTCGAACAACAAGAAGCGTGTCACGCTCATATGATTTTGAGATAGTGGAAAATTAAATTAACTGATTTGTTTTTTCATTTTGAAACGGTACATTTTATGGGTTTATATAGTTACTGAGAATTAATTTCACAGTGTGGGGATTAATTCGTCAGTGTTATATTATCCTGGAACTCAGTATTTTCAAATTATCATTAACTAATTTTGTTTAGGGAGAGAGATACCTGTAGTGGATCGATAACAAGTGAAGTGGTTGAAAATAACCGCTAGGAAGTTCAACTTACCGTACATTCTCTAGTGGTTAACATTTGTAGCCAAAGGATATTATTTGAAGCACCCAGATGCTCTGGTACATCTGTGAGTAAGGTGGATCTCACAGGCCAGTGACAGCAAAGCCCAAATCACTGACTTATCGTGATAAGGTTATTGTTAACGAAATAGAAAAAATGAAAAGCGAATGACTTGAGCTTTAACCAGGTTGATGGAAATGGAGGATCCACCTTGAGGAAAGGGAAAACCATGATTCCAAACCAGTTATGCACATGGGCTCATCAGTTGTGATAGGACGAGTGGTGTATCAACCAACTGTTGATCTGTGGCTACCATAGAATTGAATGTCGTGACATGTATCCATTTATCCAAGTCAAAGGCTCGGAGAGTGGCCCTCTAAAATAAATCTACTCCATTCTGGACACCAACAGACTAATTCAGTTATTTGATACCAATAAATGTGTGTTTCGATAGGGAAATAACGAACGGAACATTTGAAATTCTGAACGATTACAACTTGTGATAAGAGATGATTTTATTGAAATTATGAATAGAAGTTTATTACCAAAACAGTAGTTCTCTCAATCACATTATCGAATCATATTTAAAACAAATTCTTTTTTTTTCATTTAAATTTTCAGAAACTTAATCAACTTGCTATTCTAGTGCGTAGTGATTTACCAAAATTATTTCGTTCAGTTTTATGTGCTTTAATTACAATCGATGTACATGCACGGGATATAATGACTGAATTAGTCAATAGTAAAGTGGATTCATTGGATAATTTCGATTGGCAACGTCAACTACGTTATTATTGGGATTTAGATTTAGATACATGTGTAGTAAAAATGGCTAGTGCATGTTATATTTATGGTTATGAATATTTGGGTGCATCACCTCGTTTAGTAATTACTCCATTAACTGATAGGTGAGTAATCAAAATATTAAAAGTTGTTTTGTTTTTTTGATAAAGAGAGATTATTTGTACTATGCTTAGCATTATGAATTAATTTCGGTAAACATTGAAAACCTTGAAGAACCGAGGACATGTTTCAATCATTTTTAAAGTTCACTTCTCTATACATGGTTTCGTTTGATGTTAACGGAGAAATCGAAAGCAGATCAGCCACTTAAGTTGCTGAGCTGCTGAAATGAAATATCTTATATTTTGAAAGTAACATCTACATGGATTTTATTGACTGACGCCGTAACGTAATCAGATCTATCACAGCACTGAATTGGTGTATATCAAAGTAATGTGAAAAAATACGACTCATCATGGAGAATTAAGCATTTTGACGAACTCAAAATTGAAATCATGGAATACAATGATAATTATAGAATTTAGATCGTAATGATCATTTCCTGATCCGATTATTTGATGTACTTTAGCTATGGATGTTCATAACTACAAATTTTTAATCCATCACAGATTATTAATGATAAAAACCAATGTTTGATTGATCGCTTAATGCTTGATTTAATTAGCCATTGAGTTTCATTTTTAATTTTTCGACTTTGCTGTTTCGAACTACGGTTCCCTATCAATGTAGCTGTTAAATAGGGAACCTTTAAACTGAATTACATATGATTAGAAGGTTTCAGTTGCAACGTAAGAACTTCGTACGAATGTACATAAGTTCAGGTTGCCATACCACACTAACACAGAGACGCAAATATCGAATCCAATCCCATAATCATAAAGATAGTAGAGGCAATGGTAATGAAGAAGACTAGGGGTTCAAGATATTATTCAAGAAGCATAATTCAGTGAGATAAGGTTAGGAAGACAAAGGTAGAGGTTCTGACGAATCCAGAAGATTAGGATTTGAGAGAGCACAACGAATGGATGCACTTGGGCCATTGCAAACGATTCTGAGCCACGTCGTTCAAGGTGTCTAACGATTGGTGACTTTCGTCTCACGGACCCCAACAAGGTAGCCAACATCTACCGACATGACTCAGACCACTTGTCAGTGACTTCATGGATTTCTGCCATGTTTTGATCTGGCCACCCCTAGCTTTCTTCCAACCTATTCCTACACCACAAAACATAGCTCGTCGAGGCAGTCGGTGGTTAGGCATACGTAACACATGTCCCAACCACCTCAATTGAGGACGTTTCACCACTTCATCTATTGATTTGCCATCCCTACCTAGTACTCGTTTCCTAACGACAGCATTGCCTACTCGGTTGTCCGACGATATACGAGCAATGCTTCTTAAGCATCTATGATCGAATACTAGAAACCTGCGAACATCTTCTACTCTTAACGACCATGTTTCGCAGCCATATAGGAGAACGGATCGAACTGCTGCACAGTACACCTGTCCTTTGGTTAGCGAACGGATATCTCGCCTACGCCATAAACGGCGTAAATTGGCACATATGATTAGAAGAGTATTCAAACAATTCTCATTTAGGTTAGCTTAATAATAATAATAACAGAAGTATTGGTCTTTGACATGTTTATTCGCATCCACATTTGTAATTACATAAATGATAAGTTTTTGCTGAAGGAAGATGTCCCATGGAAAACAAATGTAACAGCTGAAGTCTAATCATTGTTGAAAGTAAAAACCATTTCACTAATCACTTGAAATAGTCATTATACAGGCTAACAAATTGCCTTACTATTTAAATATCTAGACTATCGAATTCTGCTTTAATTGTGGAACCTCTAGGGCTATAGACTCCATCGGGATGTTTACAAACACTGCTGAAAAGTGTCAACTTGAAACTAGACAGATATTATTCCATACTTCATGTTTTACAACACTTCACTCATTGATATTAATCTGTAATGAAAAGTTAATATGTTCTTTTCCTTAAAAAAAGTAAGAATAAACTCTCTCTTTCTCTCTCTTTGATTCCATTTTAGATGTTATCTTTGTTTAATGGGTGCATTACAATTAGATTTAGGCGGTGCACCAGCTGGTCCAGCTGGTACAGGTAAAACGGAGACAACTAAAGATTTAGCTAAATCTGTTGCAAAACAATGCGTTGTTTTCAATTGTTCCGATGGTTTAGATTACAAAATGATGGGTCGTTTCTTTTCTGGTTTAGCTCAATCTGGTGCTTGGTGTTGTTTCGATGAATTTAATCGTATTGATATTGAAGTGTTGTCAGTTATTGCTCAACAATTGATTGTAATTAGAAATGCTAAAGCTGCACGAGTGAGTTAGTGTTTTTTCTTGTCTACCCAATGTCAACTAGTTACTGTTATAGCTGTGTGCTGCATAAACTTTAGTGGAACTTTTCGCGCCAAACTTATCAATAATCGCATATATTCCCTTCCCCAAGCCGACATAAACATGAATTAATTGTTTCTTTTTACAATAAATAAATAGGTTGCAAGATTCATGTTTGAAGGACGTGAAATAAAATTGGTGCCAACATGTGCTGCTTTTGTGACAATGAATCCTGGTTACGCTGGACGTACAGAATTGCCTGATAATTTAAAAGCATTATTCCGTCCAATTTCAATGATGGTGCCTGATTATCGTGAGTCACTGTGTTATCATGCGAAGTTGTTATAAACATTCCTATGTAAACAAGCATTTCATTTTACATTAGAAGAATAAAAAAAGACAAACTTACTGCGACAAAGGACACAAATCCGTATAGGTTTCGGTTGAAAACAGTGTCAAGGAATACGAGATAAGCAACAGATTGACGAAAATTACAGTCTTAAAAAAATATGAAATCATTACGTTACATTTGTCATATGCTCCTCTTCTTCGAATTGACCTCAACAATCTTCACTTATTCTTGGTTTTATTTTAATTAAACTTTCTGGTTTTCTGTTTCTTTTCCGCATTTTTTTCTTTTGCCAGTGAGAATTATCCCACCTATTCTCGTTACATACTACTTATATCTGACTGTGTAAGTAGCGCTGTAGTGAATGAGAACACAGGTGTGGGCAACCGAATTGTATTTAACGAAAATTACAGAGTTACTCAGTAAAATCGGAAAACCATATCGTAAATCGTTCATTTGCAAAGGATCAGTTCATCCTATGGAACTGGACTGTTCCTGTTGCCAAACATCAATCCATTGTCACTCTTCATGCGTTTCATACAAATTCCATTGTTTTCTGACTCTTCCATTCTTGATCTTCCCCCCATATTATGCTACCAGACATTACGTCGACACTCACGCTATATACTACTTATAAGTAGTTCGCAACACAGCACCACACTCGTCCCCCCTTTTAATAAGCTGTCGTCGTGGTCCTTCAAAACAGAGCTCCTGGTCAGTTAATATCACCTTCCGTATTCCGTGACACGCTACACTATGCCGGATTACCACTTCGGTCATCGTTCTTGATCACTGGTCTGGAATGGATACGGCATCTATCCAACGTGTAGCGTCCACAAGTTCCCGATGCTGGAACACGGCGGCAGCCACACACTCGATAAATTGCGACGCCAAAGACTGTGCCCCGTCCACTCCTCACGGCGCAATCCGGTGAGCTCCACAGCAAGCACCAACAGGTCACCATCGGCCGACAGCCGCGCCAACCGGAACCTCTGCGGCGCCTCCTCCCTGTCCGCTGGGCTGTCGAACTCCATTATCAGCCGCCCGGTGACCGTCTCCCACGCCGTCTCCTTGGTGGCACCGTCCAGGCTGTCGTGCGCCGCCTTCGCCTCACCTCCCCACAGCGTCCCCAGCACCGTCAACTCCGCCCCAAGCCCCCACCAGCACCACCGTGGCCCCAAACTCCTCCAGGAAGCTCCGCCAATCTCCGTCCTGCAACTCCTTCGGCCACGGGAGCCCCTTCCTTCGAGCAGGCAGCGACACCAAATGTAGTGAATGAGAACACAGGTGTGGGCAACCGAATTGTATTTAACGAAAATTACAGAGTTACTCAGTAGCGCCACTGCCACCTAATCAGTAGCAATTAGGACTGGAAAATAAAGATTGAAAAACGCTAGACAGAAAAATGTTCACTAGTTTCGTTAATACAAGCTGCTAGTCTGGCCTGGCCATTGATTATCATTGTAATCTCTTGAAATCTCCACTAGATCTCCTTAATCCATGTTGAAAAACTAGTTTTTGACTATCATATCTTTTATTTTTAAAACGAAAATAGATATTTGATAGATTTTAATCAATTTTCAGTAAAACTACCTGGTTGGGGTCCGCGAGACGAAAGTCACCAATGGTTAGAGACCTTGAACGACATGGCTCAAAATCGTTTGCAATGGCGCAAGTGCATCCATTCGTTGTGCTCTCTCAAATCCTAATCTTCTATATTCGTCAGAACCTCAACCTTTGTCTTTCTAACCTTATCTCACTGAATTTACTTCTTGAATAATATCTTTAAACCCTAGTCTTCTTCATTACCATTAATACCTCTACTATCTTTATCACTATGAGATTGGATTTGACATTCGCGTTTCTGTGCTAATGTGGTATGGTAACATGAACTTATGTACATACGTAGGAAGTTCTACGTTGCATCTGACAGCAGCATTTCAGTTCACTTAAGTGTAGAACAGACTATGAAGTTCATAAATTTAAAGTCAATTTTTAAAAATGTGTATTAATTTTTATTGACATTGTTCTTCCGTGGTGTTCTTTGTCTTTCTTTATTGTATAGGTTTGATAGCTGAAGTTATACTTTATTCTGAAGGATTTGAATCATCAAAAACGTTAGCATTAAAAATGACACAAATGTATAAATTATGCAGTGAACAATTATCCCAACAAGATCATTATGATTTTGGTATGAGAGCATTGAAATCAGTGTTAGTTATGGCTGGTTCATTAAAACGTGAAAATCCTGATAAACCAGAAGATGTTGTCTTAATTCGTGCATTACGAGATAGTAATTTGCCGAAATTTCTTAAACAAGATGCTGTTCTATTCACTGTAAGTCATACAGTTCTATTTTAATTGTATGCATAAATTGTCAAGTTTCATTGGAATCATGAATCGGTCAACGTGAGACCACCATTAGAAACCTGAAAGCACTAAGATGAGCGTTTTGTCCTGCCTGCTATAGGACAGTGCACATTCACAACTACACAAGTGGAAATCGAACCCAACACCTTTGGTCTTGCGTGAGAGCTTAACTGCTTGGATTCAGGCCCAGCGGTCATGGATGCGCCCCGCTAATTAGCCTGATACTGAATGAAACTACCACCTAGTGCTTACAAGTTTCTGATTTTTTGTAAAAACTGTCCTTAAATTACAATATTGATTTTTAACATGAATGTACAATATTTTTATATTTTTATAGGCAATTTTAAAAGATCTTTTCCCTGGTGTTCACTTACCAGAACATGATTATGGATTATTTCTTGTGGAGATTGAAACAGTTCTACAAGATATGAATTTACAAATTGTTCCTGGGCAAGTATTAAAAGTAATACAATTTTATGAAACATTACTGGTACGTCATGGAGTTATGTTAGTTGGACCAACTGGGGGTGGAAAAACTACAGTCTATCGTGTTCTAGCTAAAGTTTTGAGTAATTTACATGCAGCCGAATTAATTGATAGTAAACCGGAATATCAACCAGTTAAAATGTATGTTTTAAATCCGAAATCAATCACTATGGGTGAATTATATGGAGAAGTAAATAAATTAACACTTGAATGGCATGATGGATTATTAGCTTCGATTGTTAGACAAACCTGTTCGGTAAGTGAGCCGAGATTGTTGCATTTATTTACACTACATATAAAGATGCAAGATTCGAAAATTTAGTGAACTTTTTTTCGGATTACTTATTTTCTGACTTATTTTTATGTTACGGGTGTAAGAAGGATTTGATTTTGACAAATTTGGTCTCGTGCTGTTACTGGTATGAGGGCGGTTGTCAATTCCCGGCTGCGCACATCGTGAAAGCTTGTTTCTTGAGGGACCTGAAAAGGAAGATAGATTAGTGATGTCCTTAGAGACCTCGGTGCGTGACCACAGAGCCTTGAGGCCGGTCACGCACGGCTTTTTTATTAAGGGTTTTTCAAGTATTAGCTCCGCTCTTAAAAGCCTTTAGTGGGCACCCTTACCGACGGAGACGGATATCCATGAGGTAGGGTGAGGTGTGACATTTTTGTGGTCGACCTTTTCTAACCCTTCCTTCCTTGTGAGAAGGCAGCATCGCTGCAGATGCTGGTTGTCCGAGGGAAACACCTTACTGCTGTCACACCCCTCTGCAGTCAGCAGTACGACTTCGCCCTCAGACCTTGAGTAGCTGCTTTCAGTCTCGTCGTTCTCCAGCCGACCTGTCTGGCATGGTAAAACATTCAGGAACATATGTTGCAGCCAGTATAGCTAGGTTGGGTCATCACGGTAGGCAAGCCCGACCATCACGTCAAGGTAGCAGCTACGGTCGGGTGTTTTTTATGTATAACTTGTTATGCTTAATTTAAGATCATTAATTGATCGGTGTTGGACCACCATTAGAAACCTGGAAGTACTGGACGTCCGTTTCGTCCAAGTATGGGACTTATCAGTAGTGCGTATCCATGACTCTCATTATTGTCAGGAATCAAGCCCAAGACCGTCGGTCTTTCACACTAACCCTTAAGCTCTATATCACTGTGCTGGTATTCAATGGCGTTAATGCTTAACTTAATCAATCCACGGTCCCATGCAATCTGATGTTTACTTTGTTCAAACATTAGAATTATTCCACTTAAGAATTATTAGTCATTAAATGAACGACTGAAGTGAAAACGTTAAATTGCCATCTCTTTTCTTTTTGATTATTTTATTGTATTCGCCCTTACATAGGATCCTTCATCAAAAGATCATCAATGGGTTATATGTGATGGTCCAGTTGATGCATTATGGATTGAAAATATGAACACTGTGTTAGATGATAATAAAATGTTATGTTTAGCTAATTCTGAACGAATTAAATTAACTAACTATGTGCATATGTTATTTGAAGTACAAGATTTAGCTGTTGCATCACCAGCTACTGTAAGTCGTTGTGGTATGGTCTATGTGGATCCTGAAGATTTAGGCTGGTTACCATTTGTTAAAGTAAGCAATTTCTCTATCTGACTTAAGTATTTACTGTGTTTATTGTAGTTTAAGTATATTTCATTTGTTAGTTAGTAATTTCTTTTGATTTAAATTTTAGTGAATTCAATATTTAAAATCACGAAGTTCATTGAGGGAATCTCATTTCAACGAATTTATTATCCTACAGAAATAATTCCATGAAGACACATGAACAGTGAATAAATAAGATGATTTAATGGAAAGATAACATTAGTAGATTATATTATTAAAATTGTGAATCAATCATAGTTATAGACCACCATTAGAAACCTGAAAACACTAAACGGCTGTTTCGTCCTAGTATAGGACTCATCAGTAATGCGCATCCACGATTACTGCAAATCGTAGAAGTTGAACCCAGCAACTTCGGTCTTGAGCGTCAACGCCTAACTTCTGGACCACTGAGACGGTATCAGATACTAGATTATATCATGTAAAGAATGATAATAAAAGACTGTTTTTATGCAAATAGAAAGGCTTGTTGCAATGAATTTTGATGAGAATGGAGTACCCAGTGCTTCTTTTCAACTTGGTTACGAGATTTTCTCAGTATGGTTTAACAAAAGTGAGAAGAAGGCAATTAGAAGTCCTATTCTTGAACATTTAATTGCTGTATCAAGAATAAGATTAGAGAAATAATAACTTTCAGGACGGATTAACGGATTATTATTGTGTATAGTCTTATTGTATAATTGTTCAGTAACTAAATTATTACATATATATATTACTTTTATTATAATCTTTCTATCAACTGCCTATTATTTGATGTTATCTGATATACTATTCTTAATCTATTGTTAGTTTCTTTTTGACAGTCTCCGTTCTATTCACAGCTACTTTCGACTCGACCATGTGTATTTTCTCATTCTATGATTTTATGTGGTCTGGTATGTTTCGTACATAAACTATCTCCTCTTGAAATGTAATGATTTTATGGAGGCTGGCTAAGGACTCTTCTGAACTAAAAGATAGGGTCAAAGAGAAAGAAGCGATGGAGGTGTAGACCAGTAGGGATTTAGAGCTGACTCACGTTTTCCGGTGCTAAGATGTAATTCCGAGTGGTGTTTTGTAGTCGTTGCGTGATATTGATCAAGCGTTCGGGATACCACATTAATCGATTTAAATCACTCCATTGATTCATAGGTTGTTTATACAATTCATCTAATTTGTCTAGCATGCTCAAGTTAGACATTAGCACCGTGAGATACAGGCTCAGTGGTCCGATGGTTAGGCGTTCGCGCACAACACCGAAGGTCCTGGGTTCAAATTCTGCGGGGTGCAGGAGTCGTGGATGCGCACTGCTGATGAGTTCCATACCAGGATGAAACGGCCGTCCAGTTCTTCGAGGTTTCTAATGGTGGTCTAACATTAATCGATTCATGGTTTCAAAAATGTGTATCTAGATTTCATTGCATTCAACTCATTAAAACAACAGAAGCTCTTGCTGTTACCCATGAGGTGAACTATGTGAACAAAAGAAGTACATATCGTTATATGTGCCGTGACCTTAAACTATAATAATTATATAATTATTTCTCGAGTCCTCATAATTTCATCCATAATTACTTTTCTGATACCGAGCTATTCCAATTAAACTCCTTCATTACCCTTGATCACTTCACTGAAAACCGTAGTTTTAACGGTTGGACAGGGAATTATATATCAATTAAATATTTGTTAAATTTATTGATACACAATTTTTACTAGAAAAAATGCCAAGCTTATATCACTCTTTTTAATTTTGTATTGCTAGTATCTTTTCCACTATAGATTGATTTCTGAAAGGTAATCAGTGAATTATGCTTTCTATGGGGATGCTGTGTGCTTGACAGATCGTAAAATGATTGACACATGATGAAAGTTTAGGGATAATGATGAGTGTAATGACAATACAGCAGTTATTCATGAACGTCTAGCCTTCAATTCAATCCCTAAGCTCTGATCACTCAAATTTCAACACAACTAGCTCATAAAGATTAGATTTTATTCCATTAATTGTAAAAGGTGAAAAAAATATAAAGAGACTAGAATAATATATAGATAATCAAACTTGAAGGTAGCTGAAGATATCTACTTCATATATCACACCTAGGTGAACCCTGTTTGTGCGACGGCGATAATAAGAAGCCAAATACGGATTCAGCTGGATGAATTTACTTCAGGCACTTTTTTATGCAGACAAACATGGGAATACAAGGCGTAAAAGCAAAACGAAGCGAAGTGGAGAAGAGGCCAGCTAAATGCCATGAGGTATTACTAAGCTTTTCGAGTCAGGCAGAAATAAGCTAGACATGTAATAACTTGAGAAGAATGAATTAATTCATCCGATTGCTGGGACAAGCGCAGTTGGCTTCATACTTTATACGATTCAAATGACCTAAAGTTTATAGATTGAAAATCTTATCGATTGTTTCTACTGATAACATCTTATCTCTTTTAATTAACACAAGATCTTACTAGACAGTTGTCCTTTATTTTGAAATAATCTCCTATTTGTCGAACAAACCGCATTTATATACTAGTAGTTTGTCTTTAGTAAAACTATTCTTCCTTGAATCTCTCTCACTTTAGCAATCATTTAAATAATTACTAAAATATCACTGAACATTGAAGTAACGCAGTGTTAGTAAAATATATGTGTTTTAATGACTTTGCAATTTAAAAAGATGTGTTCCTTGATGTTATTACACATTATGATTGAATGATTTTCCTATTTTTTTTATATGTACACATATATATACATGTCCATTTTATTCATTTTAGACATGGATTAAAACAATTGAAGAGAAATTAACGCCTTATGCTCTGGAATATATTATGAATCTATTTATTAAATATGTTGATCCTTTTTTGAATTTTGTAATGACCAAATGTACAACAATCATTTCACAAGTAAGTATTCATTCCTGATAGATAGATAGATAGATAGACAGATAGACAGAATCGATAGCTTTCATCAATATGATAAATAGTCTGGAGATTTTCAACTATGTTAGCGTCTGTTATTTCTTTCATATCTGCCGCTCATTTGGTCAACTCAATAATGTCATCAGATTACAAGAATCATTGACAGAAATGTATTACATAATAACATTTGATGTGAATGGTGCTAGGTTTGAGTCCTGTCGTGAAAATCAACTCTGGGATACAGGTACATCCAGTTGACGAATTCTAAGCGGGATGAAACACCCGTCCTCGATTCAATTGCTAGACACTATCCATATATGCTAATATTTGGATAACGATTTAGAAAATATACGCAACAACTGCTACCATTACCTAAGATTTCAAATATTTTGTTAGTGTGCCCACTAGTGGCTAGCTTGGTAGAGAAATTCTCGGAGTTCTAGTGAGCCTCCGTGCTCAGTGGATTTCAGCACTCTCTCAGGTGTAGACAGTAACTACCGAATACAATGGGTGAGGATGCGTGATACCTTAGATTGATCAAAGTTAGACATTAACACCGCTGGGTGCCGACCCGTTGGTCTGCAGGTTAAACGTTCTCTATTGAGAACGAAGGGTCTGAGTTTGATTTCCTTGAGCAAGGTCGTGGGTAATACCTGAATTTTAGGTGTTCTACATTCAAGAATGACCGTGAGACGGTGAGGAATTTCAAAGCACATGATATATCTATTACAAGGGAAACAATAAATTTTAAACAAAACAATAACCATTATTGTTCGACACAGTTTACAGAACCATGCGTCCTCTGATCATTAGTTCTCTTGCTTAAACAACCGTCTCTTTTTCTTGAGTCCTTAGATATGTAGATTTCTGAGAATTCTCTTCATGCACTTTTTAAATATAATAATTATGAAATTTATATTGCTTCAGATGTGTATTGAGACATGTTTTTTCACAGATCGATTCTTAAGCATCACTACTTGGCTCGTAAGTAAAAAGGTAGAATTTAGAACGAGGTTCGAAGTAATCAAATCAAGAAATGGTATTTGTCTGTAATTTCACAAACTGTTTGAGCTTTGTGATACAACCGGAAGGGTCCACCAAAATTTAGGTTGTAACAATCAAAAGTAAAATCATTGTGAAATAGTCATCCTGAAATAACGTTAATCAAGAACAATCGGTTACATAAGATTGATTGTTATAGATCAGAAAACAGCTCATTGTCTTTATATTCAGCTTAACTATCAACGGTAAACGAAAATTAAAAACTGAATGTCTAGTAAAAATGTAACCCGAACTTCCAACAGTCACATGTGTACACAAGGATAACTATAAGATTAATAATAAAATGAATAGATCTGTGAGTAGACAAACCAGACTAAAACGTTTAGTCAAAAATAACAAAATAACATTAAGAATAGTAATTTGCATCATGAAGTACTATAACACATTCGAAATCGATCTCAAGAAAATGAGACTTGACTTCTTTGCCTTTTATAGATTATATATATATGTGTATGTTCCGTGTGATGTACATAATCTCGCATAAATTTTACATTCATTATTTCAAATGATCAGGTACCGATTGCTCGAGTACAAACAATGTGTAAATTATTAGAAGTTCTACTTACTCATTCAGGTTGTCCATCAATGCATCAAGATAAGAATAAATTAAATCCATTATTAGCTATGTCATTTGTATTCTCATTGTTATGGGGATTAGCCGGAAGTGTGATCAATACCAATTGGGATACATGTGATGCATTTATACGTAATTTATTTGATGATTTAGGTGATGCACGGGTAAGTTTATTCATGTATTTTCAAAGCATTCATGTTTAGTTTGTGTGTCTGTCAGCTAAATTAAGTCAAGACTAACTGAATTACGAAGTAACAAATGTGAGTCATTCCATGACGGACTAATTGCTAGACATTAGATTCTCTCTTGATAGAGCTAAAGTGGTCAGTGGTTGGTCATAGTGGTAATATCAATCCTTGATCGCAACATGCATCGAATTCGTATGAACTCACAAGCTACAGTGATTTGAGGCTCTTGGTAGACAGTTTGTTTTGGGACGTTAGATCCCCAGAACTCGCTTGATGAATGTCCTAATTTTGGATTTTGTTGATGGGCCGATCAGTTGACCTTGATATCACATTTCCCACCAAGAAAATCCTTGGCTGTGATTAGTTGATGTGTTATTTTAGTGTGCTGTTTTTGTGACTCTCCTAAGGACCCTTCTATAATGTATCAATAAACGTGATTTGTGTGCCTGAGATCAGTGTATTTCCTGGGTGCGTGTAGAATACACTTTCTACGCCATATCAATACTTCTTGATATAGTTAGCCGGGCCAGGGTCAACGGATTAGAGTAGCCAACTGTGTCACTGTTTCATCGTCTTGTTCTCGTTTATCGACCAAGGTGAACTCGTAAACGTTTCAAGCATATCAATTCACGAACATAACAAGTTTGAAGTTTTTAATTGGTAAATTTTAAACTGACAGATGATAGTTGATGAAGATATTTAGACGATATAACTTCATGTTTTCATAAATGGAAAGGATGTAAATTATTCAGCTTCGCTCTCAAATCAACAAATATTTCTCACTTTCAGATATTCTCTTTTCAAATATAATTGACATCTGACTCTGAATGAGAATAGTATTGTATGATAGATACTATGAAAGCCTAAAAAAACAGTGAACTGTTAACACTAGATGACTTGAAAATTTCATGTTCAAAACTAGATCATAATTACTCTAATTATGTGTTGGTGCATATGTCTAAGAAGTAAGAAACTTGCTAAATAAGAATTCTATCAAGTTCCTTTTACTGCTTCTTCAGATGAATTCAATTTATGGTACAATGAGATAGTAAATTTCAACCTGGCGCACTAATACATTATGATGCACCTTGAGAGTAATGGAATCGTAGATATTCGGTTGAGGTTTAATGACGTAATGTAAACCGAATTTGTCAAACTAAATTATTTGCATTTCAGCGTAAAACTTTTAACTAACAGCTGACAGCTGATTGACCCAGATCATTGGAGCACTGCTGAATAGATAGTTTTACTTAAATTTGACCTAAAAACTACGTACTTTATAGATTTCTAATAATCCTTGACAAATGTTACATTGGTCAGTCCTACAAGAGATCAGTCAGTAGTAGTTCAGTGGTCACTTCTGTAAAGTTATTATACAATGTTAGTTTGAATTCTAATGAGAGCTTTGGTTATCTTACCGAACAACCTAAATGAAACAGTCTTCAACAATTTTTTGAAGCACTATATCAAACCTAAGAAAACCGAAATATAAACTATAATTCATTATTATTATTATTATTATTATCATTATTACTGCATATTATTTACTTTTTTAGCTTCCTCAACATTCCGATCTATGGTCGTGTTTTGTGGATATGGACACACGTCGTATGGATAATTGGGATAAAATGTTGAATACATTTATTTACAATAAACAAATACCATTTTTTGATATGATTGTACCTACTGTAGATACAATCAGATATGGGTATATGCTAGAAAAACTATTAGCTGCAAAACAAAGTGTACTTTTTACCGGTTTAACTGGAGTTGGCAAGGTATGCTTAGTAATTTTTTCTTTCTTTTAGCCTTCTGACACCCCGAAGGGATTTTTTTATAACCATAACCTTTATTAAACCTGTATTAAAATTGATTAAAGTTGAAAATATGTAACATTATTCATTAAAAAGCAATGAGTTTTACAGATCTGATATTGATAGACTCTCGGTTATTGTGAGTGGGTGCTGTTGGTCGGCGGTCTCTTAAAAAGTTCTAAAGTGTACCTGAAACATTTTTTTTTCAGTTTCATTTCATAACATTTTGTTTTATTAAACGGGCTATTTTAAATAGAGTTATTTGCTTTTGTTTCAATGTAGTCAGTTGTAGTCCGTGGAACATTGAACAATATATCTGAGTCAAACAATTATGTACCGGCTTATTTAAATTTCTCCGCTCAAACAAGCAGTAATCGTACACAAGAAATAATTGAAAGTAAATTAGAAAAAAAGAAGAAATATGTTCTTGGCGCACCAAAAGATAAACGTGTCATCCTATTTGTGGACGATTTAAATATGCCAAAACAAGATACTTATGGAAGTCAACCACCAATTGAATTATTACGACAATATCAAGATTTTCATGGATTCTATGATAGAGATAAATTAGTATGGATTAAAATTAAAGATATGACATTATGCGCAGCTTGTGGTCCTCCAGGTGGAGGCAGAAATCCAGTGACTCCAAGATTGATACGACATTTTGCAGTGTTCGCTATACCTCCACCATCAGAAATGAATTTGAAGCAAATATTTTCTTCAATTATAAATGTAAATACTATTGTTTTTAATATGTTTCGTTTGCACTTTCACTATTCAGCACAATTTGTCATTAATCTTTATTTTGAAAATGAAATTGAAAGTTGTTTCATTTCACTCCATACATTTAAACCTATGAACAATTGTGACTGAATTGCCATATGTAACTAGTCTTCATTTGTTTCATTCTGAAGAGACAGGGGGATTTATCAAACCTCACTTAGTTGTAGTTTGTGATTTACTTAGTGGACCTCCACTTACTCAGACTTGTTGATTGAAAGCTTCTATGTGTGCTTGTGATTATGCATGTTTCAAGTCAACTATAAAACAATAATTCATTTAGATATTATACTATGATATTCTACAGCTGAAATTAATATTTGTATCAAAAAATCCGTTGCTATTTGTTTCACCCACCTGAGTACCTTAATTTTCACTGGATCACAGAGGTATTTGAAGGCCACATAGGACATGCGTCTTTAAAAATCAATTTTTGCAGTTTAGCTATTTACAAACTATGTTTATTGAGTCTAAATTTATAATGGTGAAGCAGTTGAGGAATTTGTACTTACTAAGTCCAATAATATAAGTTTTCCAATGAAGCTAGTCAGATAGTCTAACATTATGAATTAAAACCCTAAAGACTTCCACCTAATCCATCCATAGTCTAAAATGCTGATAATTAGTCAAGCTAATCTTAATTAAAAAACTTAACAAGAAATTTTGAAAGATCGTTAATTACTAGCATGATTTATTTTTCATTGTAAGATTGTGAAGATTGTTGATTTTCTTTGAAATCATAAATCGATAAACGTTAGACCACCATTAGAAACCTAGAATCAGTGGACAGCTGTTTCATCCTACGTATGCGACTCATTAGCAATGCGTATACACTACTGTGCGAGCAGGAATCGGACCGAGGACGTTCGGTCTCGCAGGCGAACGCCTACCACCTAGACTACTGAGCCGATATCAAACAGAGTTACCGTCTTACTTCGATCAAGTGGCGATCTTGTGCAACCCCGTCCACTGTCTTCGGTGGGCACAGCTTCACACCTCCGACAGAGTTGAACTCACTAGAACTAGGAGAAACTTCCTCACTTAACTGGTCGCTAGTGGGCATGTGATTATTTTCATTATAGGGCTGTGTATATTGTATAAGGGTTAAGCGTTTGTGCGCAATACCAGATGTCTTTGTTTAGATTCCCGCAAGCGTGGGTCATAGATGCGCACTGCTAATAATTCCCATACTGGGATAAAAACGGCCGTCCAGTGCTTCAAAGTGATGTTACAGTGATTGCTTAGTAAGTAGTATAAACAAACTATATTTCATTCCGCTTAATTTCCATAAAATACTAATGATTCAACACCATGTATCGAGATATGCATTTTGTTTCAATTAAACTACGCATTGAACTTTCATATAGTTATTTTTTTTGTTTTCTATCCTCTCAGGGTTATCTACTTGAATTTCCTCAAGGTGTTCGTAGTGCTGGCGATCCCATTGTTAATGCTGCAGTTGAAATATATACTAGAATGGCTGAAGAACTATTGCCTACCCCAGCTAAATCTCACTACGTATTCAATTTAAGAGATTTATCGAAATGTATTCAAGGTAAGAGAAATTTAGTAAATAATATATTAAGTTCAATTAGAATTTTACCTTAAAAAAATGACTAAAAGCTTGTTCAGTAGAAATAAGACATGATTACTATGTTTGTGATAACTCACGTACGACTTGGTATCGGGGAACAGAATGATAACAAGCGATACAATAAGAGGAAAGCTTAGCTATGCTCTGCGGCGCAGCCCAGCTAACTAGAACAAGAAGTCCAGAGTCTTCAGGAGAATGTACGATCCATAAGCAGCCCTGAATGAACGGTTTACCATGTATTCATTTTAAGCGTAATATTTACAGTAAGAAAAAACATCCTTGGAAAAGTTTCAAATTAGCGCAATAAAAGAAAAAACTAACTAATAAGTTGTAAAGTCCTTCCAAATGGAAAACACAATCTGCCGGTAATAAGGGGAGCTTTCAGCATGAAAACAAGAAATTCTAAATTCCATAAGTAAATTACATGATGAGGAGATTTATCAAGCGATTTCTCGGAATCTAGTTTCCCCAATGATGATTGATTGTGTCTTATTTCCAAAACAAAATCTTTAGAATTACAGTTAGTTGGTTAACATGAAATTGTATTTCTGACTGACGTTTTTTTTCGCTAGTCAGTTTTCTAGTGGATGGTGTCGTTAACTCTATGCCCAAACCTCTTCTTTTATCCGGTCTAGGGACCGTCATTAACCCTAGAAGGGCTCCAAGGCTAGTTGACTAAACAGATACTAAAAATGTGTAAAAATGGATTCATTAAGTTGTCGATTGTAACAACTTCCACGTCGACATTGAATTACATACTACTTACAACCAATCTTGTGAGTAGTAGCCTCCACCACTGCGGTAATTATTTAGTAGACTTTTCTCAGTAAAAAACTATTATACTTGATTTTCTAATTTCATAGGTGTTTTACAAGGCGATGTAAATGTGATACGAAATAAACAATCAATTAGTCGATTATTTTATCATGAAGCTCAACGAGTATTCCATGATCGGCTAATTAATCAAGAAGATAAAATGTTTTTCAATCAAATTCTATCAGAAATGGCACAAAAATATTTTGGTGAAGTAGGTTATTCTTTAAAACAATTAGTCCCTTTTATAAATTTTGATAGAACAGTGAGAAGACGTAATTGATCTGAAAAATTTGATGTATTTGCGCTATACATGTCGAACAATCTGGTCACACATATTTACTTGTCAAGGCATTTTATATGAAGATGAATAAAAGGCCGATTAAATAAAAGTTCAAATAGACAGGGTGATAATTGTAAATAAAGGAGAGAGAAAATTAACGTAATATGAAAAGAATAAGAAGGGGTAGGAAAACTGTCACATTACCATAGGCTTCAAGATTACCAAGGTAAATTCAAGGTTATAACAAATTGTTTATGCACACATAAGGGGATTTTAATTTTCTAATAGCCAAGGCCTCCATAAACCTCAAAATTCGTCCTTCAACATCCCTATACAATGTTTTGAATGCTGTCTTGATGTCAATCTTATGCCCTGTCTCAATTATGTGTTTGGCGATCGATGGACATGGTTTTCTATTTCCAACGTTAATCGGCTCATCTGACGTTGACAGATTTTGAAGCCACTTAGGTACATGTTCCACAACCCTTGATTGCAAAGTCCGATTACTCCTCCCTATGTATGTGTGTCCACACAAACATGCAAATTGATAAATGCAATGGGATGTGATGTAATCATTAGAGCAACGTTTAGGTATATGCGAAATCATGGACTTAGTCTTTTCAATGATAATCAGTTTAGCAGCGTTGTATGTTTTCTCTATGGCTGCTTTTAGTCTCTGTCTCAATATTAGACCATTTACTTCACCTCTAAATGGTAAAGTGATATATACCTTTTTCTTCTCAGCAGAATGAAAAACTTGCTTTTGTCTTATCTGATTTCTACATCTATTGATGAACTTTAGCGGATAGCCATTTGAAATCAATGCTTCAGTTAAGAATTTTGCATCATCTTCAAATGTATCCGTGGTGCAAATCCTTTGAGCCCTATTGAAGAGGCATTTTACCAAACCTCGTTTATATTGCAGTGGACAAAAACTGCTGAAATTTAGGTACTGTCCAGTCCACGTTGGCTTTCTATAAACAGACCACTTTATAGTTCCATTATTTCTTCGGCCCAACAATATGTCTAAAAAAGGCAATCGATTATTATTTTCTGGTTCATGAGTTAGTACAATGTCATTCTGAAGGATATTAAAGTTGATGGCGTTGCTATGGGTAGTCATTTGGGACCTCTCTTAGCTGATGTTTATATGGCATATGCTGAAATTTTGTGGAATGAGCACATCAATAAGCTTACTCTCTACAGGAGATATATGGACGATATTTTAATTATATGTAATAAAGAACTCAACGTCTTTCGGTTACTGGACAACTTTAATAGCCATTTTACCACTGTGTCACTATTCAATGGTTCACATCTCAACATCTCGTCCAATGCTTTTAACAATTATCTAATTAAGGTCGATGCTTGGGCTTAATCTAATCATCGTTTATCTAGAATGGAAATTCGATTCACTGCGGGATTCGAACCCACTACCGTTTGCTTCGAAACGCGCGTCCTAATTTCCCCCTGCTAGCTACATTCTATCTATACGATATAAAGTTGTGTTATAATTTACTATATTGAAGCAATCTGGTTAATAATTCATGCAGTTATTGACTTACTTTACCTTTTTTTAACAAATTAATTGTTTTTCTCTTAGTCTATAGAACCAGAAACGTTCACAGAGCATCCAATATTATTTGGTGATTTTCTAAGACCTGGTATTCCACGTACAGAACGATTATATGAAGAAATTAATAATATGGACAAACTGAAATCATTGTTATTGGATGTAAGTTTATAAGATGAGGAAGAAGATTTCCCATATGATTCCATGATTGTATGAAGAAAAGTAAATTATCACTGCATAGTTGACAAAAATGTTGAGCTTTATTGAAGTCTTTAATTAATAAACGTTAACCATCATTAAAAACTTGGAAGCATAATCTAAGCAACTCGATAATGACAATTATCATGTGCTCACTGGTGACTTGCTTCGTGAGGAAGAAACTCTGAGAATCTTAATGAGAAGCCTCTGACCATTAGAGTTCGACTGTGTTAAGTAGGAGACAGTAATCCGTCTGCACAATGAATGAAGGTTGAGCAACATTATGGATTAATTAAAGTTAGACATTAGCATTGTTGGGTACTACCGGCTCAATGGTCAACAGGTTAGGCGTTTGTGTACGAGACCGAAGGTCCTGGGTTTGAGTCCCGCTAACTGAGTAGTGTGGCTGAACACTGGTGATGAGTCTTATACTAGGACCAAATGGTCGTCCAGTACGTCCAGGTTTCTGATAGTGACCTGACATTGATTAATTTGTGATATCAATGAAATTAAATTAGGCTGCTATAATATTTGGATGTAGTTTTCTGCCACCGCAGTTTTATACCTTACATTCTTCAGTCTATGTATATTGTTCAGTAAAACAAGAAGAGTAATCTAAACAGGATATACAAGTGAGATATATAAATCGTGATTCAAGTGATGACCTCAAGTTCACGGCACAGTTTATTATTCCTTCTGTCGTCGGTAATTTAAATGAGAAACACGTCCTTACTCCTTTAAAACATGGATTGTTGAGAACATAGCTAATTTATAATTAAGTATATGAAATGATAATAAAAGGATGAAAGTTAATAGGAGTTGTCGGAACATTTGGTTGACACCGAGACTTGAGATTAGTTCCTTCACTTCCAGCAGCAATAAATTAACCATCAGGTTTCAACAAATGAAATTACTTACTTCGTGAATGAATATACATGCACAAGTGGATAAATGCTGTTATTTATGAACGAAATATCCAATCACTGTAGTTTAACGTAATAAATAACTAGTATGAAGAAAACGAAAGATAAGGACTTGTAAGTTTAACAGAAATCGAACCTGTGGCCTAACCATCATAACACTGAGTCTACATCTAGTGGTTCGCCTCTCAAAAAGAGAGAGAAAGAAACGAAAATGGTGATCGATTTGCAAACCTATGTGCCTTCAACAATCTGGTCATAGGCGGCACCATATTCTCACATAAACGCATACATAAAGCTACATGGATTTCACCGAATTACACTACTCAGAACCATATCGACCATATCTGCATCAGTAAGGAGTTCGGAAGGACCATGGAGGCCATGAGAACCAAGAGAGAAGCTGATATAGCCTTAAATCACCACTTTCTGGGTGCCAAGATGAAAAAGACACTCAATAAGCACTGGTCAACGGGGCGGACAACATCACAAAAGTTTAATACGGCCTTTCTTCGGGATACTGACAAAATAAACAACTTCAAGACAACCCTCAGCAATAAGTTCTAGGCCTTTCACAATCTACTCATTGGACAGGAAACTAACATGGAGAACAATGGTAAAGGGATCAAGGAGGCAATTACTTCAAAATTCCGGGAGGTTCTGTGCCAAAAGAAGTACCATCACAAGGAATGGATCTCAGTTTGTACTCTTGAAAAAACTGATGAAAGGAGGAACAAGAAGATAGCAATCAGCGTCAGCCGAACAAGAGCAGAGAATGCCAAAGGTACACACTGAATACACGGAAGAAAACAGGCGAATGAAGAGGAGCATCAAAGCCGACAAGCGTAAACTGGTGGAAGATCTGGCAGTGACGGCGGAAAAGGCTGCAAGAGAAGGAATCTTGAGACGATTGTATGGTACATCAAAGAAGCTCTCTAGAAACTATAGTAAAACATAACGAACAGTGAACAGCAAGGAGGGCAAAGTAATCAGCAACATTGAAGAACAGCGAAACAAGTGGATAGAGAACTTTAAGGACCTCTTGAATCGACTTACCCCACTTAACCCAGCCAACATCGAAGCAGCATCTACAGACCTCCAAATCAGTGTTGGTCAACGTACAACTGAAGAGATCAGTATGGCCATCAGACAAATCAAGAGCGGTAAAGCAGAAGGATCAGACAACATTCCAGCAGAGGCAATCAAAGCAGATATGGCAGCAACTGCAAAGATACTCCGCATTCTCTTCAACGAGATTGGGGATGAAGAGCAAGTACCAACAGACTGGAAACACTGACACCTCATCAATATACCAACAAGTGTGCAAACTGCAGAGGCATCACTCTTCTCTCCGATCCAGGAAAGGTCTTCAACAGACTGTTGTTAAACAGAATGAAGGACTTCGTAGACACACAACTTCGAGGTCAACAGACTGAATCCTTTAAGGATCGATTATGTACCGACAGAATTGCAAGATTATGGATCACTGTGGAACAATCAATTAAGTGGAACTCACCACTCTACATCAACTTCATCGACTACGAGAAAGCATTCGATAGCGTGGATAGAAAAACACTATGGAGGCTTCTGCAACACTGCGGCGTGCCTGAGAAGATAGTCAACATGATACGGAATTCTTATGATGGATTCAACTGCAAAATAGTGGACGGAGGACAGCTGACAGACTCGTTCGAGGTGAAGACCGGTGTCAGGCAAGGTTGCTTATGCCCACCCTTTCTTTTTCTCCTGGTGAATGACTGGATTATGAAGACGTCAACATCTGGAGTAAAGCACGGTATTCAATGGACAGCTAGGATGCAGCTGGACGATCTGGACTTCGCAGATGGTTTGGCTCTTCTATCGCACATGCAACATCAAATGCAAGAGGAGAAGATCAGTGTAGCAACAGCAGGTCTCAACATACATCAAAGGAGAAGTAAGCTTCCGCGATACAACAAAACATGCATCAAACAAATTACTATTTATGGATATGCCTTGAAGAATTAACAACCCTTTACATATCTTGGCAGCATCATCGACAATCAAGATGGATCTGATACAGATGTGAGGGCGTGGATAGGCAAAGCAAGAGCTGCGTTTCTACAATCGAAGAACATCTGGAACTCCAAACAAATATCAATCAACATCAAAATCAGAATTTTCAATACAAATGTCAAGACCGTTCTGGTGCATGTAGTGGAAACTTAGAAGACTACCAAAGTCATCATCCAGAAGATACAATTATTACTTAACAGTTGTCTACGCAAAATTCTTTGGATCCATTGACCAGAGACCATCATCATCAACCCACTATAAGAAAGGACAAACCAGATTCCAGTGGAGGAGAAAATCAGAAATAGGCCCCGGAAGTGGATAGGACACACACTGCAGAAGCACCCAGCTACGTCAAAAGACAAGCTCTCACCTGGAATCCTCAAGGCGAAAGGAATAGAGGTAGGCCAATGAACACATTACGTCGAGAAGTGGAGACAGGAATGAGTAGGATGAACAACAATTGGGTGGAACTAGAAAGGAAGACCCAGGATAGAGTAGGTTGGAGAATGCTGGTCGGCGGCCAATGTTCCATCGGGTATAATAGGCGTAAGTAGGTATGTCAGTAAATAAGTGTATCTTAAGAGATCGTCCAAATAAGGTCAATTGTTGGCATAAACTTTTAATAGTTTATCTAGAATGAATAGAATTTAACTAACGATGGAGTTCATGACTGGCGTTTTCATCCTATTTTGGACTTCTCGTCTATCTGCATTCCCGTTGGCGTCAACAACAATGTTCGAACACCTAACGCGTTATCCACTTATCTCCTGAGCTAAACTAGCTACCAGGTTTGATTGATTTTTTCACTCTTTTATCTGTCAACTTTTCCTATAAAAAAAAATTTGTATTCATTTTAATTACAAAATTTTCTTTTTTTTCACAGTATTTGGATGATTATAATATGTCCATGTCAAAAGATGTGAAACTTGTCTTCTTTGTCGACGCGATTGAACATGTTTGTCGTATTGCACGAATGATTAGACAAGATCGAGGCAATGCTTTATTAGTCGGTGTTGGCGGGACTGGTAAACAATCATTAACTAGGTAAGTAAAAATGAATGCGCTTTGTTGATCAATTTTTTCTTTTTTATAATAGAACAATAAGCTGCATTCTACTTAAACATCACAGTGTACATCAGTGCACATACTTTCATTATATGTCATACTGTGGTGTACGCTACTTATGTTCACATAAGTAGTATATATGATGTCAAACGGAAATCAAACATTAGACAGTAAAAGATCGAGAAGGAAAGAATGAGAATAGAAGGCGATTGGTAGGTAACGTAAAGTGAACTGAAGTATGAACAGTTTAAATGAAAGAACACTGAAATCTGAAACAAATAAGGGTTAGTTTGCAAATGATGATTTCACGGGAAGGTTTTGTACATTTGCTTAACAACTCTGCACTATTCGGTTAAATAAAAATGTTGATGTCCTCACCTGAGTTTTCGTGCACATCAATATTATTGGTAATATTCTCATAAAACTAAGGAAATTTAGAAAGCAAAAGCGATTGCAGTGAATGTTCTTTTTGAATACTTTAGTCCGATTAACATCTTTTGATAATAACTGTTTCAGTAAAATATAATAATAATGAAAAACTATCTCTATAAATCTATGATGAGTAGCATATAATCTGCTCACTGGTGACTAGCTTGGTGAAGAAATTCTCGGAGTTCTAGTGAGAAGCTGTGACCACTGGATTTTGGCGGTGTTAGATGTAGGCAGTAACAACCGAATGCAATGAGTGAGGCTACGCCAAATCCTTAGATCGATCTAGGTTAGACATTAACACCGTTGGATACCGCCGGCTCATTGGTCTAGAAGTGAGACATTCGTGCGCGAGACTGGATGTCCTGGGTTCGAATCCTGACTGCGAAGTAGTGAATGAGCATTGCGGATGAGTCTCCTCATACTCTGACGAAACAGCCGTTGTTGGTCTTACAATGCTTGATTCGTGAAGTCAATTTTAAAAAATCTAAGATGTTTGTTTTAAATGATTTTGAAATATCAGCTTCATGTTTAACTAAGATCAAGTAGATGAAGAGCAGTTGAACTTTCGAAGAAAAGGTGGCTTCTCAATTTAATTTTTCAATGGATAAAATGCAAACATTTATTAGGAAATGAGCTTTCGAAACAAAGTGATGCTTTTATATAGTTGTTATGTTCGTCAATAAGTACGCTTGAAGCTATTACGAGTTCACCTTAGTCGATAAACGCGAACGAGACAATGAACCAGCGTACAGGTAGGCTACCTTGAAATCCCAAACTGCAAAACAGAAGACTTGATAAGCGTAGAAAGTATATTCTACAACACCCAGCAATCACAATACAATCAAGCACACAACTCTTGTTTATCTGTACATCATAGAAATTTCCTTGGGACAACTACGAAAATAGCACACTAAATACACAGCAGCCAATCACAGCCATGGGTTTTCCTGGTGGGGTATGAAATCTCAAGGTCAACTGATCAGTCCATGCTGACAAACGTGAAATCCAAAATAAGTCATTTATCAAGCGAGTTTTGGGGATCTAACATCCCTAACAATAGCCAAATGTGTATATTCGAACTTTTTGTTTATGTGTATATTATACGAATGTTGATCATTTAGAAGTGATTCATTTGACCATAAATCACCGAGTCATCATGATTACTTTATTTACAACCATGAATACAATCGAGGATTAGTTTAAACTTTTGTTGTATTCACTAATTATTTACATTTGGATTATTCGCGTTATGTCTCGTCGTTTACATCAAGAAATTGATCACACGGACGATTCATTAAAAATATTATGAAACACTGAAATGATGGTTATAATTCAACTCGAAACTCCTTTATACTGCATATTGACAAATTTTCTATGGATTGAAATAAAAAATTTTCCAATCTAAAGGCAAACACTTAACATTTAGACCGATTAACCTCATTCGATTGTCAGTTTCATGTTGCTTTTATAAATTTGGATAGAACAATGAATGAAAAGACAATATATGATCTGAAAAATGTTGTTATATATTTGCGTCATACAATCTGGAACAATCTAGTCACATATATACTTGGATTACGTGGTTGTGAAGATTGTTAAGTTACACATTTTGAAACCATGGGTCGATAAATGTTACACCAGCATTAGAATCCTGGAAGAACTGAAAGACGACCGTTTCGTCCTGGTATGGGACTGACTCATCGGCAGTGCGCATCCACGACTCTTGCACTTGGCAGGATTCGAACCCGGGACCTTCGACATTGTGCGCCTGCACCCGACCGTGTTGAACTCCATTGGTCACGTCTTCTCACTAGAATTCCGAGAATTTCCTAACGAAACTAGTCACTAGTGAGCACATTTTACGATACTTTTCAATTAGAGTTGTTTGTTTTTTTTTTTCTCAAAGTAAACAATGGAATTTCATAAACTGCTTTTCTCTTTTTTTTCTTCAAAAAACACTTGCATATTTTTTTTTAGGTTGGCCGCTCATATTAATGATTATAAATGCTTTCAAATTGAATTATGTCGTGGTTATAACTATGCATCATTTCATGATGATTTAAAAACTTTGTATTATTCCGCTGGAATAGAAAATAAACCAACAGTATTTTTATTTACAGATAATCAAATAGTTGTTGAAGAATTTCTTGAAGATATTAATAACATGTTAAATTCTGGTGAAGTACCAAGTTTATTTGAAGCTGATGAATATGAACGTTTAATTATTGGTTGTCGGACAGCAGCTAAAGAGAATGGCATTGCTGAAGGAAATCGTGATGCAATTTATGAATTTTGTATTAATCGTGTACGTAATAATTTACACATTGTTCTATGCATGTCACCAGTTGGTTCAAATTTTCGTGTACGATGTAGAATGTTTCCATCATTGGTGAATTGTTGTACTATTGATTGGTTTGTTGAATGGCCAGAAGAAGCATTGTATAATGTTGCAAAGTTTACTTTTGCACAAGCTGATTTTGGTTCAGATGAACTTAAAGTAAGTTAATAATAATAGTAATTATTATTATTCTTTTTATTATTCAAACTAATACAGTATAGTTGTTGTACAGTCAGTTTTCCTGAATACGAATCATCTTAATTAGTAAATCTGAATTGAATGGGTTATTTAAGTGAAACGATAAACTGATCAGTGTTAGACTATCATTACGAACTTCAAAGCACTGAACGACTGTTTCGTCTTATCACGGGAAGCAAGCAGAATTCGAACCTAGTGTGGTGTGAGCTACTTATAAGTAGTATATGGCGTGAGTGTCAACGTAACGTCTGGCAGCGGAAGATGAGGAGACATCAAGAAAGGAAGAGTTAGAAAACAATGAAATTTGTATGAAATGCATGAATAATGATAGTGGATTGATGTTTTGCAACAGGAACAGTCCTCACCTTGGCATCCAGGCTGTCATACACCGCCTTCGCTCGGCCGCGGAGCAGCAATCCCAAAGCCACCGTCTTCTCCTGCTTCCATCCGGCTAGCTCCGCCACAGCCTCAAACTCCTTCAGGAAGGCTCCCACATCTCCATCCTCGAACTCCTTCGGCCACGGTATCTTCATCCTGGCAGCGACACCAAATGTAGTGAAGAAGAACACAGGTGAGGACAACCAAATTGTATTTAGCGAAAATTACAGAGTTACTCAGTAAAATTGGAAAACCATATCGTAAATCGTTTATTTGCGAAATAACAGTTCATCCTATGGAACTAGACTGTTCCTGTTGCAAAATATCAATCCATTGTCACTATTCATGAGTTTCATACAAATTTCATTGTTTTCTAACTCTTCCTTTCTTGATCTCTCCTCATCTTCCGCTGCCAGACATTACGTTGACACTCACGCCATATACTACTTATAAGTAGCTCACACCACACTAAGGCCTTCGGTGTCTCTCGTTAACGCGAGCCAGACATCTGACAGTGTGAATATCTAACAGTGGTCGGTGCTCACGAGGTTAACTGTTTACGTGCGAGACTGAATGTCTGCTTGATTCTGACGTGAAGACGTCGTAAATGCGCACTTCTGATGAGTCTCATAGTAGAACTAGACGGCTGTCCAGTTCTTTTAGATTTCAATGAAATTCAACAATCTCTACAATCTTGTACTGACAGTGATATTTTTGTAGTGGGTTGAAATGATAATTCTAGAATTTTGGAACAAAAAATTAGTTCCATTCCACACTATATTTAAAAAAAACAAGTTTTTAAAAGTATAAAAAAAGTTCAACTTATTGAATAATAATTCTAGTTTAGAACCTACTCATATTTATTATTCTGTCAGCTAAGCCTATTAGGAATTTAAAGTTTGATTCATTTTGATAGTAACATTTGGCTCTCTTGAATTCTGTCATTTCTGCGAAAATCAGTTGAGTAGTCTAATTGCATTCTCCCGGTGTCCTAACAGATGATGACTTATTCACGACAAGATTTAAAAGATCTTAGATGAGTGTTGCGGTTGTGAATTGCATACCAGAATGAATATGTCATCCAGTGTTTCTGTGATTATTACATAATGGTAATTTTAATGTAACCGATAAATTTTGATTTCTATATTTTTCAACAGGAATCCATATCAAAATTATCTACAGATATTCATTTAAGTGTTTCAAAAACAGCGGAACGTTTCTATAATGAATTAAAACGTCATTATTATACTACACCGACAAGTTATTTAGAATTGCTTGGATTATATATGACAATGTTGAATAAACAAATAAAGTGAGTAGCTTTTATTTTTTGAACAAAAAAAATGTGTTTTAACTAATTAGAAAAAACGACAGAATAATTAAATGATCGTAATTAATAAGTTAAAAATTTCTTTGCAATCTGTTTAGTGAATATCAATTTCTACAAAGAGTAACATTCATTTCCTAATTTTTTTTCACGTAATTCAAGTGTCATTGTAAACAATTGGTTAATTCATGTAAAAACGAAAAACCGAGAAATTCAAAATTAAATAACCGCTGTCTTTAAAACTCTAGCCTGTGCAGATCAAATAAGTTATGTTCAGGGTTAAAAAAAAACAGAAGTTAATTTGACTTCAGACAAGATGCTTCTTGACCTACCTCACTTAAATTACATGTTTTATGTTCAAAGTATTAGAAAAAGTGTCATCATGAAGTGACATTAATTCTTTGTCTCATATTTAACAGAACTATCATACGAGCAATTAATGTTTATATCTTTATTGTCTAATTATTAGACGCTTCAATGATGAAATCCATAAAATCACTGACAACTAGATTGAGCAATGTAGGCTACCTGGTTTGAGTCTGCGTGATAATCGTAACCCGCAGTTAGAGGCCTAGAATGATATGGTTGAAAATCGTTTTCAACGGCGCAGGTACATCTATCCTTTATCTTCTACCGAATTCTAAGCTGCGGAACTCATTAAAACCTGTTATTTCTTTTTTTCAAGTTTATTTCTCTTCGAAGCATCTATTCGATCTCTATTCTTTTTCATTACTGGTCATACTGCTACAACCTCTACTAGTCTGGGATTCGGCCTGACAATTTCATCTGTTTGTTAATGTGTGATACATCAACTTGAACCGATGTACATATGTACCAAGTTCAATGTTACAACGGACTGACTACTTCACATATATCATTGGTTGCTCGCGAACCAATAGCCGTGATGTTCTAGGTGGTTATTCATTTATCACCGTGTCGTTAGCCGTACAGGCAGTGTGAGCAATCATCGGAGTAGACAGTACAACTGCTTACTGACCCAATTGCTCACAGTCCCCAATACAATACAAGAATGGACACCATGTTGTTTATAGCCTATTGATTTTGTCATGATTATTTGCCTAATGTCATTTTGTAAATTATTCCACCATTCGTACCAGGTAATAAGCATCAGTTCAGTAATGCCAATTAGCGAGTATCCTCATTAGATTGTTCTTAAACATTCAATCATAACCAGATAATAGGCTTCAAGGTCATTTTGCAAATACACTAGATCAGAATGCAGATTTTAAACCATATCATGGATTAGGTTCCTCTTCTTTCCGGAAAACACATCAAGTATTTAAAGAACATTGAACAATTACTGAAGAAACCACTCCTCTATGAATATGGAAGAAAATGGATTATGAATGACTGCAATAAATTCAAAATTAAGACAATTAATCTTAATTGTGCAGTCTGTAGAATGATAGCAACTTATTACTGATATTACTTCAAAATATATCCTACCGTAATGTATTTTGTACGGTTCGTCACTAGGTACGCTTGAAGCTATTACGAGTTCACCTGCGTCCAGATAGGCTACCTTGAATCCCTAGCTGAAGATAGAAAGCTTTGTAAGCGTAGAAAGTATATTCTACAAACACCCAACAATCACAATGCGATCAAGCACACAAATCTCGTTTATTTATACATCATAGAAACGTCTTTGGGACAGTTACGTAAATAGCACACTAAAATACACAACAGCCAATGACAACCATGGATTTTCCTGGTGGGAAATGAAATCTCAAGGTCAACTGATCAGTCCATGCTGGCAGACGTGAAATCCAAAATAAGGCATTTATCAAGCGATTTCTGGGGATCTAACATCCCCAACATATTTATTATATGAAAAGATGATTGGTAAAAAATTAAGCTTTCTTACAAAGTGCACTTGTGACACATCACATGTAGTAGTACAAAAACTCTATTTTATTCCATTTTACGGGGTTGTGAAGATTGTTAAATTACACATTTTGAAATCATGAATCGGTCATTGTTATTGATCGTGATTTTTAGTCATCATGCAAACAACATCGACAGTATGTGGGGCCGGTTGATATCGAGTTTTATAGATAAGTAGCTTCAAGACAGAAGAGTTTATAAGCCAATTTCGAAAAGTCCAATGAAAATAATATGCCATCTGTAAATCTATATATTTATTCATGTATTGTAAATCATTCATTCATATTTGTTGCTTTTTTAAAGTGGCTGAATGTGATCAGCTATTGATTTCTCAAGGTCATTATTAGTCATCTAATATCATTTATGTTCACCATTATGTTGTATGTTTTTTTCGTTTAAACTTTCTAATTGCTTTCTTTGTGTTAGAGAATTGACTGATGGACGAGATAAATTTCGTAATGGTTTAAATAAAATTTTAGAAACTAATGATTTAATTGCTAAAATGGAAAGTGAACTAACTGCAATGCGTCCAACACTGGAAGCGAAACAACGTGATACGGAAAAATTGATGATCAAATTAAGTGAAGATCAAGAACAGGTAACTAATTTTTAATTAGAATTAGAAACAATAAATCAGTGCTTTATCTTAGAATTTGGATATATTAATATTATCAATTAAAATATGCACATCTCTATAGAAGCATTTCCAACAAAATATGACTTGAATACCTATCGTTATGACTCATAAGTCTTTGGTTTTTCTATCCACCAAGTAAATGTTTGTACAGATGAATTCTAAAATGAATTGACCACTGTGTAAGACAGTTCCTTCTTGGTGTTGACGGAATTTTCAGTGGTCGATCACTTGAAAAATGCATCTCTTTCCTACAGGAGGTCGTTAGTAAATTGAATAGCTTGGTGGTTACGTTTTTTTGACTGTGGAACTGGGTGATTTGGGATTGAATCCTCCCAAGAGCATCAATTCGCTCAAGATTAAAGGCCCGAATAACACGAAACCTAGGTTCAGGACTTCCTGTCAACTAGTTCCAACCACCACCTTACAGACATTTCTATTTTTCTAATGACAAAATCTCGGCAATGTATAGCATTGATAAGAAGTTGAGTGTGTACAAGATATACTTTGTCCCTCTTGATTCTGGTCAACAAGATCCTCTATTCTTTGGTATTATACATGAAGTATTCTCTTTGCACTTTACCATACACTATGATAATTTGACCAAATCACATGCGTGTGCAAAAGTTAATCCATCTCAGATTATATTGAAGGCATGCCGTTAGAGGAAGCCGATTATACACTTAATCAAGGTTTCAAACTATTTACCCTTGTTTGGATAATAAGGACAAATGTGGATATACCTATGGTTCGAGTTTACTTTCTTTGTTCAGTTGATCATTACATGAAGTTTATAAGTTGTCTGTCAATCTTTTGGCGATCGTTGGTGGTTGAGATAGTGTACAAAAGATGAGTGTACCCGTAGATAAATTAAACATCGCAGATTATCACCAATGGTGTTACATCATAAATCTAAATATTTCAGTTAAATTTGCAAAATTATTACCATAATTTAAGCTAAGGTATTTTTATTCTCAGTCTGCCCCAATAAAAATTATTCCACTAACTCAGTTGTTCTGGGGAGAATGATCAACCAATCAGGGAAATCATAGGTGACATAGGATCAAGAAACAGATCAAAAGGGGGATACAATAAAAAAAGGTGTAAACAACGTCAGGTTTAAGGTCAACAGCCGCCAGTCAAGATGGAGGTTAGCAGAACAAGCTACAGGTCAAACGTGGAGAAATTCGAATACTTCACTTCTACATGAAGTTTGTGTTGATGATGTTTTTCAGAGGAACAATGAAATCTCCACAACCAAAACATCCAGCTCAGAGTACGAAACACCACCTGAGCTACAAATTTTCTCCACGACAACTGAGATAGTAGAATAATTTTTATTGGGGCAGACTGAGAATAAAAATACCTTAGCTTAAATTATTGTAATAATTTTGCAAATTTAACTGAAATATTTAGATTTATGATGTAACACCATTGGTGATAATCTGCGATGTTTAATTTATCTACGGATACATTCACCTATTGTACACTATCTCAACCACCAACGATCGCCAAAAGATTGACAGACAACTTATAAACTTCATGTGATGATCAACTGAACAAAGAAAGTAAACTCGAACCATAGGTATATTTGCACATTTGTCCTTGTTATCTAGAAAAGATGAAAAAGACAGTTGATTGTTGTCGAAATTAGTAGATAATACCATTCAGTACGTTAAAATACCAATTCCACAAACTAAGATGTTAACATTTCGATGAAACCACTATTATCTAAAACCAAATCACCTTTCCGCTGAGTGACTAAGTGTTTGGAACTAATCTGCACGAAACTAACTTCCCGCTTTTTTAAGCAGAGTTTGGAATTTGTAAAAAGGAGTGATAGCTTAAAAGTCTGATAAATTTATGGTATCTTTCGACATTTCATCACTCTTCACAAAGATCCCTCAGGAAGAAATGGCTGAAATTATTTGTCAATACGCTGACCTCCTGGGTTTCGCCGATCAATGAATTCAAACAGGTCTTGTTCATGTGTACCAAAAATATACAATTTCAATTCAGAAATGTATTTTATAGTCAAACTGATGGAGTCGCAATGGGTAGCCCCTGGACCCAATTACGGCTGACATATTTATGAGGAACCTGGAACAAACGAAGCTTAAGCGCACATTCAAAGAAACTACATCCTGTCGCAGATATGTTAGTGACACGTTTCTTGTTTGCAACAATTAAAAATAATCTATGCACCTACTCAATCTGTTTGATAAAACACATTGAAATTGATATTGCGATAGAACAAGAAGTCGAAGATAAATTCAATTTCTCAGACGGAAAACTACAAAAACATATCCATCACAAAGATACATGAAAAAGAGTTTTATCTGGACTATAGCAGCTTCTTATTGATCCGTCATAAAAGGAGTATCGTACGAAACCTTCTTTGACCGCTATCGTAAACTTTGCTCTAAAGAATTTCAAGGATAATGAACTTGCTTCCATTATAACCGGTATGAAAATGCATACTCATCAACATTTATCAAGAAGTATGCGCCCTTCAAAGAAGATGAAATTACTGGGATTATCCATCACACAGGGTAAATGCCGCATTGAAGATTGCTTAGTCAGTGGAAATACTTACGACATTATTTATGTAAGACAAACTGCTCATTGGAGCAAACAAAAATCGACAAGTGGTCCTTTCTGAGTACCTCTAAATGAATTTACCATTATACATGTATGTGCCAAAACACAAACATTGGAAGTACAGAGGGAAGAGTATGTGTCTGGATTTCCGAGCTTGTTGCTAAGAATCTGAGACAGAGATGCAAAGACTCTGAATAATACAATAGCTCGGGTATTTAATTGACATCGGAAACATTGTCGACATTTTTCAATGCTTCGAAATCATCAGCAGTCGAGAAAATGCAGAATCTCTACGGATTGTCGAATCAGTAGCAATTAAAACACTTGAACCTGATTGATTTGTTCCAAGAGAGACTGTGATAAACTTTTTAGTATTATTTGTTATTGCCATGAATAATGTTATTTTATCTGTGTTATTTTGTTATGCTATCTTCACTAAAACTAAATCCTATTCTATGTTTACCAAAATCATCTTCTGATTCACTCGTTTCTTGAAACTTATGTAAAAACTCCCGTCAAATCATGCTTACTTATAACCCCTAACCCTACAATAATAAATTCTAAAACTTGTGGTGTTAACTTCCAATGTTTGGTTAATTGACAATAACTTATGTTATTGTATTTTATTATTCTTCCCACTAACAATACACTAGTCGTCTTGCCATCAACTTGTACTTTTACTTATTATATGTAGTGACGTAATCTATAATTTCATTGTGATTACTGACTCAAATTGTTCTAATTGGTTTAACATTTTGTTGTGTGTTAGAGAGTAAAGCCTGACGATGATCTAACTAAAAATAACTATATTGTTCGTTTATATTGTGTGTGGTTCAAATATTTCCATAATTTCTATGTTTATCACATGACTCATATGTTTCTGTATTGCGTTTAATTTTGTTTGTCTCACCCCTTCTTATGTTTTTCATTTGAACTCTATTCGAACTCCAATCCTATTCAGGACATCATTGAGAGTGGACAAACAGATACTGCCTATGTGACTGCATTACCTGTTATTGACTTCTACTGTATATGGACTCACTGTTTGACTACCTATAAGTGAATTGAATAAAATATTGTATATTGCTCTCTACATTGGTCGTTAGTGGTGTATTTGGTTTAACATGATCTAGCCTGTGTCGAGTATCCGATTCAGTGGTCATTCATTTAGTTGCTGTATAGAATACGGTGTATAAAGTGGTATTCACATACACCCGTTATATCATACATAGACTTTCTTGTAAGCAGCTGATGAGGAACCATGAAATATACTGAATTCATATTATTCCACCTCTATTGTCGCTCTGGCTTTATTTAATATTCACTATAGAGTTGAGGCGATGATTGAGTTTCATTTTAATCATAGATCGATCACTATTAGAGCACTATTAGGAACCTGGAATCACTGGGCGGCCGTTTCGTCCTAGTATAAGGAGACTCATCATCAGTGCGCATTCATTACTCTGCAAACTGGAATCAAACCCAGGACCTTCGAATCTATTGCGCGAACATTTAGACCATTGAGTCTGGGGCACCCAGTGGTGTTAATGTCCTAAAATGGATCAGTCTAAGGTTTTGAACAACTTCCCCTATTGTCTTCGATAGTTACTGCCTACATTAGACAGTGTTGGACTTCACTGGGTACGACTTCTCACTAGAACTCAGAGAAATTTGCTCACGAAGCTAATCACTAATTAATATATTTATAGCAATTAACCATAATTTATCAACGACAAAAGTTATGGGAATAGTTTAAAAGTCGAATAAAAGGATATTTTTTCTGTGAGATTTCCTCACTCTAAATGCAGAAATCTGTATCAGCGTTTAAATTCATGACATTATGAAGTAGTTGGATGCGTTGATCATTTCACTTGTAAGTTTAATCAGCCCTGGTGGTTTGGTGTGTCTAACGAAATTACTGGACGGATTCAACAACCGTGGTTGACTTTTATCGAAGTGCGTCACGTTTGGAGTTTGCAAAAAGCTCGTCTGCGAAACAAAATACTGGTTTGTCGTCCCGAATTACACTGTTCTTTTCTTTGTGGTTGAGAAACGAGGTTCTTAAAAATAGGATAGTCTCAGTTTGTTAAATTACTTTGATTTATTGCTCATGTACTTTGGGACCACTGAGTGGAAAATATTCATATTAGATGCAAGGAATAGACTAAGGATAGCAAATCGCTTGATGAGGTAGCGCGAATTCATCAACCGAGGTGTTTTTGATCTGTACTTCATACGTTCCACCTCCGGCTATCTAGACACATGATGTTTGCTGGTGTAGGAGTAGGTTAATAGGAAACTAAGAAAGTTCGACTTAAAGTGTGACGTCTTTCTGCGAATTAACTACCATACATTTCGAGCCTAGGTCCAAACTTTTTAGTTCGTTCTTAATCGTTTATCTTTACTAATGGTTTCAACTGCTTCATGAGATGCTGAGATATTCACTCTTTGTAAACCATCCGATCTTGAATCTAAAAATTATTTAATGCCATGTATTCTGTAAATTAATTCGTTCTTCTAGAATCATCATTATGGCTAATGTTTTACGTCTACTGATGCGACAGTTTCTCCTGCCATAATTATCTTATCTCTTCTAGTATAATTTTGTGTTAAGTTCAGCTGATGTACATAATTTTTTGACTTTACGCTTTGCCAAGTGGCATGAGTATATCATGAGCCAGTGGTGTAATTTTTAAACTAGACAAACTGCTTCTACCTTAAACAAAAACTAGTTTTTTCTGTTTCAAAATTTCCTTATTACGCCTTTTTTTTCTCATCACCAAGCACGAATCCAACACAATCTACTAATTTATCAGTCCTCTTACTTACAAACAAACTTTGGTTAACTGTTGAAATGAAATAGTCTGAGCAATTTATAAGTGGTGCATATTAATTTTCTATCTGATAAGAAACATGATTTCTTATCGAATATCTGTCATAAGAGTAGTGTTTTCAGATTTTCGGTACTGTTATGACATGTAGTGACCGAGATTAGATACTAAAATACAGTCTTTTTGTACACGAACCATTTATTTTGATAGAGAAGACAGATTAAGAAAGTCTGTTTAGATAAAGCTAATTACATATATATCTACAAATATATGTGTAAACCAAGGCGTCTGACTACACTATTGAGATACGTGTGAAAGGAAAGTTCATAAACAACGATTTGGCTTAAAAATGGTTATTTTATCAAAGAATGAATTGGGTACGAACCTCAGCTCGTAGGGTGTATCAGGTGATTGACTTGTTGGAGAGGAAAGGTCTTCATACAGAAGGTAATAACACACAATATTGTACATTTTGCCATCAAACAAGGCTTAAAGGAACATACAAAACTGAATGACAAAAGTTGTAAGTAATGAATAATATAACTGCATCTAGTTAATGCAAAGTTTGATTTCAGTTACACCATGCTTTTGGAAATTGTTGGAAATAAACTGCTTACTCAATATTAAGAAGTAGTATAAAATAATACACAAAATGCAAGTTAAGTAAGAAATGGTTTCGGACAGAGGACGTAAACTTAGCTCGATCAGTGGTTTTTCTTGTACCTCTTGAAAATAAAAGTCATTTCTTAGCCAGGTACTTATAATTCAGCAAACGAACCTTTAAAAAATCAGTGAATAAATCCATTTGGCTAAACCAAACTGAATGAGTTAGTAATTATTATTAACATAGTGTAGATACAAAGAACTCACTTCTCATTGACTATAATTAAACTGTGAAACCTCAGTGTTGACTTTTTATTATAAATCATTAGGCATAGTTGTTTTAATCTACAAACAACATTGAACCACACAATTTGTTGATATTTCTAGTTTAATAGTTCAATTATATTTTATATCCTACTCATAGGTGTTATATTTTATGATAATAGTAGTTGAACTGTGAGTAACGTTTCCAAAGTTTGAGTTCGTCATCTGGCTAATTTAAAAACTTATTTTTGTATTTGTTAACAGATTCATGCAATAAATATCTGCAATAAGGTGTAAATTCATGCACTGCCATACAGTTGAATTATATTCACTTAATAAAGTGTTTCATACAATTTAAAGTCACGTTATATAACTTGCCGAATGATTGATTAAAATAATGTAATACATATATATAGGAATTTGTCATCACTTAGTTACTTTCTTCACACATTACTGCACAGGCAAAAGTACCATGATTCAACTTATTAGCACAGAGACGCAAATGTCAAATCAAATCCCATAGTGATAAAGATAATAGAGGTATTAATGGTAATGAAGACTAGGGTTTGAAGATATTATTCAAGAAGTATAATTCAGTGAGATAAGGTTAGAAAGACAAAGGTAGAGGTGCTGACGAATCCAGAAGATTAGGATTTGTTTCAACTATAAATTGAACGTTGGTTGGATGATTAATAATAAAGGTAAATAGAAAACTTGAAATTTTTCAAACATTTCGTAACTCGGTGTAAGCTACTTCTTCAGTAAATAAATATAAACAAATTAAATTAAATGTGTGAAAGGATAAAGTTGAATTGGTATATATGCTAACAGTGTGTGCTGTGAAAAGAATCAGATATAGTAACTTGGATAGATAGATGGCTCTAGTCAGATGGAGATTATAGTCTTCTTTTCTAAGGAGGGCAGTAGAATTTGGCACCAAATGGAAAGCTTCAGTTAGTTGGAATAGCTTTTTGTATATTATTCTGATATTTTTTTAATGTCGACTTGATGGTCACTGAAAATGATATTACCGATTTAATTTGGAGTCTTTCATGATCCAAAGTATAATTAGGTGGTCTTTTTTGAGTACTTCAAATGTTCTTCAGCTCAAGTCAAGATATTTCACGAGATTACTCTCCAATATAGAAGATGTCACAATCGACATACTTTAATTTGTAGACAGGCTTTATGCAGTCCTTAATTTATATTAGACAATTCACTATTCAATTGTGATAACGATTGAAATCCATGTCTTTGTAATGTTCCTTATCAGCTATCGTTTTCTCAATAATGTTTCGTTTTTTTTTGTATGATTTTACTTGGATGTATTATCCCGTTGCATAAATGAATGGTTTTTTGCTAGAGTCCAATAAATGGATAACATATTAGTGTTTAAAGTGAAAAGTACTGAGTTCATCTTCCAAGAATTAGATTTCAACTCTAGGATTTCGGTATTCAAATATTGAGATCATGAAGGAATTTGTGACAATTTTTTACTGCTTAAGTTGTTCATATTCTTTATTCCTTATGTTTCCAATCAGGCTGATATTGTTCGTAGTCGAGTGAAAGAGGATGAAGTAGTGGCTAAACAAAAAGCTGATGAAAATCAAATTATAGCCGATGATGCACAACGTGATTTAGACGCAGCATTACCAGCATTGGAAGCAGCTAATAAAGCACTTGATTCATTAGATAAAAATGACATTGCTGAAATACGTGTATTCACTAAACCACCACAATTAGTACAAACTGTTATGGAAGCTGTATGCATTATGCTTGGACAAAAGTAAGAATCTGTATATATATATATATATATATATATATATATATATATATATATATATATGTTACGCATGCACGTAAACACGTCAGTTGATATGCTTGAATTATTATTACGAGTTTACCTTAGTCGGAAAACGAGAGCGAGGATCCGGCGACGCGACAGACTACTCTAATCCGATTGTCCAAACCCCCCCTCACCATTGAGTAAGAGAAGACTTGATCTGAAGCAGAACATGTATTCTACAAGCGTCCAGAAAGTACGAGGTCCAAGTCCAGAAGATAATCAGAATCCTGGACTAGGGATCCGCAGCCGGGTCATAAAACGTTGCAGATAATGCGTATTTATACATTTCGGTCGAATAGGAAACAGCATCGAAGTCTGTGACATTGACAGTTAAGATGACCAATAAGAAATAACATTGGAGTACGTGACATTAATATCTAGGACGACCATAAAATTGACCAGTAGGAATTAACTAATAGTAACTGACCGATAATTCCTCTTAGGATATCGGATCAATATCCTAACATTTTGGAAATTTGTGGTTGATACACACTACTAAAAATAGTCCGAAATTTTGTATGCTATCTAAAATAGATTCATGCGATCTATGTAGATTTACGAAACTTACCAAAAAGAGACATAACCATAAGTTCCCTCAATTTTTAAGAATTATTCTAAATTCTAATCAAAAGTCATCACCTGTTCATTTCAAGCACTTTAAATTGTAAATTATATGTCCCATGTGAAATTGTGAGTGAAAACTGTCGTACATACACTTCACTGCACTTAGTCATAATTAACATTTGCTCCCGAGATTCTTGTTCAAAAGGTTTTCAGTTCATCATGAGAATTACTTCGAGAATGGTTGGTTATTTTTTTACTATTGAGCATTGAACTAAATAACTTGTTTATTATTGTTATTATGTTTATTTAGAGGTGACTGGGCAACAGCTAAGACTGTTTTGAATGATTCCAATTTTTTAAGAAAATTAGTTGAATATCCAAAAGACGATATCACTGATGCACAATTAAGAAAATTAAAAAAATTCATTGATAATCCGGAATTTATGCCAGAAATTGTTGAGAAAACCAGTAAAGCATGTAAATCAATGTGTATGTGGGTTAGAGCATTAGATTTATACGCGCATATATTTCGTACTGTGGAACCAAAAAGAAAACGGTAATGCAATACTTTTTTTATAGAGAGATTTTTTGTTTTAATTGAGTATATACATATATATAAATATATTTGAACGATTTCTTTGACAGACAGACAGACAAATACAACATAGAACTTCGTACGTAGGTACATCAGTTCAGGTTGTCATACCACATCAGCACAGAGACGCAACTGTCAGTTCAAATCCAACAGTGGTAGCGATAGTAGAAGTATTAGCAGTAGTGGAGAAGATTAGGGAGCGAAGATATGATTCGAAAAGTATAATTCAGTGAGATAAATTTAGAAGGAAAAAGATAGAGATTATGAGGAATGCAGAAGGTTAAAATTTCATAGCACACAAAGAGTGGATGCACCTGCACCGTTGCAAACGATTCTGAGCCATGTCGTTCAAGGTCTCTAACCATTAGTGAATTTCGTCTCGCGGACCTCAACCCCGTTAACCTACATTTACCAACATGACTCAGTCCACTTGTCAGTGACTTCATGCATTTCTTCCATGTTTTGGTTTGGCCGCTCCTAACTTTCTTCCAACCTACTCCTACACCACAGAACATAGCTCGTCGCGGCAGTCGGTGCTTAGGTATACGTAACACATGTCCCAACCACCTCAACTGATGAAGTTTCAATACTTCATCTGTTGATTTACCATGCCTACCTAGTACTCGTTTCCTAACGACAGCGTTGCCTACTCGGTTGTCCCACGACATACAAGCAATGCTTCTTAAGCATCTATGATCGAAGACTAGTAACCTACGAAAGTCCTTTACTCTTAACAGCCAAGTAACGATTTCTTTTGGTGATTAATCAGTCAATCCAGTCATCATCAACATAGATCCTGGTATACAGATGCACTAGTGTTCAAATTTTCACACCATAATAGTTAAAAATATCCGCGACAATGAGAATGATATTAAGTATAACTAATATGATTTGATGGTACACTATCAGGTTGCATTTTTTTTATTTCTCGATCCTTCACAATGTATGAACATTCCATGTACCTATAATAATGGTTGCTCTGGTTGTCAGGTTGGCATATCGGCCATTCGGTGCACTAACGTCGGCCCAGTAGTCCGATGGTTAGGCGTTCGCGCTCAATACCGAAGGTGCCGGGTTCGAATCCTGCGAGGTACAGGAGTCGTAGATGCGCACTGCTGATGAGTCCCATACCAGGACGAAACGGCCGTCTTTCAGTGCTTCCAGGTTTCTAATGGCGGTCTAACAATGATTGATTGATGATTTCAAATGTGTAAAAACACAAACCTCCAAAACTCTGCCCGAAAAAATCTCCAATATAGAAAAATATTGATATTTAGCTTAGCATTATTCATTGAGAATTACTTAAGTAATTCTGATTGTGCGTTTTTTTCCCTTCATCTCATTTTAGTTTGGAAGCAGCTAATGCAGATTTAAATGTTGTCATGCTTAAACTTCAACAAAAACAAGCTGAATTAGCTAGTGTTGAACAAAAAATTGCTTCATTACAACAAGAATATGATCAGTCAGTTAGTGAGAAAAAGAAACTTGAACATCGTCTTGCATTAACCTCAGCTAGATTAAAACGTGCTGGTAAACTGACAGCTGCTCTAGCTGATGAACAAGATCGTTGGAAGTTATCTATTGAAAAGTATAATATTCAGCTGAACAATGTAATAGGTGATGTTTTTGTAGCATCTGCTTGTGTAGCTTATTATGGAGCGTTTACAGCGAATTATCGTGAAAATTTAATTAATGAATGGGTGAAACGTTGTCGTGATTTAAACATACCAGTTAGTGAAGAATTAACTTTATTCAATGTTCTCGGCGACGCGTATGAAGTAAGACAATGGAATACACAAGGTTTACCACGTGATCAAGTCAGTACAGATAATGCAATCTTAGTGACACGATCCAGGCGATGGCCATTGATGATTGATCCACAAGAACAAGCCAATCGTTGGATACGTACAATGGAATCACAGAATAATTTGAAAATTGTCAAATTAACTGATGCCAATTTATTAAGAGTATTAGAAAATTGTATACGTGTCGGATTTCCATTATTATTGGAAGATGTTGGTGAAACATTAGATCCGGCATTAGAACCGATATTATTAAAACAAATTGTCATGTCCGGTGGTCGTTTATCAATTCGATTAGGTGATTCTGATGTAGAATATGATAAGAATTTTCGATTTTATTTAACTAGTAAATTAGCTAATCCACATTATCTGCCGGAAATATCGATTAAAGTGACAATTATTAATTTCACTGTAACACCGAATGGTTTAGAAGACCAGTTGCTCGGCGATGTCACTGGAATTGAACGACCAGAATTAGAAGAACAACGTAGTCAGCTGATTGTGAAAATTAATACAGATAAAAATCAATTAAAAGTAAGTTGAATCATTCATGTTATTTTACATTTATTAATGTGTGTGTGAATGGATGAATGGTTCAGCTCACTATTACTGAGTATTCACTGTATAAATATAGTAGAAAAGTAGCGGTTAAAGCAGATATGTATGCGTTTTTTTACACAATTGAAATCAGCAATCAATCATTGTTAGACCACCACTGAAAACCTGGAAGCCTTGGACGGCCGTTTCGTCCTGATATGGGACTCGTGATGATTTCAAATGTTTAAGAACACTAATCTCCATAACTCTGATTGAAAATATCGTGCCTTGTTCTCACTAGTAGCTAGCTTCGTGAGGAAATTCTCGGAGTTCTAGTGAGAAGACGTGACCAGTGGAGTTCAACCCTGTCGAATGTAGGCAGTAACTATCAAAGGCGAATGGGTGAGGTCGCGCAAAATCCCTTGATCAATCAGAGTTAGACATTAACACCGTTGAATACAGGCCCAGCGATCCAGAGGTTAGGCGTTTGCGCACAAGACCATACGCCCCGGGTTCAAGTCCTGCGAGGTTCAGAAGTCGTGGATACGCACTGCTGATGAGTCATGTACCAGGACGAAATTGCCGTCCAGTGTTGCCAGGTTTTCAATGGTGGTCTAACAATGATTGATTGATGATTTCAAATGCGTACTAGTCAGTGAGCTTAACCCAACAGTTTACCATTAAAACCAACGAGCAAGTATATCACGAAATCGTTTTACAAAATTCACTAACTCTCTTCATCATTCAACTAAATAAAATCAAATAAAATCACCTTTCGTCATTTTTCTAATTAGTCAGTGTTAATCACTCTGATTATCGAATAAACAACGAATTTATTCATTTTAAGTGATTTTGTGAGTGGTAATTTTCTCTTAAAAATTTTCATGCTCTGCATTAGCCAATGAACACACACACACACTGGTGGTTTTGTATCAATCATTTTTCCCAACAAAACTTTGTTTATTCCATGTCTTTTACATGGAATCTATGTCAGAAAATTTTAAGCGTTTCACATTGGACTTTACATTTTTTTCATTCTCTAGTTTTCCATCATTTCGATATTACGTTAAACAAATGTAAACTGACATGATCATTTTGAATTTCGTTCAACAGAAGTTAGATTTTACTGACGTGATTGCATGTAATTGGTAGAAAGAGCTACTAGCTAGATTTCGCATTAGTTGGCATCCGTTAGCAATTCATTTCTGTAATTTTCAAAGAACTCTTGTTGCTCATGGGACTCAAACCTTATTTATCATTCATTCCCTTAATCTGAGACGTTATCCTAGGTTTTATTTATGATCTCCTCTGGAAGGATTAGAAAAAAATATGTAATAATGCTAACAGCTTAACTAATCGTAAGTAATTCACTTCATCGCATGGTGCGAGATAATAAACGATAATCTTTAACTGCAAAATCTCATAAGATTTCAAGAGTAAGAAGGATAGATAATCTTATTGAAAGATTCTAATTTGTATTATTTTAGTTTTATGGAAGTTACTATTTATAGTGATTTCAGTGATCACCTAACCTACCCACTACAAAGGTTATTTATTTTGACTTGAATTCTTTTTAAAAACTAAGCAGACAGTTCATAGCGATTAGCTTGTAGAGGTTTGTATATACTCTTTGTCGGTATTCAAGATTGTATAGGTAGCGACAAATAGTGTATTGGCTTGCAGCGGAATCCAGAACGAGCGTTTCGTCCAATTCAGGACTTGTCAGCTGGATGTACCTTCATGGTTACATTGAGGCACCATTAGCACAAGATACTCGCATATGCCAAATGAGATCGATCAACTTCAATCGTAACTACCAATCGAAACCATTCACTAACACCATTAGCACTACGAAATGCAAATAATATTTTCAATACATACATAAATATTAGATATCTATCTATATACTTTATTGTTTCACAAAATATATATTTTTAGGAAACAGAAAATAAAATATTGAAATTGTTATTTGAATCAGAAGGTAATATATTAGATAATGAAGATTTGATTAATACATTGAACGAGTCTAAGATTAAATCAAATGAAGTAACTAAACGTTTAACAGAAGCAACATTAACTGAACAAAAAATTACACAAGCACGTTCCAAATATTTACCGATTGCATCACGTGGTTCTGTCATGTATTTTGTCATCACTACTATGGCTGAAATTGATCCAATGTATCAATTTTCATTGAAATATTTCAAAAATGTAAGTGGATTGTCACAAATTTGCTCTTTTTGGTTGGTTGATTTATAATTTCTGTGATTTACAATCTTTCATTGCACTATGAAAGATTGATTGTAGACAGTGAGTGCTGAGACAGATTTGAATTGCACAGAAATTGTCAATTCTCTTAAGATTGTGTAATCCACCTGGAATGTGTAGGTGCTTAAACCATGCAGAGAACTTTTGGTCACTTGTGGTAACCAACTAACTTACATTGATTGATAAAAAAACTGCATTGAGAAGACAGATTACTTACACTTAACAAAATCATACTATATGGTGTTGGCTAAGAGGTTGGCAATATAACATAGGCACCATTCGCAAGCATGTATGTGACTATATAGTTACTGGCTAAGATGATAGATATCTCAATGTAAAAGCCCTTCTTCTGTTCATTAATGAATAAAGAATGCTACTGGAATATAAGGAAGAAATAAAACAGTAAGCATATCAATGGTTTAACAATTATTGAAGGTAATGAGTTTATTTAATGAAATAGTTTTCCCAAGATTCATTATGAAATAATCAGTTCAAACACTTTATAAGAACAAGTGATGAGATAAGACGAAGAAGGAATGCATATGTGCCGTTAAATGCAAAGTCTCTAACCACCAGTTACGACTGATTTGCGGACACCAACCAGGCAGTCTACGCTCAATTTTACGGCTCAGTCCAGTAGTCGATGATTTCATGGATTTGTGCCATGTTTTGATTTAGCCGCCCCCCTAGCTTTCTTCCAGCGTACTGCTACATCAGACATCGCTCGTCGAGGCTTACGTAACACATGTCCCAACCACCTCAACTGGTGACGACTCGCTACTTCAGTTGATTTGCCATCCTTACCTAGTACTCTTCATTTCATCTCAGCATAGCTTACTCATTAGTCCCAGGATATAATACAAGCAATGCTTCGAAGACACCTTTGATCAAATACTAATAACCTACGAATATCCTGTATTCTTAGTAGCCATCCTCTACACCAGTAATTTAGAAGGCAGTGAACTGCCGTGCAGTAGTCTCGTCCCTTGGTTAGCAAATGAATATATCGCCTATGCCACAAATAACGCAGGTTGGTAAAAGCCAGTTGAGGCTTCTGAATCCGTGCTGAGATAACAGCATTTCTTACTCAGTTGTCCCAGGAGACAGGAGCAATGCAGTGTTGCTCAGGGTAGTCAGAAGACGCTGCATTTTGTCAGTGTCTTCATTAAACAGAACTATGTCATCGGCATATTTTCTAAGTCAACAAGTGGATCCACGCGGTAAAAAGCCTGATACCAGTCTTGAATATTAAAGTTAACAAACAGATGAAGATTTTGAATTACCAAGAGAAAGCAAATACATCGTCTACTCTTAAATAACTGATATGAAGATTATCTGCAGCATTTTATTCATGTAGTTCACTTATTTTCTTTCATTTTTTTTACTTTACAAAAAATAAAATATATTTAGTTATTCAATACAACTATACAAAATAGTCCTAAAGCATCTACATTGGAAGAACGTATTCAAATTCTACTTGATTCAACAACAAAAGCCACTTATAATAATGTAGCTCGTGGATTATTTGAACGTGATAAATTAGTATTTTCATTTATGCTCTGTGTACAAATCTTGAAACAAATGAACCAGATTACGCCATATGAATGGACATATTTCCTATTAGGTGCACCGGAAGAAATGACTGAACAGAAACGACCAGTTCAACCGAAAGATACCATGAATTGGTTGAATTCAAGACAATGGAGACGAATAGTCGACTTAGCACATTATTTCCCAGATCAATTTAGAACATTACCTGAAGATATACGCAAAAATTCCATAATGATTAATTTCAGTCAATCAGTTATAGAGTTTAACGAGGAACAAACTAATCTTGAAGAATTAGATTTGTACATATTGAATCCGAAAAATTATAGACATTTACCATTAGCTGATTTTAATGAAAAATTAACTTCATTTCAAAAATTATTATTAATTTCAACTATATATGAAGAAAAACTAATTAAAGCTGTCACAGATTTTGTTCGTATTAGTCTTGGTCCGGAATTTATTGAAACACCACCTTGTGGACTGTCAATTTTATACAAAGAAATGGATCGTTCCACACCGTTAGTATTTATTCTATCAACTGGTTCAGATCCAATGAATCAATTTCAAAAATTCGCTAAAGAATTCGGTTATCTAGAACGAGTCCATGCAGTTTCGCTAGGTCAAGGTCAAGGACCAACAGCTGAGAAATTAATCGATGAAGCATGTAAAACAGGCGATTGGGTATTTTTACAGGTACAGTTTTTTTTTTAAATTTCTATTTGAACTAACACTGGTAGGATGAGTCACGCTGTTTGTTTTTTTTGTTCTTGTAAAACTCGCATTTACAACTGGAAAATAACTATAGAGTGGAAAAAGGTGTTACTTAAATTATTTTGCCTGAGTTATTTTCTATCTAAGTTGAAGCGTTCTTTGTCTTTTTAGCCAACATTATTTTTCTCAAACTTCAAAATGAAATGAGGTGAGGAGAATTATATTATTATCATTATTTTGCTTCATTTATTCAATTAAAACAGAATCTGATTGATTAAAATGGCCATTAATTTATTCTAAATTCAATTTGATTATTTTCTCTTCGAATCTAAATTTGTAAATTTTTATAATTGGTTCTACATTGTTTTTTTCTTAATCAAAGTTCAATAATGTATGATTGAAAATTTGTCTAATTGATTTGTGAGAAGTAGCCAGCTTAAGCAGAAATTTTTTTATGATGTTTTGTTTTTCTGGTTAAGATTTGCTAAGATTTTGACATTTTTCCCAAATAAAAATTGTGTCACTTAATGATTTACGTAAATTAAGAGGGAAAGATAATTAATTAGTGAGGTAGTTGTAATACACACTAATTCAGTTTGTTTGATTCAGCTACGCAATTTATTTATACTTACTTACTTACATCTGTTACCCTAAACAGAGCACAGGCCGCCGAAAGTTTCTGATTAGCGGTTTTTCTTACCGAGTTGGCTTTCTACTAGATGGAGTCGCTAACTCCATGCCCCACCCTTCCTGCTTTATCCCAGATGGGAATTGACACTAACCCAGAAGGGCTCTAGGCGGAGTTAATTTTTTATTATGAAATTATGGACGACCCGTGAGCGCTGGTCTTGGATGCGTAGTGATGGAGAGTAAGTACTATTCTAGGACGAAACGGTCGTCCAGTGCTTTCACATTTGTAATACTGGTCAAACATTGGTTTAAGCCAACTTTTTAAATCAACATTAATTACCCTGTTCATGTAAGAGATGGTAATTATTAAGGGGTATAACGCCGAGAAATAGAGAAAGATGTGAGAGAAATGAACAAAGGCTGGAAAGAACTAGAAAGGGAAGCCCAGGACAGAGTGGGTTGGAGAGAACTCGTGCGCGGCCTACGCTCTATTGCGGGTAACAGGCGTAAGTAAGTAAGTAACACATTTTCTAATCACTTTAGTTAATCAGTCTTCATAAACAATGTTTTTATTTGCGTAATCAATTAAATATATGCTAATACGTTTCCATTATTCTAATCCTTTTTTTAAAGTCATACTAATAACAAGTCATTCCATTAAAAAACTTGGCCTATATATATATATATTTTTTTCTCTTTCCAACAGAATTGTCATTTAGCTGCTTCATGGATGATTAGATTAGAAGAATTAGTGAAACAACGTGCTGAAAATCCGAAATCTACTCATGTAGAATTTCGTCTATATCTAAGTTCAATGCCAGCAAAATCATTTCCAATCTCTGTATTACAAAATTCAGTAAAAGTAACTAATGAACCACCGAAAGGATTAAGAGCAAATCTTAGTCGAGCACTTAATGATATATCAGCCGACTTATTTAACACACATGGTATGTTTTTAAAAAAATATTATGTTTTTTTACATCAAAAAAAAAACATTTTTCTATGTTACTGAAGACTCTCTGAACTTGACTTTAAATGAAATGCTTCCTGATGCAAATCGACATGACTGTATTAGAGGACCACGCTCATGAATATAAAGTTTAACTAGGTCAGCTCTTCGACCACCTACTTGATGTATAGTAAGTTTGTCAAATCACGAACGTGTTGTAGAATTTTCATACATTTGCTTGCGTGCACGACTTCCGATGTATTGCAGTTTGTTCAGCCGGAAGATATATACATACAAGGAGAGTGGATGTGAACAGAGTGGATTGTGTTAGTTAGCATCAGATTAGATAACACTTGCCAGGAGTTTGCAAGTTCTTAAATATTCATCCACCACATCAGCACTGTCCGGAATAGTAGTAGTAGTAGTAGTGTAGTGAACGAGAACACAGGTGGGGCAACCGAATTGTATTACAGTTACTCAGTAAAATCGAAAAACCATATCGTAAATCGTTCATTTGCAAAATAACAGTCCATCATATCGAACTGGACTGTTACTGTTGCAAAACATCAATCCATTGTCACTATTCATGCGTTCCATACAAATTCGATTGTATTCCTGCTCTTCCTTTCTTGATCTTCCCCCATCTTCTGCTGCCAGACATTACGTTGACGCTCACGTCATATACTACTTATAAGTAGCTCACACCACAGTAGTAGTAATAGTAATGACAGTGTTGGTAGTATTCAGTGGTAATCATTCCTTTAATTGCAATTTCAGTTTGCAAATAAATTTACATCAGAATTGAATCATATAAAAATACTTAAACAATTTTATTTATTTTCTAAATGTTATTTTTATACAGTTTTAGGAAGTGATTGGCGTAAATTAGTTTTCGGTATATGTTTCTTTCATTCAGTTGTATTGGAAAGAAAAAAATTCGGACCATGTGGTTGGAATATAAGTTACGATTTCAATGATTCCGATCGAGAATGTGCTTTATTGAATTTAGAAATGCTTTGTCATGAATCTTACATACCATGGGATGCTTTAACTTATATTACAGCTGAAGTAGATTAAGTTCTTTGTTTTTTAATATTTTTACACATTTCTCTTTATTTATCTAGAAGAATCAAATTAAAATATAAAATTAACTCATCAATCAACATGGAAGCACTGGACGGCCGTTTCGTCCTGATATGGGACTCATAAGTAGTGCGCATCCACGACTCCTGCACCTCGCCGGACTCGAACCCTAGTCCTATGGTCTTGCGCGTGAACGCCTAACCTCTGGACCACTGGGCCGGTGTTCAACGGTGCTAATGTCTAACTCTGATTGATCCAGGTCCCGTGTTCGAATACTGCGAGGTGCAGGAGTCGTGGATGCACACTGCTTATGAGTCCCATACCAGGACGAAACGGCCGTCCAGTGCTTCCAGGTTTTGAGTGGTGGTCTAACAATGATTGATTGATAATTTCAAATGTGTGACAACACTAATCTCCATAACTCTAATTTAAAATATCATAGAATTAACTATTCTATTTTAGCATGATCTCAAGTAGAGTGATGATGTAAGATGATAACCGTATGTTTTCATTGAAATCACCAGTCAGTCACTGTTACAGCACCATTGGAAAACCTGAAAACACTGGATGGCCGTTTCATCCAGCTATGGAACTCATCAACAGTGTAAACGCTATAAGCATATTCCCCTAAAAACTTATTCTTTTTGAGAGAAAACTACCAAAGTAATTCAAAAGCACTCGACCTTTGAACGTATTTAAAAGGATTCATATAAACAATTCTATTTTACCTGAATATGATTTTGAAGGCCATAACTATTTCAATAATACAAACAAACGAAACAGTTTGTAATTTACTTACTCTTAACATTATTCTAGAACTATTCTCTACAACAATTTCAAAACTCTTAATGATCACAAATCGATGAATGTTAGACTACCAATGAAAGTTTAGGAGTACTGTTGAACCATTTTGTCGCAGTATGGGACTCTGCGCATTCATAACACCATTTGTGGGAATAGGATCCAAGACCGTAGATATTGCGCATGAACGCTTAACCTATTGACCGCCGAGGCGGTATCCAATGTCTAACTTCAGTTGATATACAATATTGCGCGACTATCATCACGGTTGATCTGCTCTGATCACTGCTTCTGACTAGAACTCTGCAAATTCCCTCACGAAACTAATCACTAGTGCGCACATGATAAATGTCATCATAGGGTTGTGGAAATTGTTTAGTTTCAATGAAATCATGAGTCAATCCAATGGTGGGTAGTCTAACACTCTGATTGGTTCATAATTTTAATGAAATTAAAATTTTAATTGTGTTCAACTTTGTGACATATTAACAAATAAGAAAACTAACAATAAATTTATATCGCTTAATATCAACACTTCAGCCTCATCAGAAACAAATGTTTGTATCATCTTCAGAAGAGATAAATGCAATAGTAATTTCGAATAATTCATTATCATTCATAAGATATCAATTCAAGTAATATTTTTCTTCGCACATATCCTAGATCACATATGGTGGACGTGTCACTGATTTTTGGGATCAAAGATGTTTACGTACAATACTTCAACGTTTCTTTCATCCGTCCACATTGAAATCGGATTATGTGTATTCATCGTCTGGCATTTATTATCCACCAGTTAAAGAAACTTTAACAGAGTATTTAGAATATGTATCTAGTCTTCCATTTAGTTCAAAACCTGAATTGTTTGGAATGCATGAAAATGCTAATTTAGTCTATCAGGTAATCATTGTTTTAATAGTAATAAGTGTAAATACTTTTTTCTTCGTTACTAATAGTAATTTCCAGTGATCAACAAGCTTTAATAGTTCAATTCTTTGTGCAAAAAGCATCAGTTTCATTAAAAATTACAAGCATATGAGATCTGTCAATGATTATCAATTACATATGAATCTTAAATTAACAAGAATTTATTGTTTAACCTTATACAAGCTCTCTACTGTAAAATTACTTGTCGGGTGACAGCCTATGGCGAACTGTCATCGGAATTCTTTACTTCAAGTGGTGTCCGTCAGGGATGCCCACTCTCCACATTTTTTTTTACTGTTGTCATAGCCATGCTCCTAGATATAACATTATCGTCATCTGAATTTTCAGGAGTAGACCTACCAGGAAAATCGCTCACTGACCTAGAATATGCCGATGACATAGTTCTATTCGGTGAAGACGCTGACAAAATGCAGAGTCTTCTGACTACCCTAAGCAACAATGCAAGCATATTCAGGATTCGGTTCTCCCCGTCAAAATGCAAAATTTTGCTTCAGGATTGTGTTGCATCGGCATCTGAACTAGTGATAAGGAGTGAAGTAGTCGAGCGTGTAGACCGCTTCACTTATCTGGGAAGTCTCATCAGTGCCGATGGCCTGGTGACTGACGAAATCTCAGCTCGGATACAGAAGGCTCGATTGGCTTTTGCCAACCTGCGTCACTTATGGCGTAGGCGAGATATCCGTTTGCTGACTAAAGGACGAGTCTACTGAGCATAAGTTCGCTCCGTCCTGCTATGTGGATGCGAAACATGACCGGTAAGAGTAGAGGACATTCGTAAGTTACTGGTCTTCGATCATAGATACCTTCGAAGCATCGCTTGTATATCCTGGGACACCCGAGTGAGCAACGCTGTTATTAGGAAACGAGTGCTAGGTAGGGATGGCAAATCAATAGACGAAGCATTGAAACTTCATCAGTTGAGGTGGTTGGGACATGTGTTACGTATGCCTAACCACCGACTGCCTCGACAAGCTGTTTTGCAGTGCAGGAGTAGGTTGGAAGAAAGTCAGTGGCGGCCAGACCAAAACATGGCACAAATCCATGAAGTCACTGACAAGTGGACTGAGTCATGTTGATAGATGTAGGCTACGTGGTTGGGGTCCGCGAGACGAAAGTCACTCATGGTTAGAGACCCTGAACGACATGGCTCAAAATCGTTTGCAGTGGCGCAGGGGCATCCACTCTTTATGTTCTATGAAATTCTAACCTTCTGAATTCCTCATCATCTCTATCATTCCCCTTCTAAATTTATCTTACTGAATTATACTTCTTGAATCATATCTTCACTCCCTAATCTTCTCCATTACTGCTAATACTTCTACTATCGCTACCACAATGTGATTTGAACTGATATTTGCATCTCTGTGCTGATGTGTTATGGCAACCTGAACTGATGTACTTACGTACGAAGTTCTGTGTTGTATCTGTCTGTCTGTCAGAATTTATTGTTCGTCTATCTATTCTAGCATCCTAACAAACAAGATATCTCTCTTAAGCTTTTTTTAACCAAACTGCACAGCTTGATCAATTGAACTGAGTCATTAGTAAGGCAGACTAGTTAATCTTAAAAATTGAATTCTATTCAATAATCAATAATGTCGAAAGTAAGTATTGTATGGTTTTAAAATGTCAATGTATTTAAACGAAACTACTAAAGAAAGGTTACGACAATCGAAAGGAATGATTAACATCAGCGAATCAGAACACCAACATCTACTTGAGAATTATAACTGTTGATTAACAGTTTGCATATGGTTAAACATTAGCCGTAAGATATAGGTTCACCCAGCTGATGAATCTCGACTAGGACGGGACGAAACACGCATTCTTGATTCCCCTGCTAGCCTCCATCCATGTCTGCTAACAAAATTACATACGCTTTAGTTTATCAGATCAAATGGTTTTTGATGACCTTACCATGAATGATAATAAATAAAATAAACATGTTTAGACAAACCTTTTATGTGAGTTTATCAATGAAATTTATATATTGTTAATTTTAAGAAGCTCGAACCATAATGCCAGTTGGAGATGTGAATTGTTTGAAATTCAATTTCTGCTAGTCAATCTCGTGTGCTGTTAGGGATATGGTGGCGTATGTCACTTGTCAAATCGAGATACGAGTTATTATAGGTGTAGGAAGGATTCATTTGTGAGCAATTTGGTCACTTGCCGACTGCCCACATCGTGGACAGGTGTGTTTCAAGGATCCTGAAAAGGAAATTGGATTAGCGTTGGTCTTAGCAACCTAGGAGCATGACTGCAGTAGGGCTTAAGGGACAACTTCTTGAGGCCTGTTTCGCACACCCTTTTTCTGTGAAGTTCTTGAAATGTTAGCTTCTCTCCTCAAAAGTCCTGAACGCCGGAGACGGGAATCAATGAGGCAAGGTGAGGTATGACATTTTTATGGTCGACCTTTTCTCACCCGTTCCTTTCGCTGTGAGAAAGGCAGCATCTCTGCAAATGCAGGTTGTTTGATGGAAACACCTTAACGGTGTCACATCCCTCTACAGTGAACAGTACGACTTCTTCCTCAGATCTTGACTTGTTTACTTCCAGTGCTCCGTGCTCCACCCGACTTTCCCGACATGCTAAGACCTAAAGGAACACATGTTGCGGCCAATATAGATCGTTTGGGTCATCACGACAGGTTAGCACGAACACCACGTCAAGGTAGCGGATAAGGTCAGAACTTTAATCTCTGAGATTCTTTCAAATGTAATTTTTATATTTCATGTCTCCTATTTAACTGTACCATACTTCTGTCAAAGTATTTGTATGGAATTCAACAACCGGTTTACAAGAAATTCTTACACCTAAGTAATATATATTTACCACATTTGAAAAACTTATAAATATTGTAACTGTTATACTTTCTTCACTCCAACTTAACTTGTAATGATTTCAATCATCTTGTTGATATTTCCACTGAATTTTGAGCAGCCTTAACTGGCATATGTACATCCCGTGCGGATTTCCTCGATTAGCCATTATGTCAAAATTTCGTGTAGAATAAATAAAACGTGATGTATCTCACTGATTTAAAGTATCGAAACTGGAACTGTTACAAATTATTAGATGAATCAACGGTCAGCCTTTATTTGCCAGTTCCGTTAGCGAACTACACCATATTACTTAATAATATTCAGTAGTTATGAAAATTCTACCAATTTTATGGATTCACATTAATGGATTACATTTTTTGTTACAACGAACAATTAGTCATCGTCATTTGTACACTGATTTCATTGTTTCAGTTTATTGCGTGTCATGATGTTCCTTCATCTTAGGGTTGCTTAATGTCTGTTATGTGTCTTTTATGTCCTCATAGTGAATCAAACAGTTTCTCAATTTTCAAAAACAGTTTTATTCATTTTGAATTTCACTGTTGTCCTCTGATTTGCAGTAAATCTCTTTAATTTATCCATACTTACTTATTTTAATAATATACTTCCTCTCTGACTCTACACATGTGAAAATTTAATGGTCATTTTAAGATCTCATGCTTTGAAGTTTATACTATGCTTCATGTGACAAAAAATTTATCAGTGAACTGCACACGTAACTCGCGAAAATGCTCTACAATGATGGCATATTATTAATATTATTACATGCTTACATATTAACAGTGTAGAGATCTTAAACCGTCTATAAATGTTTAATCAGAATAAACAAATGTCATTTAAAAGTTACCATTTATCATTCAATTACTTTCTGTTTCAAATTTTTGACAATCTTAAAAACACAAATTGATTGATTATAAAAGCTTCAAGAAACAAGTAATCTCATATCGGTCATTCTCAGTGTTCAACCACGTGCAAGTACATCAAGTACCGGGAAAACAAATGACGAATTAATTTATGAACAAGCTGATTCAATACTAGAAAAATTACCAGAAAAAATCAATATTGAAGATGCACGTCCAGAATTATTGGAAACTGATCATGAAGGCCGTGTAGATTCATTGACTACTGTACTTACTCAAGAAATTGATCGATTTAATAAATTATTGAAAATTATCAAGGTATGTTGTGTACATGAAATTGTAAAGTGACTGATTTTTTTTATATGAGATATATATTAGTGTTGAAATGTTTATAGTTAATAAAATTATTAATATTCTCAAGTACATTGAGTAGAAAGATTTACAGGAAATAATTTCATTTGAAGATAAGTCCATTCCTCCATTAAAGATCAAATCTAGAACCTTTAGAATCTATGTGGTAAAGTAATTTGCTAGCAGTTATCCAGTGGGATACAATACAATGTGTTACGAATGCATGTCACCATGTCAATTGATATACTTGAACTATCACAAGTTCATCTTTGTCAGTAAACGAGAGAGATAAGACAACTGATCCATTGACACGATATACTACTCTAATCCAAGTGTCCCAAGCCCTGCTAAACGTATCGAAAAACTCTTGATATGGCGTAGAAAGTGTATTCTACAAGCACCCAGAAAATCAAGGTCCTAGTCCAGAATGAAATAAGGATTCTGGATCACAAAACATTACAGACAATGCATATTTATACAGTTAGGTCTAATAGGAAACAACATTTGAAGTATGTGAGAATTTATTTACTTAAACTTGAATAGTTAAAGTTTAGTTCAGTTAGACAATTATGGAAACCAACTAATTGGATAATTAAATTACGACTTAGTATCGGAGAACAGAACAGTTACAAGTGATACACAATAAACCGGTCAGCTAAGCTCTGTTCACTGCGATCCAGCCCAACCTTATAAGAATAAGAAGTTCAAAGTCGGGTAAGAAGATTGAATGGGATTCCATAAACAGCTTCGAATGAGCAGATCAACAAGCATTGATATCAAAAGTACTGTTGTGGTGTGTCGATTTACTGCGTGTTCTTAAGCTCGGTAACTAGCTCGTTTGATGGTTTATAAATCTGAAGGTGAACTCGAAGTGATGAATACGTTTATTTGGGACATACCACAAAGCGAGGCGGAGAAACAGTGAATAAAACGAATGAAGTGACGTGAATTGGAGAAGGCTATTGAACCAACTCAGAGAGATAGAGCATGACTAAGAATATATAGTCAGACAAATATAAGACTGACATGTGACAAGCGAAATATGCACACATGAATAAAAGTGACGAATAGTTGACAAGGTCAAATGACAAGTTGGACACGTCATGTAAGCTCATCATACAAACCAGACAATAATAATAAGAACGAATGGTACATATAAATTGTTGCAATACAAATGGCTTGGTTAAATAAATTAATCGAAAGGGCTTAACCAAATGAAATGTAAGTGAACTGGAATATATGTGAAGGCACTACACTGTATACAATACGAAAAATGTCCTTGGTAGATTTACAAAATAGTACACTGAAATCGAAAACTTACCAATGAGATTTGAGATCCTTTCGCAGTTGAGAAACGCAAAATGAAGATAGTAAGAGGCACTTTTGTCACGAAAAGAAACAAAATTCCGAACTCACAGGTTTATCAAGTGATTTCTGAGAGCCTAGCATCCCTAATACTAATGGAAACAATAAAATTTGTTTGCTCATGTACAAATATCATTATGTAACGCATTGTGATAGTATCACATAATCAAAGCATTCATCTTTCAAAACTCACTGCAGTTAGTTCTGTGTGAAAAGCTAAACACATAAACAGACTGTTGCTTAGATTCTTAAGTTTATGATTTGGTATTTATTTAGCAAGAAATAGACTGCTAGTTAAGGAATATAACCTGTTCTTATTGGTTAGCACCTTTTTTTTATTGATAGTAATTTTTTTTGCAAAGTTATATAATTATTATTTATTTTGAATTGGTTTAGAATTCTTTGAAACAATTGAAAAAAGCAATTAAAGGTTTTGTTGTTATGTCAGAAGATTTAGAAGGTGTATACACGGCATTTTTACAAAACTCTGTACCAGGAATTTGGTCATCTAAATCATATCCAAGTTTAAAACCATTAGGCAGTTGGGTAAAAGATCTAATATTACGTTGCGATTTTATTCATACATGGATGATAAGAGGGAAACCACTTTCATTTTGGATATCGGGATTCTTTTTTCCTCAGGGTAAGTAGTATATTGTCTGTTTTCATCGACGAATCTCTAGCTTCAACAATATGAAAATGTTGTGTATTACAGTTAGTGGTCAAAACATTGAACTCTCAATTAGACGTTCATGTGATTGCTTATAATGGATAATTACTGACCTAAAGTAACGTGACTTAGAATCACTTACAGTTGTGCACATGAATTCATTTTCTTATCTTCTTATAAATCTTCAATTGTTTCCTTTTTTATACTGTTATCGATATTACAGTTCTTTGCCATCCCATCTTCTTCTCTTTAGTTTTTCATCTGGTTAATTACATTTCTTCTTGTACTAATATACAGTGTGTGGTTAACTCAAATCGGTAACCTTTATAATTGACGAGTAATAGTCAATTATATATACATATTGTGAATAATGTAATTATAAATCTGACTGTCCATGAGTTAACTAATAAGAATTGAGTACAGGAAATCACCATTTTGTACATAAATTAATATGATGTCAACAATAATTATTGATTATAATATTGATAAGCTCGTCTTGTCAGAATGTCATAATATAAAGACCTACAGAACTGGTGGGTGATGCAATTGTTTATACAACGATAAGTATATTAATGATTATTATTTGGCAATAAGGCTAATCTGGCCAGATTTTCAACATGTGAAAAGATATTTTGACAGTGAGGTTAAGAACCGTCAATATTCATTTATACAAAGCTACTAGGTAAAGTCTATTGTTTACATAGATTTTGATAGGTCAGTCAGTCAGTTAGTCAGTTGCAACTTGGAACTTCGTACGTATGTACATAAGTTCAGGTTGCCACACCACATTAACACAGAGACGCAAATGTCAAATCAAATCCCATAGTGATAGAGATAGTAAAGGTATTAATGGTACTGCAGAAGACTAGGGTTTGAAGATATTATTCAAGAAGTATAATTCAGTAAGATAAGGTTAGAAAGACAAAGGTAGATGTGCTGACGAATCCAGAAGATTATGATTCGAGAGAGCACAATGAATGGATGCACTTGCGCCATTGCAAACGATTTTGAGCCATGTCGTTCAAGGTCTCTAACCATTGGTGACTCGTCTCGCGGACCCCAACCAGGTAGCCTACATCTACTAACATGACTCAGTCCACTTGTCAATGACTTCATGGATTCCTGCCATGTTTGGCTGTCCCTAGCTTTCTTCCAACCTACTCCTACACTAAAAACCAAAGCTCGTTGAGGCAGTCGGTGGTCGGGCATTACTAACACATGTCTCAAGCACCTCAACTGATGAGATTTTGATACGATTTTTACATGAATGCATATATATATATATATATATATATATATATATATATATATATAGTATTTTATGAACCAAAGTACTAATCTATACACTATATGAAATAATAGAGAAATCACTCGACATTTACTACACCCTATTCAAATTTTCTATTATTTTTTTTAGTTTGTATAGAGTTACTTCAATGACAGTTCGAAATATCTGTCAAGAGAAGAAAAAAACAACCCATTTCATTTCCTTTTTTTTTTCTTGTAGGTTTTCTAACTGGAGTTTTACAAAATTATGCACGTAAATATGATTATCCAATTGATCATTTAACATTTAATTTCAATATTCTACCACATTATCGTAATCAAGAGGAAATTTCAGCTGCTATGTCAAAACTTCGTCTAGGTGAAATGTTGAAAGTGGACAAAATGATAAGTAAACCAGAAGATGGTGTACTTATACATGGATTATTTATGGATGGTTTCAGGTAAAAATTACTTGAATACTCACTCACTCACTCATTTTTGACAATTTAATTTCTTCCCCATTATAAAACTAACTATTGAACATATTTATATGAAACCACATTCGTACTTTTAATACAAAAGTTGTCTAGATAATAGCAATTAAAATTTTGTATAGTATAAGTGAGACGAAAAGAGAATTAGTAAAATGAACATTAGAGTAAACAGAAAACTAGATGCTATCACACAAGTAGTAAACATTTCGTAAAACGTCTGATAGCGAATTGTTATGCATGAACGTAATAAACATGTCATTTTGATATGCTTGAATTATTATTATTACGAGTTTACCTTAGTCGGAAAACGAGAGCGAGGATCGAGGATTCGGCGACACGACATGCTACTCTAATCCGAGTGTCCTAACCCCCGATTGAGTGAAACAAGAAGATATGATATGAAGTAGAACCTGTATTCTATACAAGCATTCAGAAAGTACGAGGTCCCAGTCCAGAAGAGGATCAGGATCCCGGACTAGGGATCCGGGTCCGGTTCATAAAACGTTACAGCTTTGAAAACATAACGCCCACTATGCTACACAACTTGCTTTACTTTCTTGGAATAACTATACTTGAATATTATTTACTCTTGCTTGATACTTACCATTACATTTTTGATTTGTTCTCTTTGATCTTTCTAAAGATGGGATGATAAAACAATGCAAGTGACTGATTCAATATTAGGCGAAACATTATCCATTATGCCGATAATCCATATGAAACCAGAAATGGATTATGAACCTGATCCAAATGATTACATTGCTCCACTATATAAAACTGCAGCCAGAGCCGGTGTACTATCAACAACCGGTAAGTTTTTGACATAAAGATATTGTCTTAGTCTTTCAAACATCATTTAGTTGTTACTATTGACGCATAATTTCACGTGTAGATTGTGTAGTATGTGTATTAATATGTTGGGCCCACAAGGGCTTGCCCTAGACATCGGACAAACTAATTAACCATTTCTGCTTGAGTTATTTATTATTCATTCGTCTTTCAACCTTTTCAGTTATATATTCGTATGCCCTAGTTCGAATTTAGCTCATCCACTAAAGTAGTATTTATCACGGACCTATTGCATTCAACGTACTAGTTAAAACCAACAAGCATCGGATAGCTATTTCGTCCCAGTATGAAATTCAAAAGTTCACAAGTGTGATCTCACTGGGAATTGAACTCAGGACGTTAATACTCTTAGCTAACTTTGACTGTTACGACCACTGGCCCAGTGATGAATGTCATAATTCCAAATTCATTCAGACTACAATATAGCACGACTATAACCAGGAACTACTGGTGAGAGTTGTTTAACTCGCTATACATCTGAATTTCACCAGTCTTCACTTTTCACTGGAACTCATCTTGAGGTCAGTCACGCCACGACCTTTTTATGGGCACTTTTTGAAGTGTTAGCTCCGCTTTTCGAAAGTTCTCACCGCCTGAGACGGGAATCACTCAGGCAAGGTGAGGTGTGAAATTTTCGGGGAAGACTTTTTCTAATCCCGTCTTTCCTTTGTGAGAAGGCAGCATCACTACAGACGCTGGATGTCCAAGGGAAACACCTTACTGCTGTCACACCCCTCTGCAGTCAGCATTACGACTTTGCCCTCAGACCTTCAGTTGCTGCCTTTAGTCTTGCCGTTCTCCAGTCAACCTGCCTGGCTTGGTTGCGTCATCATGACACACAAGCTAGAACACCACGTCAAAGTAGCAACTACGGTCAGGGCAGAAGCACATACAAATTTCTATTACAATCGAAAACTTACTATATAAAATTCACTTGAACTCGCGTAGAATGGAACTTATCAACAACAAACACTTCAGACATCAGAGAATTATTTACTAACCGATGATTAAATTCCCTAAGTGAATAATTCGAAATTTCAAATTGTAATAATGACGAATATATGTTTAGCCAGAGGTATATTAATAATATTTTTGAAGTTTACGAATATGTACACGTGGATTGAATTCCTCGTACTAAAGATTATACGACCAGTTCACAATGGGATGTAACTCAGACCATATATTTTTTTTACTAGCGATGATCACATGCAATCTGTATTACATAGAAATCACTAGTGATTCACTGTTAGACCACCATTAGAAACCTGTAAGCACTGGACGGCCATTTCTCGCTGGTAGAGGACTAGTCAGCCGAGGGCATCCACGACTCTGACTGCTCACAAAATTCCAACCCAGGACCTTTGGTCTCACGCGTGAACTTTTAACCTTTAGCCAGCGGTGTTAATTACAAACTCTGATCAATCTAAGGATTTTTCGAAACCTCACCCACTGTCTTCGGTAGCTAGCTACTGCCTACACCCAACAGGGTTGAACTCCGCTAGCCACGATTTGTCAGTAGAACTGTGTGAGTTTCCTCACCAAGCTAGTCACTAGTGAACATTGATTTCAATGAAAAAATAGCGATCTACAAAATACTATTCTTGATTTATGCTTTTTGAATTTCCATCAAAAGACATTCAAAAAAATAAGACAAAGTTGACACCTTAAGCGTATTCCTAATTTACTTGATACTTGAAATTTTATTGTTATTGATATTATCAAAGAAAATAATAAAGCAAAAATAGTTTATGTGACTCTCACTTATTCTGTAGATCAGAAACAAGTCACTTCTATGTCATGTTATCATAAATTTTCTGATTATTAATTAGTGAAATTATGAATTGATCATTGTTAGACCACCATTAGAAACTTGGTGGTCTAGTGGTTAATTGTTCGCTCGAGAGACCGAAGCTCTTGGGTTCGAATCTCACATATGGAACTATATATATATATATATATATATATATATATATATATATATATATATATATATGTATATATATATATGGGTTTGTATGTTAATAACGATACAAGTCAATCATACATATGTAAATTATTTCAAGTCGCCATACCACATTAGCACAGAGATGCAACTGTCACTTCAAATCCCATAGTATTAGAGGTAGTAGAAGAATTAGCAGTAATCTGGAATTTTAGGGTTCGACGATATTATTCAAGGAGTAGAAACTAATGAATGAAACTAAAGAGAAAAGAATTAAGGTGGTAAGGAAATCACGTCAGGATTTGAGAGAACACAATGAATGAATTGCAAACGGTTTTCAGCCATGTTGTTCAAGGTCTTTAACCATCGATTACTGTCATCTCGCGGACCCCAACCAAGTAGTCTACACTTACCGACATCATCCAGTCATGTTGTCAGTGACTTCATGGATATGTGCTATGATTTGGTTTGGCCGCCCTTAGCTTTCTTCCAACCTATTCCTACATCGCAAAGCATAACTCGACGAGGCAGTTGGCGGTAGGCATACCCGACATATTCGAAAATGGGAGAATTTCGCCAAAAGGCAGGCTTCCACTCGAGAACAACTGTTTTTTCTCCACGAATGTCTTCGTCAGCATGTTCTGCCAACAAGTGTCAGAGATATACCCGACATATATCCCAACCACCTCAAATGATGAAGTTTCAATACTTTAACTATTGATCTGCCACCCTTGTCTAGTACCATCCACCTAACCCCAGCATTGCTCAATCGGTGGTCCAAACACGCTCAACTCCTTCACTACCTATCAATGATTCAGATGCCGATACAAGCCAATCCCGCAACACATTTCATTTCGAGGGGGAGAATCACATCCAGAATATGCTTGCTTTGTTGCTTAGGTTAGGGTAGTCAGGAAACTCTGCATTTTGTCAGCGTCTTCAATGAGAAGAACGATGTCATCAGCATAATACAAGTCAGCTCCTGAAAATTCAGACGAAGATAATGTCATATCTAGAAGCACGTCTATGACAAAATTAATTAAGAATGGAATAGAGAGCTTGAATCAGGCCATCTGAACTGATCCCTCAGGTGCTCTGCCCATCGACCACATCTGGTTTGAGAATCAGTAAAAAGACCATCCTTTCCCGAAATAGTCTTACTGACATTCGGATTCCTAATACCGGTTTCACTGATAAGTCTGAATAATTGTCTACTGTTGCCTATCGCTACCGCCTTTTCTATCTCTCTCGATTTCGCTACTCACCACTGTTCGCGATCATTGATTGCGTAGGCTTTTTATCAGCCTGCGCTTAAGCTGACTTCGTTTTTCGTTATGTTCATAGGCAGGTGGGATGAGTTCCTGAGCTTCTGTCAATTCGATAGATGTCACTGAAATCCTTTGATCCTCTTTAACCTTTTCGTTCACCTTACCAGCAGATATCACTGCTGTCTCCACAGCCTTTAGGATATTGTTCCAAGCTGCCTCAGAGTGAGCATCATTTACATGGTTGCCTGTCTTTCTAATTGTTCCTGAAATATATCCTTAGCTATGCCGTCATTAGGTAGAACCCTAAGAAGTTTACTTGCGGTGTCTTTCCTACGTCCAGTAAGTCGCAAACAAATACGCGCTCGCACTAGAGCATGATCTGAACTAGCAACAGTTCCCTATTGAACGCGTCCATCGGTGGCTGATGGCGATATGATCTAGTTGGGTCTTACTCTAATCGAACACTGTCATCAGGATTAGTACTTCAAGTGGTGTCCGTCAGGGCTGTCCACTCTCCCCATTCTTGTCTAACGTTGTCGCAGACATGCTGCTGGAGTTAACATTCTCATCATCTGACTCCCCAGTAGTGGACCTTCTACCGGTTTTGATCATTGGTGTCTCCGAAGCATTGCTCGTGTATCCTGGGACAGCCGTATAAGTAATACTGTCCTTGGGAAACGAGTTCTAGGTATGGATGGCAAAGTATTGAAACTCATCAGCTGAGGTGGTTGGGACGTACGCATGCCTAACCACCGACTACCGCGACGAGCTATGTATGTTCTGTGGTGTAGGAGTAGGTTTGAAGAAAGCTAGGGGCGGCCAAACCAAAACATGGCACAAATACGTGAAGTCATCGACAAGTGGACTGAGTCATGTTGGTAGATGTAGACTACCTGGTTGGGGTCGGCGAGACGAAAGTCACCAATGGTTAGAGACCTTGAACGATATGGCTCAGAATCGTTTGCGATGGCGTAGGTGCATCCACTCTTTACGTTCTATCAAATCCTAACCTGAATTCCTCATCATCTCTATCTTTCTCTTTCTAACTTTATCTCATTGAATTATACCCTGATCTTCTCCATTACTGCGAATACTTCTACTATCGCTAACACTATTGGATTTGAACTGACAGTTGCGTCTGTGCTGTGGTATGACAACTGGAACTGATGTACATACGTTGTATCTGTCTGTCTAGTCACCAGTCATTATTACCATATCAGAACGTCTAACTTGTTGTAAGAGGCCCGAAAGCTTTCTGTAACACTTTTACCTCGTCTGAACTCCGGTCAGTGGGAGCGAAGGCGGATACGACCAAGAGGCAACAGCGAGTGTCCCTATATTTTTTTCCGAGACCTTACCGTCCCGTTCAGTCTAACAGCGCACAAGCGACTTTCTACCGCGATACAGTCTGAGAGCAAGTTCTGTCCTAGGACTTAATTCTATACCCACACAATCTAGGACCCGGGAAGCAGCAAAAAGGCTTGCAGGTAAGCGCAGCATAAACCAAGTTGATTTTCTATCCGCACAAGGTGGAATCAAATTAATGGTTCCGCTCGGATACTGTATGCGCGTTTCGGAGACACAACATACATCGATAGGACGAGGTCCCAAAGTTCTAGCTAAGGAAACCGTTTGACCTACTTGGCACAAGGTCCGAACATTAAAAGCTCCAATATGTAGTTTGAAGCGTGATTTCAAGAGACCACGAATACCGTCTCGTGAGCTAAAACCATTTGCGTCAGCAGCACGAGGTGACAAACGATCGAAAGAAGGGTTGGTCATGGAGGTAAGAGAGTTATAGGTAGGTGCAGAAATGATTTGATTCTGACCGATTTGGTCTCGTGTGCTTTTATGGGTGAGGGCGGATGTTACTTTACGGCTGCCCACAGTGTAAGGACTCTGGTTGTCAGAAGGGCCTCCGAAGGAACTAGGCTTTCATCATGAGACGTCATAACTCTTCTAAATGAAGACCTAATTCCCAGTGCCAAGTTTAAATGGGTTTTTTTGGATTATCGATATAAATACTGGAATGCAGCTGATAGGTCTCGAACAAAATAATATGTACACCTATTCTGTTTAATTTTACAGTTTACAACACAACTTTTTAAAACTAAGAATCAATAAACAACCATTTAATCCTAGAATGAAACTCAGCTCCAATGCACATTCATCACAACTGAACAGAGGATGAAACACAGGGCCCCCGATATGTTACGACTACCGCCTTTTTTCAGACCACTAAACCGATAACCGATGGTTATACGTCTAACTCCAATTAATCTACGATACTACTCGATAATCTATCTCCCAATACCATTGACAGTAACTTCAATGGCTAAGTCTATTTCCACTAGTTTCCATAGAACCAACTAACATGTGCTTCGTAATTAATTTCTATAAGATGGTGTCAATTTATTTATAATACATAATGTTTATCGACTTTGCTTTACTTCAATTCAAGGTATGTCGACAAATTTCATAGTTGCTGTCCCACTGAAAACAAATAAACCTCAAGCATATTGGATCGAGATGGGTTCATGTTTATTATGTGAATGTGCAAAGCCTTGAGTAAAACAAAATCTTTGATAGACAGACTGTTAAGATAGAAAAATGACTTCTTTACTCTTTTTGTATTTCGTCTTACAGAATACAATAAATTACGTTATTCATTAAACTTCGTTCTATTCTCCGTTCACCAAACACATGCATCATTCTTATTAAAATCACTAACCTACATTACGCATTTATTTGGCTTTTATTCATTTAATAATTGCGTGCAATCAAATTACGACCTTGTTTTCAAGTACTTTGCTTTGCATCTCCGACTTTAAGACACTAGATTTTTCAAATCTCATGTGCACACAATTCAAAGAACTATCAATAACTTTACGGGTTTGATGATAACCTACCACTGAAACCCTTTGTTGGTGGATCGTGAGAGAACTGAACAATTTAAGGTCCATTTGGAGCTCTGTGTTTTATGGCCGGTTGGAGCTAGGTGAATAACCACACTTGGGTGGTGATGTGGGTTTCAAAGATAGATATCACAGGGCTGTACACTCTTGGCCAAGTGAAACCTAACTGACATATAAGACTAGGACATCGGGAACTTCAACACCGATCTTGTAGTTCGGTTAAAGGAGTAATAATCTGTAGGCTTTTAACGTAACAAGTAGTCGCACAAGTAGAGTATCAAATTATAAGGGATTAAAGACGGGGATAGTATTACGAAACATATAGGGAGATGGTCGTGAACAAGTGGTGTTAGAATAAACAAGTCTCCCAACCAATAAACAGTCCCAATTACCGCTTCAAAGTACAGGCTATAACAGGACACACAACGTCATCCATTATCGAACTTGTATTGGCGAAAATCAAACACAACCTAACACTGGCTGACGAAATGCTCCAACTTCACTAAAAAAACTCGGTGGCGAGATAAAGTTCGGACTAAATACAACTAACATAACAAAAATTCAAACACCATTATAATCTAATCCAAATAATCCCTATGTTTTCGACAAAGACTACTGGGGAAAATATGTAGTAACTCTAGGTTAAGATAATGAGCTGCGGTAAGAGGACCATATCTTGAAGTGAAGTCAGTCAGTCAGTTGCAACGTAGAACTTCGTACGTAAGTACATCAGTTCATGTCGCCATACCACATCAGCACAGAGATATAATTGTCAATTCAAATCCAATAGTAGAAGAGGTAGTAAAGGTATTAGAAGTAATCGTAGACGTTAGAATTAGATATTATTCACGAAGTGTGATTCAATGAGATAAGTTTAGAAAGTAAAAGCTAGAGGTGTTGAAGAACTCAGAAGATTAGGATATGAGAGAACACAAAGAATAAATGCACTGGCGCCATTGCGAACGATTTTGAGCCATGTCATTCAAGGTCTCTAACCATCGATTATTATCATCTCGCGGACCCCAACCAGGTAGTCGACAATTACCGACATGGCTAAGTCCACTCGTCAATGACTTCATGGATTTATGCCATGTTTTGGTTTGACCGCCCCTAGCTTTCTTCCAACCTATTCCTACACCACAAAACAAAGCTCGACGAGGCAGTCGGTGGTTAGGCATACGCAACACGTGTCCCAACCACCTCAATCGATGAAGTTTCACCACTTCATCTATTGATCTGCCATTCTTACCTAGTACCCGTTTCCTAATAACAGCGTTGCTAACTCGGGTGTCCCACGATATACGAGCAATGCTTCGAAGACACCTATGATCGAAAACCAATAACCGTCGAGTATCTTCTACTCTCATTGGCCATGTTTCACAGCCATAAAGTAAGACAGAGCGAACCACTGCGCAGTACACTCGTCCTTTAGTCAGCAAACGGATATCTCGCCTACGCCATAAGTGACGCAGGTTGGCAAAAGCCAATCGAGCCTTCTGTATCCGTGCCGAGATTTCTTCAGTCACCAGGCCATCAGCACTGATGAGACTCCCAAGATAGGTGAAGCGGTCTACACGTTCGACCACTTCACTCCCTATCACTAGTTCAGGTGCCAATGACACCCAATCTTGAAGTAACATTTTGCATTTCGAGGGGGAAAACCGCATCCCGAACATGCTTGCATTGTTGCTTAGGGTAGTCAGAAGACTCTGCATTTTTTCAGCGTCTTCACCAAGTAGGACAATGTCATCGGCATATTCTAAGTCAATAAGCGAGCCACCTGGTAGAAGGTCTACTCCAGAAAATTCAGACGAGGATAATGTTAACTCTAGGAGCATGTCTATGATAAAATTAAACAAGAATGGAGAAAGTGGACATCCCTGACGGACACCACTTGATGTAGAGAATTCCGGTGACAGTTCGCCATAAGCCCTCACTCGACCAGTGGTGTTCGAGTATAGGGCTTGTATAAGGTTAATGTACTTCTGTGGTACACCTTTCAATGACAGACACTGCCACAGAACCTCACGATCCACTGAGTCAAATGCCGCCTTAAGGTCCAGGAAAACAACTATTGTAGGACGCCTAAATGTGTGTCTGTGTTCCAGGACCTGTCGTAGTGTGAAAATGTGGTCTATACAGCCACGTCCAGGTCGAAAACCAGATTGGTTTTCCCGAGTTTGCTCTTCACGAGCTTTCGTTAAGCGTCGAAGTGTTATTGAGGCCAATATTTTAGATACTATGTTAGTTAGGCTTATTCCCCTGTGATTGTCACAAGAAGACTTCTGTCCTTTCTTATAGATTGGGACAATCAAGGATTGAGACCAGTCGGATGGGATTGCGTCCAGTTCCCAGATTCTACCTAAGATCTCAGTCAACCTAGCTGATAAAACTGGACCTCCATCCTTAAATATCTCAGGGGTCAGTCTATCAGGACCTGCAGCTCGTCCTCGTTTCAGATTTCCTAACGCTTTCTCAACTTCATTAAGACTAGGGGGACTTACGTCGATTTGCCATTCAGGATGACTGGAGATCGTGGGTAACCGAAGAGTGGCTCGTGGCCAGTTGAACTGATCCCTAAAGTGTTCTGCCCATCGATCCAGTCTCCTGGATTGAGAATGGATAATAAGACCATCCTTTTCCGAGATAGTCTCACTCACATTCGGGTTCTTAATACCAGTTTCTTTAATAAGGCGGAAAAGTTGTCTACTGTTGCCGATCGCCGCTGCCTTTTCCATCGCTTTTGCTTTCGCCACCCACCACTGCTCGCGATCGTTACGTAGGCTTTTCATAAGTCTGCGCCTAAGTTGACTTCGTTCTTCATCATGCTCAGAGCCAGGTGGGATGAGTTTTCGGGCATCCATCAGATCGGTGGATGCTACTGAGATCCACGGTTTCATTCTAGCCTTATGGTCAACCTCACTAGCAGATATCACTGCTGTTTCCACAGCCTTTTTGATATCATTCCATCCTGCTTCCGGATGGGAATCGCTTAAATGGTCGCCTAACTGTCTTTCTAGTTGTTCCTGAAATATATTCTTCTCCTTATTATCATTAAGCAAAACCCTAAGAGGCTTTCTTACGGTGTCTTTACTACGTCCAGTAAGCTTCAAACAAATACGCGCTCGCACTAGGGCATGATCTGAATCCAAACATGTGCCCCAGAACGAGCGACAGTCCTCTATCGAACCCCTCCATCGGTGGCTGATGGCGATGTGATCTAGTTGAGTCCAACGTTGAGACGACTTTGGAGGTCGCCAGGTCAACAGGTGCTTTTCCTTATGCCTAAAGTTAGTGTTTGCTAAGAATAGGCGGTTGTCTGAGCATGTTTGCAATAGACGGTCACCATTGTCTGTTCTCTGAGCCGCGACACCATAACATCCACCTAGGTGTCTCTCCTGCTCACTTAGTCTACCTACTTGAGCATTAAAGTCACCAGCCATTATTACTATATCAGAGCGCCTAGCTTTTTGGAGGAGGTCCGAAAGCTTTCTGTAAAACTCATCCTTAACCTCGTTTGAACTGCATTCAGTGGGGGCATAGGCAGATACGATGAAGAGGCAACGGCGATTGTCCCTATCTTTCCGAGTCCTTACTGTCCCGTTTAGTCGGACAGCGCACAATCGACTATCTATTGGGATCCAGTCAAGGAGAGATTGTTCTGCCCTACGACTCAATGCTATGCCTACGCCAGCAAGACCCCGGGAAGCAGCATCAGGGCTACCGGATACACGAAGAGTAAATCGAGCTGCTTCTTTATTTTGACATGGTGTGGTCAAGTGTATGACGTGACTCGGATCCTGTATGCGCGTTTCCGAGACGCAGCATACATCGATGGCACGAGATTCTAAAGTCCGAGCTAAGGAAGCCTGTTGCCCTATTTGACACAATGTCCGTACATTAAATGCTCCAACATGTAGTCTAGAGCGAGGTTTAAGGAGACCAGGAACGACCTTTCGCGAACTCGTGTCATCTGCATTAGCTGTGCACTGTGATGAATGAATGTGAGAAGAGTTAGTCGTGGAGATAAGAGAGACATTAGGGGGTGTAGGAAGGATTTGATTTTGACCAATTTGGTCTCGCGTGCTGTTATGGGTATGAGGGCGGTTGTCACTTCCCGGCTGCCCACACCGTGGAAGGTTGGTTCTTGAGGAACCTGAAAAGGAAAATAGATTAGTGTTGGTGCGTGACCGCAGAGTCCAAGGGACAACTGCTTGAGGCCAGTCACGCACGGCCTTTTTATGAAAGGTATTTAGAGGATTAGCTCCGTTCTTAAGGGCCCTTAGTGGGCACCCTTACTCAAGGAGACGGAAATCCGTGAGTTAGGGGAGGTGTGACATTTTTAGGGCCGACCTTTTCTAACCCTTCCTTCCTTGTGAGAAGGCAGCATCGCTGCAGATGCTGGTTGTCCAAGGGAAACACCTTACTGCTGTCACACCCCTCTGCAGTCAGCAGTACGACTTCGCCCTCAGACCTTGGGTAGCTGCTTTTAGTCTCATCGTTCTCCAATCGACCTGTCTGGCATGGTAGGACCTGCAGGAACATATGTTCCAGCCAGTATAGCTCGGTTGGATCATCACGATAGGTAAGCCCGACCACCACGTCAAGGTAGCAGCCACGGTCGGGATCTTGAAGTGAAACAGAAAAATGAATAATCATGCTACCAATGCTTACTGGAACTAAACACAGAATTATCTTGTGAGTTTCAAATTGCACCAAGAAATAGAAAGTATCATTTAATTTCCCGTTTACCTCAAAG